TCTAAGTGATAGGATCTTTAGGGTTATGCAGTCTTCACTTATTCTTTTCAGGCTGCAGAATGTCCCAGTGAATTCCCTCAAAGACAACATTGGGACCTCTTCATCTTTAATTCATATGAACGACCTTCCCAAGCTAACCTCGTTTGAGTTACTACTCTTCACTGATGATGTGAAACCTTGGAGAGAAGTTTGCAGCCAAGATGACAAACTGACACTTCAGGAGGATCTGACTCGACTTCAAGGTTGGGTGGATAACAAAGGACTTACTTTCAACCCTCCAAAGTATAAATTGGTCCATTCGAGACAAGATGCAAACAACGTATGCAACTCAGGTAACTCTCCTTTAAAAGCACATTTGGTTGAAAATGATCTGCGAATCTTGGTACCCTATGTTCTAGTCTTACATTAACTCTAGCAAAAATGTCTTCCAACAAAAGCTTGCTCCATTTCTCGGCGTAATGTGTTCTTTGGTTTTCGTCTTTTCCTTTGCCTTAAGGGTTCCATGTGAGGGCTTGTCTTGTGACGCAGTTGAGTGCTTTCCTCAATGTGTCCTATCCACTTCCAGTGCTTCTTCCTGATTTCTTCTTCCTCTGAAATCTGGTTTGTTCTCTCCCACAATAGAATGTTGCTGATAGTGTCTGGCCGACGGATCCGAACTATCTTGCGTAGACAACTGTTAATAACCACTTGTATCTTCTGGATGATGGCTTTCGTAGTTCTCCACGTCTCCCGACCCCACTTAGATTAAGGAAATATGGCGTTTCCTCTTTATCTCCAAAAGGAAAACAACAAACCACAATGAATTGAACGGCGAGTCAGATCATCAACCCGGGGACTTAACGTCAAACCTCACGATGCACGTCTCAAGTCACCGAAATTTTACCCCATTAAAGTGTAGGCATCTGATCTATGGCCTTCTGAAGACGCGTAGTATCCCAAACACTCCAAAGTATTCCCCTCCAACGACTACGTGACCTCAGCACTGATTCCAGTAACAGGTTCCAAGAATTGATAGCTAGGTGTAAAAACATGTATGCCACAGGTATTTTATTCGCTCTGGGCTTTTCTACACGCCTGCTATGTCTTCCGAGATGTCCCAATCCAGTGGGAAGAAAAATATATATATATTATGTCGAAAATCATTTCGTAGTATTCTATACATCAAAATCGGATAACCCCTTAATCTACGGTAGGAAAGAATAAAGAGGTCTAGTTTTTCAAGTCACTCCTCTTATGGTAAACCTCGGAGCTCTGTAATTGCACGGGTAGCTGCCCTCTATACTTCTTCCTGGATATATGGGTCACCTTTTAAACGGTGGCTTGCAGCCTGGACACAGTTCTCAAGCTTATTTATCACTAAGATTTTATACACTATAGTGAACATGGTAGTATCTAACTTAGTTAATGTCCGTCTCAAAGCCCATAGGGTTATAAACCCCTTAGCCGCCACATCCCGGAAATGGGCCATGGTCTTGAGATCATGACTCACTGTCACCCCAAAAATCCTTGTGAGACTAGACCAAGGGTACAGGCACTTTTCCTATGCTGTACCTTTTTTCTTTGTATCCCCAAAGTGCATGTAGACACACTTTGTCGCGTTGATAGGCATCAGCAACCCTTTAGACCGACAATCACAATATTTAAGTCTGTCTGAAGTGCGTATGCACATGCGTCTCCATTTATTTCTCGCCAGGTTTTTATATCGTCAGCGTACAACAACACTGGGGACTCTACTATATTTGGGAGATCATTTGCATACAGTAAAAGTAGTAAAGGACCCAGAATAAAACCTTGAGGTACTCCACTCAGTACTAGTCTCCAGGTAGAACACTTCAAATTTATTCATACTTTCTGTCTACTACCCACAAGGAAATTCTTAATCCATCGTAAGAGAGGAAATACCAAGAATTTCTAAAATCAAAAGTAGTCTATTTGTTGTCACATTGTCAAATAATTTGCCGAAGTCTATGAGAACCACATCCACTGATTTTGTTTTGTCTAGAACCCTTGTCCCTCCCTTACTATATGGACGTTGGTTGTGCAAGATAAACCTTTTCTGAAACCATGCTGCCCGTCGTTCAACAAGTTTTTGGTTCCCACAGATTTATTTATGGTCTTTTCGACTATTCTTTCCAGTTTTTCAACTATAACACTTGTGAAGCTGACAGGTCTATAGTTTGATGGAAGTTGTCTGCATCCTGTTTTATGTATGGGAGTCACTATTGCATCCTTTCAGTCCCAGGATTTCGAAATGTTATTAATCCGGTCATGTTGACTTTTCCATGTTTACAGTGCCAAGAACCCTAAGTAAATCGTCTTGATCAACGTCCACTGTGCGCAGGCGGTCTGCGGACTCTGTATTTGGGTTTAGTTCTTCGTCTAGATAGGGTTCATCAGTGGAAACTGCCACAAAATAATTTACTATATCCTCCGTTTATTCTTGATCGTCCTCTATTAATTTAAATCCACTCCCTCCCTCAATTAGCTTGGGAATCCAATGCTGCATCCTTCATTTGTAATTTATGGACGATAATAGTCTCTTAGGTTGCTTGATTGCAGGTTGTACCAACTGCATTTCATATTTTCCCTGAGATTCCCGGATTTTAATAATTCACCAGTTTCTTATCGATCTGTAGCGTTCCTTTGTGCTATCAGCAAGGTCCGTCTTAACATGTTGCGGAATTTAAATTTCTGAAATCGCCTCTTCCTTGCAATCATTTTCCAATTTGACGTCAATCGCAGAAATCGCACACTTTTTCCTTGCTTTCCTTTTCCTGAGTGTGACTGTAAATCACTTATTTACCTTATTTTGTTTCTTGATCATCTCATCTACACCGCTCAACTTGACTCCCCGACGTTCGTTTTGCGTTGACATGTAAATCTGGAAATGAAACCGTAGATTCACATACCTTAGCACTGCTATAATTGTGGTGTGGTCTACTTATATCCATATAAGTAGTATATGGTGTGGGTCAGATAAAGAATGTATTTTGGCAGAAGACCGATGAGGAAAGAACTGAAATGAAACGCAATCGTTTGGAAAATGCTTGAGCAGTGGAATTGGAGAAGAAACAGTGAAGATTGAAACAATTGGTTGTTAATTTGCAAATTGACTGTTCATTGTATGGTTTTCAGAATTTACTGAGATAGTCTGTAATTTTGCTTAAATACATTCGATAGTCCCCAGTCGTGTTCTGTTCACTACACAATTATTTTTTTTCTCCGCGCACCTTTTCTTTTCCCTTTTGAACATGTCTGAATCCGTGTGCTTGTTATTTGCTCTCCTGATGGGGTCTAACTTTGTAGTCTCATTTAAATCCAGAGCTGGGCTTATGACAAGTCTCTCTATTTCTTTGAGAGCGGAATTCTGCTAATCCACTGCTGTCTGTTTATCTGAGGGCTATTTTCAAGCCTTGTTCAGCAACTCAACCGCCTCTGGAATCAGCGGAGGCTTTGTAGAACAACATGCTTTGCACAGCAACTGTGATAACGACTTGCAGCATCTATTATATGCAGCCAGTATGAGTCCGGTGCACACATTGTGATACCACTTTCTGAAGTTATCACATTGCATCCCGTCATGGACAGAGGAACAGCATGCAGGTCTTCTACGACAATGTGTTACTTGCGCAATAAGTTTGTTATATGATCTCACAGAGAAAACTGATATTTAGATAAAGTGTGTCTTTTAAGGCTTGATAGGTGATAGACACACGAACAAGAACATATATTTGTAAATAACTGTACCAAATAACGGTGAAGAAACTTTAAAATCTTTGACTTCGGCAGCTAGAGAAAAGAACTTAACATCTATGGATGCAAAAAATACTCAAAGATATACTCAACGAAGAAAAATAAATACCAGTGCACTTATTTTTTTTTGTATCAGTACTCGAAAAGTACAGATGATAAAAATCTCTAGAAAAAAGATGTACTCTTAGGGAACACTTTAACTGAAATAAATTCAATTGAAGCTATGATAGTGGTCTTGATACGTAGTCAAACGATCAGTACTATAAAATATACTCAGAGGAAAAATACCACTAATCTTTTTAGATAAGGCGCGACTACAGAACTTAACTATTGACTCGAAAATATAAAACTATTCTTCAGTGCCAAGAGTGAGTAACGAGAAGTCAACTAGCTTATGCTAGATCGTCACGAAGATATCGCATCTTATTGAAGGTCTGAAAATGCAGGGTACTTCAAATTAAACCCTTTCGGCGGGAGTTCGAGGAATTTCTTGAACGAGTTTATTCTTTGTGACAATCTCATTCACCTTACTTTAAGATTTCATCAGATGAAAATTCAATTTATCGGGTTTAAAAACCTTGATAAAACAATTCACTTGTGTGGGTGCCATTAAAAACACAGAATTGTCTTGAAAATCATCCTATCGGCTTAAACATGTTTTGTAACACCTTTCGGTTAATTTTAAGTGTACTCACCTCTAAAAAAGTTTAACCAAAAATGTAGAAGCTAGATGTGTTGTCTCAGTTTTTTGTTGAGTTTCTCTTGCTTCTGTAGGTTTACTCATGTGTATTGGATGCATCTTATACTTTGTTGTAATAACTGTATCTGAATTGAATAATAAGAAACTGCCATGATGTAAATAACGGCATCATGTCAATTTTAGGGCCTGAAAAACAAGCAGCCCTTAGATATATTTATATATGGCGTTGTCTGTCACCAGATTTGTTTGTCATATTCGCATTATTTTCCTTTAATCCGCATGACACAACGTCTTTAATTAGCCTCAATATACGTGAAATAAGTCGAATGCTCTCGTCTGTTTGATGTATGTACGTTAGTTGATGAGTCAGGTGTCTTCTATTGACTCTAACAAGTATTGTTTTATTCCCAGATCCATTTTCGTGTATCAATCAATTTCCTTAATCTTCATTGATCTGGACATTTCGTTAACTGCCAGTTACTTAAGAAAAATATACTACCACATCGTGGTACATGGTCAAGAATTTCACATTTCGGTCGACTTCGCTATGTACGAAATTCTTAATTGCATAGTTTATTCCTTCTTGTTCATATCCGGTCTGTATTTCGCCGGTGGAAAGTTTCCAAGGTGGGTATGCTTCAATAAATTTACTGGTCAATCTTAGAGACCATCCAGAAACAATCAAGAGAAGAGTTGTCTCCGTGTTTGTGACAGGGGCCATTTCCATGACTCATGTACTGACGTACATACGTTACTATGATCATCCTCCGGTTAGTGCGATCTCATTAATAACTTCTTCCAGTTTCAGTTATCTTCATATGAATTTGGAAAACTATTTATTAGACTGGACGGCTTGTTAGAAGCAGTTATTATATCTGTCATACTTACTTTGGTTTGTTGTTATTGTTTCTGATATTCTTACAAAACCAGGTCATGTACTTTGGAGTTGTCTTGGATGATATATGTAGTGGAGATATGTTAGTCATACTTGGTAATAATTACTATCATTGCTTTTGTGCATTTTAGGTTTTCTGTGCAACTTTTTTGTATATTCTAACTCTATGGGCACAACATTTCACATAATGAAATTAGTATATGAACCAAACTCATAAGTTATTTTACTGCTGTGATTAATTTAGAAAAGTATCAAAGAATAGCAAATACACTTCAAGGCTTAGTTTTTTCGCGCATAGGGTAGCATAACGCCACTTAAAGGTATATATATTTGTGATTAATATATTATGTACAATTTTTAAAGCTCTTTTTTGCCATGAACTTTAAGTATGGTGAATACTTTATGAAGCTTTGCCTACTTAACTCTGAAATTTCCCGATCACGCCAACCAAGATCTGGTTGTTTTACTACTTGAAGATGAGTTGATTATCTTCTGAAAAACAAAAAACACTATTTTCCACAGAAACTGAAATGTAAACTCTCTGACCAAATGCTTTATTATGACTGTTTATTATAAATTCGGAATAATGACACTATTTTCACACACTCATCTTATTTGCATCATCTAACGTTTCGATTTAGAAACAAAAATCGTCTCTTAAGGCTGCAAAACGTTCAGTCTTCACACATTCACGGTACATCAAAACACAACTCAGTTATAACAGTATCTTGACTTTTAAATAGTAAATAAACAACATTGAAAGTGCCTGGTTTTGTTTTTTATCTGATAACATAAAGTATATTATACCTGACAAAAATTATCAACACTTCAAACTGGGCATAAAGCCAACTAAACATCCGAATACAGGTTCAAAACCTATTTCCTAGGCATCAGTCTGGACAAGTTCAAAACTTTATTCTTTTTTTAATTAACACGTACTTCAGCACGCCACTAAAAGTTTCGATCATCGTGCTTCGGGGTGTACAGCTGAAAATATCTTGCAAATCCATAAACAGTGTATTATGACACTACATCGTTGATAATTTGACTGTTTATCCTTCCTGCATATTAGGTTATTAAAAAAATTAACCGGACTAAAATACTCAGGTTGTGGGTCTTGTTAGGTTTAAATAAACTCTGGTTAATAAGATGTAAGTAAAATGAAAGGGATTCCTTAAAATATTCTTTGAGTGTATCTTTGACCTAAAGTAAAGCACATGTTATAAGTTACCCATTTCCCAACGCTTTTGTCTGACAGAATCAAAATTAGTGTTGTAAAATTCATAACTGCGTTAGATAAAAATAACCTCTCACCAAAGTTGTTCGTCAACATTACTTTAGATGACTTAAGAATCATATTTTTTTAAGATTCTTGTTTAGAAACGTTAGATAATTTTGTTCTGTGGGACATTTTCGCATCCATTGTAAGCCAAAGTTAGGAGCCACATATATATGAAAGATTTTAGAACTCCTATTAGACCAACGAAAAACGTCACCAAGATGATTTCCTTTGAACCCGTTTTTCTCAAGTTTCAACTTTATGAATGAATGGTTTAATTCTATCGGTAAGTATTGATAACTAATAGTTAGTAATGGAAGTAACGTTTATCTGGTGGCAATAATATGTGCAAGATTTCAAGTGATTTGTTCAATGTATATAGCAAAGATTGGATGTGAAACTAGCTAACGAACAATGTATCATATAATGCGCCATGGTAAAAATAGCAACTTATTTGTTCAAATTTTCGATTAAATATATTCCCCGTGTACATAATGGTCAAGCTTCACCTTATGAATCACCAGGACATTTGCTGCTTTGAGTAGTTTAAAACACCTTTAAGCCAATATTCGTACCAGTTTTGCCTTGAAAACGTCAACGAAATTAAGATGTTTGCCCACTTAATACAAGTTTTTTGCAAATATTTTCATTTTTCATTACAAACATCTTCTGAACTGTCTAGAATCTAGATAGTTTCCGATTGTAAGCGTCCACATTTTGTGACTTATTATTACCATGATTAATGATTTTATATATTTACTCATAAGTTAGTATTTCGGAGTGATGTAAAAATGTACAGTTTAAAATTAAACCGATCCAATAACGGCGAAATGTATACGTATTAAACTCATTGATCGGCATATATGTGTTTGGATGTGAATGTTTAAAAGTTTTATCATCACGATCTTGCCCAAACATATTTTATGTTTCATACAAAACTACCAGTTTTGTTTTCATATCATCTTTGCTACCGTAGCTGGTACGATGCCCGGAAAATAGCTCCAACTGTCAGGCGTTAATTGATTGAAGAATGAGTGGCCCACAAGCCAATTTCATCCAATCGCCTATGACATTTTATCATGCTTATTTTGTGTTCATATTTTCTTTGTAAACATGCTACTTCACTACATGAAAAATCGTTCATTTGGCTAGTTATAATGTCTTTGGTTTCAAATCATTCAGAGGCCTAAGTCAATTATGCGGTCTCATGAATCGCCATCACTAGGCCGAATTATATAATTACGTCCATCTATCGATTTTAACCGAAAGTCCACCTCGCACAGAAAATTCACTCCATAACAATAACATGAAAGTAAATCAACATATGATTAAATAAAGTAAAATTTGTTGGAATTTCCATATACAAAATCGCATACACAATTCTGACGACACTAAGAGCTCGAAACAGAAAGTTGTCTCCGGTTGAAACCTTTGAAATTGTCTCATAATGTATTATCTGTAATGATACCCCTTTTCAATTTATACCTATCTCAGTTTTAAACTGTTTAACCATCAGTTGGATTTGAATCAATAATTTAAAATTAGGGAAACATAGACAGTGGAATTAATAATTAAGAAATATGAATTTCAAATCAACTAAAACAATAGTCTGTTAATACTAACAATCGTACTGAAACTAACAAACTTCATGATTAAAAACTCATGTAATCTTGAAGTCATTGTAAACGAAAACTGTGAGTCTACTATTTCGATATTTTCCTGTTGATTTATCTGTTTACTTTGTGTATATATCGAACAAAACGAATTGATTTACTTTGAATTTCTTACTTATAGATGTTCAATACTGGAAAGATCGTATATTTAACTGGATAAGTTTGAGAAATTTTGTAATAGCTCCTTTGGCTGAAGAACTTATCTTCCGTGCATGTGTTACATTTCATCTACTTCCTTTGTTCTCATCGTGTGTTATGCTTTGTTTCGTTAGTTCATTATTTTTCTCTCTAGGTAAGTATTGTTTTGAAACTCGTATATAACTAGAATTTGTTCTGTTTTTACCTATTTCTTGATAATATCCATTAGTTATTGGTTTACTCTGACGCAGATTTTATAACATCCTTTTTTATGCTTCTGACCACCTCTCTACCTATTGAGTTAGAATTTTCATCGATGATGTTTTGCAAGTTCAACCAAAGTTTATTCGATTAGCTTGCTATAAAGGTTATGACTTATTGACTAAAGCACTCAATTTTCTTCCGTTGATTCACAAGCCGGAATCCTGTTACATCTATTTTATATTAGAGAGCTATTTAGTTGCATTCGGTTTCTCACACAGAGTAGGATGTAGCTCAATGGTAACCGCATAAAAATGTACCAATTTAAATTTAAAATCTGCGTGCTTTCAACAAAATCGTTGTATCATATTCCCCCCAAAACGCATACACAAAGCACCATCAGTCTCACTGGGTCACTTTACAGAGAACCAGATCGATCACATTTGCATCAATAAAAAGTTCAGAAGGTCAGTGAAAGGCGTAAGAACGAAGAGAGGACCCGATATTGATTCAGATAACCACCCGATAGTGACCAAGATGAAACTGAAGCTAAAGAAACACTGGGAAATGGAGAAACAGTATTACTAAGTTTAGTACAGCCTTCCTTCGAGATACTGACAAATTCAAGGTGGATTTCAAGAACAGGTTCCAAGCCTTACAAGATATACTCAGAGAAGCGGAAACGAATTTGGATGACAACTGGAAAATGATCAAAGAAGCAGTAACTTCATGCCAGGATGTCCTGGGCCACAAGAAGCACCACCATAGAGAATGGATCTCCATCGATACCGAAACAGGTGGTTTTCTTGGGGTGCCACACTCCGAGCCTTTAACCTAAAGGTCTGATCCACAATGCAGTGGGGCAACGTCAGGAGATGCAGTCCCATTATAGCCAGTGACAAACTATTGGTTCATACGCTATTTGTTCCTTCAGGATACTGTAGCCCATGTGCACTATTGGTTTGAAATCAGGGTTTTCCAATTCCCCTAGGTAAACTTTCCGTGTCCACCAACCCGGTTAAAGCGCCGGACATTCGCTTTTTGTCCACTCAATTTCGTAAACAACAGCCGTTTTGCTAGAAGGCAGTGAGTAGGACTTCCCTAGAAAATAGGCTAGTGAAAAGGATCACTAGGCTGGTGAGCTGAAATATGCGGGAGATCTAGCAATGATAATCAGAAAACTACAAGGAAAGGAAATACGAGACAATTGTGAGAGACAACAAAAGAGCTAGCTGGAAAATATTGTAAACCAGAGCGACCAGTCAAAAACAAAGAAGTCAAACCAATCACTGGAATTCAATGTCATAGGAACAGGCGGGTAAAACACTTGAAACCTATTTGTTGAAGGCATATTGATTTTCAAATCTCTCCCCATTTTCGTTCCTTTCACCTAGTCCATATCTCCATATGGAATCTTTATTCTCGGTTTTGTTCATCCCGACCTTGGCGTTCAGGTCTCATATTTGGTTGGTCAGGAACTTCCCTGGCTATTTCCCTATAATCGACTGCAGCCTCTCACAAAGCTGATCTTTACTGTATCCACTGCTTTTTTGGTGGGGCATATCACCGGATGACACTCGCTGTAAGCCCCTCCCTCTTTGTTTTGAAGGATTCTTTGATAATCCTGGATCTATAAGGTTCCAATTCTATAGGTGCTTTTCTTGTTATTTTGTAAAGCATCAGTGCGACTTCCTATGTGTGAAGCATTTTCTTCTTTATGGCCAGAGTACAGCGACACCTCTCGTAAAGCTAATCCTTTTTATCCAGCTTACGTCCAATGGGCTTTACTTATTCCATGAACCTCCTATTTGTGTCTCATTTCTGAAGCTAGTAAACCGAGCTTCCTGGTTTCCCACATCGTGCGGACATTCAATGTACCTATATTGCTTGTTCCTTCGGTTTTTAGAAAGGATAACGTCCTCATGGCTCCCTAAAAATCTCGAATTTTACCATGAGGGTTAATAATTCTAAATGAAGATCCTTCGACTATCAGATTTTATAACATCCTTTTTTATGCTTCTGACCACCTCTCTACCTATTGAGTTAGAATTTTCATCGATGATGTTTTGCAAGTTCAACCAAAGTTTATTCGATTAGCTTGCTATAAAGGTTATGACTTATTGACTAAAGCACTCAATTTTCTTCCGTTGATTCACAAGCCGGAATCCTGTTACATCTATTTTATATTAGAGAGCTATTTAGTTGCATTCGGTTTCTCACACAGAGTAGGATGTAGCTCAATGGTAACCGCATAAAAATGTACCAATTTAAATTTAAAATCTGCGTGCTTTCAACAAAATCGTTGTATCATATTCCCCCCAAAACGCATACACAAAGCACCATCAGTCTCACTGGGTCACTTTACAGAGAACCAGATCGATCACATTTGCATCAATAAAAAGTTCAGAAGGTCAGTGAAAGGCGTAAGAACGAAGAGAGGACCCGATATTGATTCAGATAACCACCCGATAGTGACCAAGATGAAACTGAAGCTAAAGAAACACTGGGAAATGGAGAAACAGTATTACTAAGTTTAGTACAGCCTTCCTTCGAGATACTGACAAATTCAAGGTGGATTTCAAGAACAGGTTCCAAGCCTTACAAGATATACTCAGAGAAGCGGAAACGAATTTGGATGACAACTGGAAAATGATCAAAGAAGCAGTAACTTCATGCCAGGATGTCCTGGGCCACAAGAAGCACCACCATAGAGAATGGATCTCCATCGATACCGAAACAGGTGGTTTTCTTGAGGTGCCACACTCCGAGCCTTTAACCTAAAGGTCTGATCCACAATGCAGTGGGGCAACGTCAGGAGATGCAGTCCCATTATAGCCAGTGACAAACTATTGGTTCATACGCTATTTGTTCCTTCAGGATACTGTAGCCCATGTGCACTATTGGTTTGAAATCAGGGTTTTCCAATTCCCCTAGGTAAACTTTCCGTGTCCACCAACCCGGTTAAAGCGCCGGACATTCGCTTTTTGTCCACTCAATTTCGTAAACAACAGCCGTTTTGCTAGAAGGCAGTGAGTAGGACTTCCCTAGAAAATAGGCTAGTGAAAAGGATCACTAGGCTGGTGAGCTGAAATATGCGGGAGATCTAGCAATGATAATCAGAAAACTACAAGGAAAGGAAATACGAGACAATTGTGAGAGACAACAAAAGAGCTAGCTGGAAAATATTGTAAACCAGAGCGACCAGTCAAAAACAAAGAAGTCAAACCAATCACTGGAATTCAATGTCATAGGAACAGGCGGGTAAAACACTTGAAACCTATTTGTTGAAGGCATATTGATTTTCAAATCTCTCCCCATTTTCGTTCCTTTCACCTAGTCCATATCTCCATATGGAATCTTTATTCTCGGTTTTGTTCATCCCGACCTTGGCGTTCAGGTCTCATATTTGGTTGGTCAGGAACTTCCCTGGCTATTTCCCTATAATCGACTGCAGCCTCTCACAAAGCTGATCTTTACTGTATCCACTGCTTTTTTGGTGGGGCATATCACCGGATGACACTCGCTGTAAGCCCCTCCCTCTTTGTTTTGAAGGATTCTTTGATAATCCTGGATCTATAAGGTTCCAATTCTATAGGTGCTTTTCTTGTTATTTTGTAAAGCATCAGTGCGACTTCCTATGTGTGAAGCATTTTCTTCTTTATGGCCAGAGTACAGCGACACCTCTCGTAAAGCTAATCCTTTTTATCCAGCTTACGTCCAATGGGCTTTACTTATTCCATGAACCTCCTATTTGTGTCTCATTTCTGAAGCTAGTAAACCGAGCTTCCTGGTTTCCCACATCGTGCGGACATTCAATGTACCTATATTGCTTGTTCCTTCGGTTTTTAGAAAGGATAACGTCCTCATGGCTCCCTAAAAATCTCGAATTTTACCATGAGGGTTAATAATTCTAAATGAAGATCCTTCGACTATCAGATTTTATAACATCCTTTTTTATGCTTCTGACCACCTCTCTACCTATTGAGTTAGAATTTTCATCGATGATGTTTTGCAAGTTCAACCAAAGTTTATTCGATTAGCTTGCTATAAAGGTTATGACTTATTGACTAAAGCACTCAATTTTCTTCCGTTGATTCACAAGCCGGAATCCTGTTACATCTATTTTATATTAGAGAGCTATTTAGTTGCATTCGGTTTCTCACACAGAGTAGGATGTAGCTCAATGGTAACCGCATAAAAATGTACCAATTTAAATTTAAAATCTGCGTGCTTTCAACAAAATCGTTGTATCATATTCCCCCCAAAACGCATACACAAAGCACCATCAGTCTCACTGGGTCACTTTACAGAGAACCAGATCGATCACATTTGCATCAATAAAAAGTTCAGAAGGTCAGTGAAAGGCGTAAGAACGAAGAGAGGACCCGATATTGATTCAGATAACCACCCGATAGTGACCAAGATGAAACTGAAGCTAAAGAAACACTGGGAAATGGAGAAACAGTATTACTAAGTTTAGTACAGCCTTCCTTCGAGATACTGACAAATTCAAGGTGGATTTCAAGAACAGGTTCCAAGCCTTACAAGATATACTCAGAGAAGCGGAAACGAATTTGGATGACAACTGGAAAATGATCAAAGAAGCAGTAACTTCATGCCAGGATGTCCTGGGCCACAAGAAGCACCACCATAGAGAATGGATCTCCATCGATACCGAAACAGGTGGTTTTCTTGAGGTGCCACACTCCGAGCCTTTAACCTAAAGGTCTGATCCACAATGCAGTGGGGCAACGTCAGGAGATGCAGTCCCATTATAGCCAGTGACAAACTATTGGTTCATACGCTATTTGTTCCTTCAGGATACTGTAGCCCATGTGCACTATTGGTTTGAAATCAGGGTTTTCCAATTCCCCTAGGTAAACTTTCCGTGTCCACCAACCCGGTTAAAGCGCCGGACATTCGCTTTTTGTCCACTCAATTTCGTAAACAACAGCCGTTTTGCTAGAAGGCAGTGAGTAGGACTTCCCTAGAAAATAGGCTAGTGAAAAGGATCACTAGGCTGGTGAGCTGAAATATGCGGGAGATCTAGCAATGATAATCAGAAAACTACAAGGAAAGGAAATACGAGACAATTGTGAGAGACAACAAAAGAGCTAGCTGGAAAATATTGTAAACCAGAGCGACCAGTCAAAAACAAAGAAGTCAAACCAATCACTGGAATTCAATGTCATAGGAACAGGCGGGTAAAACACTTGAAACCTATTTGTTGAAGGCATATTGATTTTCAAATCTCTCCCCATTTTCGTTCCTTTCACCTAGTCCATATCTCCATATGGAATCTTTATTCTCGGTTTTGTTCATCCCGACCTTGGCGTTCAGGTCTCATATTTGGTTGGTCAGGAACTTCCCTGGCTATTTCCCTATAATCGACTGCAGCCTCTCACAAAGCTGATCTTTACTGTATCCACTGCTTTTTTGGTGGGGCATATCACCGGATGACACTCGCTGTAAGCCCCTCCCTCTTTGTTTTGAAGGATTCTTTGATAATCCTGGATCTATAAGGTTCCAATTCTATAGGTGCTTTTCTTGTTATTTTGTAAAGCATCAGTGCGACTTCCTATGTGTGAAGCATTTTCTTCTTTATGGCCAGAGTACAGCGACACCTCTCGTAAAGCTAATCCTTTTTATCCAGCTTACGTCCAATGGGCTTTACTTATTCCATGAACCTCCTATTTGTGTCTCATTTCTGAAGCTAGTAAACCGAGCTTCCTGGTTTCCCACATCGTGCGGACATTCAATGTACCTATATTGCTTGTTCCTTCGGTTTTTAGAAAGGATAACGTCCTCATGGCTCCCTAAAAATCTCGAATTTTACCATGAGGGTTAATAATTCTAAATGAAGATCCTTCGACTATCAGGAAAGAGTGTAAATGTCTTTCCTGGTCAGCGTTTTTAATGGCAAGGTTGTTTTCTATGGATTGGGGTTGCTGACCCCATGCTAAACCCTCCTTTGTCTGGGCTTAGGATCAGCAGTAACCCTAGAAAGGCTCATGACGGTTTACCGTACTTAAAATAAACTCTACAAAGTTTTAGAAAATTTCTTTTGTACCAAATCTGTTAGTGCCCCCAAATGCCCTGGTACGGCCGAGAGTGGGGAGAGTCCGCTCTCCCCCTCGAAATGTTCTCACATCACCACGCGTATATAGCCTCTGCCAGGGAAGTCCTACTCACTGCCTTCTCGTGGTGGGGGTGTTTGTTTACGAAATTGAGAGGAGGAAAAGCGAATGTCCGGTGCTTTAACCGGGTTGGTGGATGTGGAGAATCCACTTAGGAGAGTTGGAAAACCCTGATTCAAAATCAATGGGGCACATGGTCTCCAGTATCCTGAAGGAACAAATAGCGTATGAATCAATCGTTGGTCACCGGCTACCATGGGACTGCATCTACTTATGATGCTCCATTGCCTTGTGGATCAGACCTTTAGGTCGAAGGCTCCGGGTGTGGTCCTCTAAGAAAACCACCTGCTTTAGTTTGGGTACCTGGGCAGTATCACAGTTCTCACACAAATCGAATGAGATTTGTGCGGCGCTTGTGTATCTGGTGCCTCCTTGTACCAATATTTATGTGTTTAAATAAAATAAAATAATAAAATCCGTTAGTAAAATTGTGCAGTTTATGGAAGTGAAAAGTAACTGTTAAAATATTATGAACCTTATAGTGAAGGTTTAATTAAAATAACTGCTATGCTTCCTTTTTTTAAATGGTTGTCGTTTACTCTGGTATCTTAAGCTGATTCGTTCGTCCATTATTAGCTCCAACTGAATGCACACACGACTACTTGTAGTTCCACTGAAAAATAGTTAAATGCATTCACCTATGTGTATTAATAAACTGTATACTATATTAAACAGAAATTCCTCTTTCATGAAGTCAAATATTTAGTAGGCATATACCAATTACTTTTGTTGTTGTTGTTATTGTTGTTACATGTAGCCCATTTTCATCATGTTTTTGAATCAGTGAAAAGTGGTCAGGATCTGCAATCTGCATTTAAAACTTCACGTGAGTCCATTTATATTTCACTATTTTTTTCATGAACTTATGTAATGTATTGAATAAAGTAGCTATATCGAATCAACAAATTTAATAGTTATACACGTCATTTATGTTGTGCTTAACTAATCATGTTAAACAATAACTAAAAAAAATTTTCTTACATATGAAAGAATTCGTTGCAGACACTAAAAAAGATTATCATCTCATGAATAAAAGTGCCTAAATCCAGAAAAACCTTTTTAGTTTTTCTCTCACTTAGCGGAGCTAACGTGTGAGTAATGCTAACATTAAGGATAAGTAAAAATTATTTCTTCTGATCAGTCTAAACCGTTATCGACTGAGGTAGCTGAAACATGTGGTACACATGTCTCGTAGACGAAATACTTGTTATTACAAGTCGAAAGAGGCTAGAGGCGGACAAAGCTATTCACCACATCATTTCGGTGCAGTCTTCGGCTATTATTCTAAGCCATATAAGAAAATGCACCCCATAAGAGTGATTAAATCCGTTCATTTAAGTGGAGCTGATTGTGACAAAGGCTTGTTTGTTAAAAATATTGGCTAAATGTATTCTTCTAATTGTCCTGAACAATAGTGCAAATGTGTCTGGACTGCGTTATGCCTTCTCTGAATGCAAAACGTTACTTCAGGACTCACTGGTCTACGTTCCTGACTTGATTGTTCGTATTTATTCATTCATTAATTTGAACACGTAAACATTGGTACAAGGTGGCAACAGATATATATATATATATATATATATATGCCACACTTCACCATTTGATTTGTGTGAGGGCTGGGAAACCGCTCGGGCACCCAAACTGAGAAAGGCTCAGAGAACAAAACCCCACCGAAAACATGAAACTAGTTAGTTTTCATTCTATTTAGTGCATACTAGGCCATTTGACTTCAAAGACCATTCAACTTTTATCGAAATTGTTAGCACCCTACTAAACACTTGAATAGCTTGCTTTTTGTATTCATTTTAGAGCTTTACAATCTATACGCAACACTCAATGATATTTTAGTTACTGTTTCGCAAGTTTGGTTAGCTTCAAAATTTAACATCCTTTATTAATTTCCAACTATATACATAATCAGATAGGACAGTTTATTCTAAACTATGAGCTCTAATATTCTAATTCTTAGTGGATGATTTGCAAGTATAGACAGTCGTCTATGCGCTGTCCTACTAAACGGATCAGTAAGGACTCGGAAAGATAGGGAATCTCGTCGTTGCCTCTTCGTCATCTCTGCCTACTCTCCCACTGACAGCAGCTCAGACGATATAAAAGATGAGTTCTACAGGAAACTTTCTGACCTTCTCCGAAAAGCTAGGCGTTATGATGTAGTAATAGTGGCTGGTGGCTTTAATGCTCAAGTAGGTAAACTAAGTGAAAGGGAAAGACACCTGGGTGGATCTTATGGTGTCGTGGCTAAAAGGACAGATAATGGCGACCGTCTGTTGCAGCTATGCTCAGATAACCGCCTATTTCTTGCAAATACTAACTTTAAGCATAAGGAAAAACATCTTTTGACATGGCGATCCCCGAATTCGTCCCAACGTTCGACCCAATTTGATCACATCGCTATCAGCCACCGATGGAGGGGCTCGATAGAAGACTGTCGCTCATTCTGGAGCACATGTTTAGACTCAGATCATGCTCTAGTGCGAGCACGTATCTGTCTGCGTCTTACTGGACACAGGAAAGACACTGCATGGAAGCCTCTGAGGGTTCTACTTAATGATAAGCAAGCTAAGAATATATTTCAGGAACAACTGGAAAAACAGTTAGACAGATATGTAAGTTGTGCCCACCCCGAAGCAGGGTGGAATGACATCCGTAAATCTGTGGAAACAGCAGTGATATCCGCTAGTAAGGTAAGCCATAAGGTCAGGGAGAAACAATGGATCTCGGCAGCATCTACCACACTGATCGATGCTCGAAAACTCATCCCACCTGGCTCTGAACATAACGAAGAGCGGAGTCAGCTTAAGCGAAGGCTAATAAGAAGCCTACGTAATGATCGTAAACAGTGGTGGTATCGAAAGCAAGAGAGATGGAAAAGGCAGCGGCAATAGGTAACAGTAGGCAGCTATTCAGACTTATTAAAGAAACCGGCATTAGGAACCCAACTATTAGCGAAACTATCTCAGATAAAGATGAGCATATCATTCATTCTCAATCCAGGAGATTGGATCGATGGGCAGAACACTTTAGGGATCAGTTCAACTGGCCTTCAGCCACACTTCAATTACCCACGATCCCCAGTCGTCCTGAATGGCAAATTGATGTAAGTCCTCCAACCCTCTGTGAGGTTGAAAAAGCTATAGGAAATCTGAAGCGAGGGAGAGCAGCAGGCCCTGACAGGTTGACCCCTGAGATTTTTAAGGATGGTGGTCCAGTACTAGCAGTGAGATTGACTGAGGTCTTAGGTAGAATCTGGGAAATGGACGTAATTCCATCTGACTGGTCCCAATCACTGATTGTGCCAGTCTATAAGAAAGGACAAAAGTCCTCCTGTGACAATCACAGAGGGATCAGTTTGACTAATATAGTGTCTAAAATATTAGCTTCAATAATACTAGGTCGCCTAACCAAAGCTCGTGAAGAGCAGACTAGAGAAAACCAGGCTGGTTTTCGACCTGGACGTGGTTGCATAGACCAGATATTCACTCTACGTCAGGTCCTAGAACTTAGACACACATTCAGACATCCCACAATCGTAGTATTTCTTGACCTTAAAACGGCATATGACCCTGTTGATCATGAGGTTCTATGGCAGTGTTTGTCAGTGAAAGGAGTACCAAGGAAGTACATTAACCTCATAAAGGCTCTCTACTCGAACACAACTGGTCGAATTAGAGCCTATGGCGAACTGTCATCAGAATTGGTTATCTCAAGCGGTGTTCGTCAGAGCTGTCCATTCTCTCCATTCTTGTTTAACTTTGTCGTTGACATGCTTTTAGAGATAACACTTTCATCATCTCAATCTCCTGGAGTTGAACTTTTACCGGGAGATTCACCTGTTGACTTAGAATACGCCGACGACATAGTTTTACTCGGTGAAGACGCTGACAAAATGCAGAGTCTTTTGACCACTATAAGCAACAATGCAGGCATGTTCGGGATGCGATTCACTCCCTCGAAGTGCAAAATGTTACTTCACGATTGGGTTGCCTCGACACCTGAACTAATGATAGGGAGTGAAGTAGTTGAGCGTGTCGACCACTTCACTTGTCTTGGGAGTCTCATCAGCCCTTGTGATCTGGTGTGTGACGAAATCTCAGCACGGATACAGAAGGCTTGTCTAGCTTTCACCAACTTGCGTCATTTATGGCGTAGGCGAGATATCCGTCTAGCAACAAAAGGACGGGTTTACTGTGCAGCAGTTCTCTCCGTCCTACTTTATGGCAGTGAAACATGGCCGATAAGAGTAGAGGATATTCGTAGGCTACTAGTATTCGATCATAGGTGTCTTCGACGCATTGCTCGTATATCCTGGGACCACCGGGTAAGTAATGCAGATGTTAGGAAACGGGTACTAGGTAAGGATGGCAAATCGATTGATGAAGTACTGAAACTTGTTGGTAGGTGTAGACTACCTGGTTGGGATTCGCGAGATGATAGCAACTGATGGTTAGAGACCTTGAATGACATGGCTCAAAATCGTTTGCAATGGCGAAGGTGCATCCACTCTTTGTGTTCTACCAAATTCTAATCTTCTGAAATCCTCATGTCTTTATCTTTTTCTCTTTCCAAATTTATTTCACTGTACTATACTCCCTCAATAATTTCTTCAAACCCTAATCTTTTGGATTTCTGATTATACTCCTACTACTTCTACCACTATGGAATTCGAATCGACAACTTCATCTCTGTGCTAATGTAGTATGGCAACTCGAACTGATGTACGTACGTACGAAGTTCTACGTTGTAACTGACTGGCTGACTGACTCTGTAAATAGACGTACGTTTCACAGTATTATTACCAGTCGGAGCTACAATAATCATTTCAAATTATTTCCTTCTGACTCCTTGCGATGTGGGGGTCGGAGCTTCCAGTATCATCTAGGGTATTAAAAAATTGCGTTATTGGCTATGTTTTTGCACAGACTGTTCGAACAGCCCAACAATATATACGTACTTATTTCTTTCGTTCATGAACATTTTCGTACCTAAGAAAACCATCTTACCATGAAAGGCATTTGATAACTCGTTTTAGTCAAAACAAATGACAATGATTTCAAATCTTATTGCTTAAATAATAGGCTTATACGATAAGTGTGGCTCACAAATCAAATTTATCTTCGTATGGTCACAGACCCTCGTCTCTATATGTATGTGTTAGAAACAAGATTGATAGTTATCACAATCACCCAACCATTTCTTTTACTACTTTCTTGTAGTGACCTGGATTTTGTTACAAAGAAATTGTAAAGCCTTATTTATTTGCCTAGGTTATTCAGATTGATACATAGTATAGTAAAGTAAATCAGAAACCACATCTCATCTACATTTCATCAACAATTAGATTTTTAATCTGCAAACACATCCATTGTAAGTTATATCTTCTTCACAAATGCAAAACTTGAATCCTTGTTAGTAACGTTTGGTAAGTTATAAGATTAACATTCCTGGAGGATCCAATTAACAAAGAATTAACATAAAAATAGTCAAAAATCTATATACGCACTTTAATTTTGTTCAGTGTATAAAAGTCATTGATCTGTATCAATTTTCTTATTTTTCGTGCTTATTATGGCTCGCATAATTTATTTAGTCGTATGTTTTCTACTATAAGCTCACCATTAAATGAAGTAAATACATAACAGATTATATTACTGTTTCCAAATCAATACACTACTTATTATGCATATATTATTTATCAAGTTAGTATACACTACTTCTTTGTTTAAATATTTCATTGTCTTGTAATTTGAGTATTCTACATAATTCCGTTTAAATAAGAAAACCTTCTTTCTAAGAAAATTCATTTGCATACATTTATTAGTATTATTACTATTACTAACTTTCAAATACAAAAAATGCATTCAACGAATTCATATGGCAAACTTATTTGATAATTCAATCGCTTGAGAATTATGATATGATCGATCATGAAAATATTAAGACAATTCGACCATTACATGTCTTCTAAAGTTGTCAACAAAGGATGACTATCTCCGTAATTAGCTATAAACGGGACTATCCAATAGAAATAAACCGACTAGAGCAAAAACAAAATATTAAAAATAACGACGCTAACGCGGATACAATACTGAATAAAGAATGTATCAAAATAGAGAACAATGGGAATAGGGTTACAAATTATTCAACTCTCTAAGGAGTATAAAAAACAGACTCATTTACGTAAACATGGCATATTTTTTCAACCAACTAAAAAGCTTGCCTCTCCAAAATGACTCTGATCAACAGTTTTTACCTTTGTGAACTATTACCACACGTAAATCTACTGTTGTCTTCTCCTAACCTACATCTGCTACCAGCCACCAAAATATTTCACTGTAGGTTTCGATTAGAGATTCCGACACATTTGCTAAGTAATGAGGGTTCACGACCTCGTTAACCGGTTTTCCGACCTATCCCTATGCTCTAGATGTAATAACATTCGTCACTTCGCAACTCACTCATGCTCGAATTGTGCTTAAAAAACGTTTGTAGTTAAACACTACTGAAAAATGTTTATGTGTTTTTTATAAAGCAGGTTTCATACTCTATGAATAATAAGCGGATATCTCGGGTAATTCAGTGATCGCATAAGTCAACAGTATCAAATGAAGCTTCTGCAAATAATTCATCTAAACTAGTGAGACTGCCATGATTAACAAAATGATCACTGTAGCCATTTTCATATTTTCCTCAAACTGGGCTCCAAAGTTTCAGGTGTAATTTTTAGGTGTAGATACCAAATACCTTAACACAGCTACTGTTCTTAGTATACACTTTACTTACTTTCTCTTTGTCTGATATATAGTATTAGTGGACTTCATATCAAATGTATTACGTGACATTAGCACAGATAATCATGACTACTACTGTTTATTCTTGTTCACTAATAAATCATAAACAACACTGGGACAATATATGTCGCCTTGTTATTTATGATTTTACTTTAAGTTTAACTGATGGATTTTAGTCCCGACCGTTGCTGCTACCTTGACGTGGTGGTCGGGCTTGCCTATCGTGATGAACCAATCGAGCTATACTGGCTGGAAAAATCATTCCTCAAGGTCCTACCATGCCAGACAGGTCGGTTGAAGAGCGATAAGACTAAAATCAGCAATCCCAAGGTCCGAAGGCAAAGTCGTACTGCCGACTGTACATAGGTGTGACGGCAGTGAGGTGTTTCCTTCAGACAACCAGCATAACAGCGATGCTGCCTTCCCACAAGGAGGGGTAGGGTTAGAAAAGGTCGACCCTAAAAATGTCACACCTCGCCTTATCCCACAGATTTCCGTCTCCTGCGGTAAGGTCGTTTAAAGAACGGAGCTAACACGTCAAAAATCCCCCACAAGAAGGCCGTGTGTGATCGGCCTCAAACAGTTATCCCTTGGGCACTGCGACCACACTCTCAAGTAGTTGAGACCAACACTAATCCAACTTATTTTTCAGGTCCCTCAAGAAATACCCTTCCACGATGTGGGCAGCCGGGAAGTGATATTAGCCCTCATACCCTTAACTGCACACGAGACCAAGTTGGTCACATTCAAATTCTTCCTATACCTCCTAATAACTCTCTTATCTCCACGACTAACCCTCCCCACGTCCTTTTATCACCTCGCACCGCTAGGTCAAACGATTCGAGTACACGGAACGTTATTCCTGGTCTCTTGAAACCACGCTCCAAACTACATGTAGGAACTTTTAATGTCCGAACATTGACTGATGGATTTTAGCTAATTGGAATTTACTTTTCATGAATAATTTGTAATTTTTATTATTAGAATTATAACCTTAAAATCTAAACACATTCTTATTATTATATTTATCTACTGAGTTTTTATAAAGTTTTTGTCGTCTCTTGTTATTTACTAACTTCATTGTCATCATTTAAAACGTTATTTATTTTTAGTTTTCCAAGTGTTTTACACAACTTTATTTGGGATGTATTCTGGATTTCTGATGCTGAGAACTGGTAAGTTCATGTATTTTTAGTTGTACAGCATACATTTTTTTTATTCTCGTAAAGTTATTTTTACAATTTTAAACTTCCATAATAATGGTAGATCCAGATATTACGTCACTGTAGGCAATCTGCAATACATGAAAAATACAATCGATGATAAAACTGAGATGTATAGTGGTAAAATTTATTTCCTTATTAACTTTCCTTTTGATGCAACAGGATGGTATGTCTCATTGTTTGTACGTTATTATGTGATTTCACCATTCAGTAACGTACATATGCTGCTCTTCGGACAGCTTTTTAAAGCTGCGTTACATATCAGGCGCATCCATGTGTTACAGTCGTACCTCAGGGAATTGCACTCGTGATTGTGATGCACATTCCCACGAACAACAGTCCAATAACCTTCAAGAAACTTACAAAAGATGAAGGCCGGACATTGTGTGTCCATTGAAGTCCTCAATAAACAATATAATAACAATAATCAAATTACCTCCTTCGTCTAATCGGCTGCGAAGAACCGCTAGGTGTTTTATAGCTCTTTCTCCAACATACAAATTTGATATACTGCTTCCAATCTCCATGAAAATGAGAATCACCGCATAATGGCAGTACGTTGCTATTTCATAAGTTCTAATGGCGTTCTTTAACGCTTCCAGTGATGGGAACGCTACCAGATACAATGTATTCAAAAATACATTTTCCGTTTCTGTGACTTCGTGAGGAACAACAGAGTCTGTAATATGCACGTTACTGATGTCCATATTGTGAAGAAAATTATCTATATCGATAAGTACAGAGCTTTTATACGAATTTCAAGAATTACATGACCAATTATAACGCATTTACAACTAGGAATTTCATTGGACGAAATGGATTCAAAAAAATTGGAAAATGGGATGAAAAGTTTTTGATTAAGGGGGACAAAAAAATTTATTACAAAAATCGGCGTGACCTTAATGTTATTCTTAGGGTTAGGTTAGTGAGTATTAAAGTAGATAAGCGTGAAAATTGTGTTTAGTGGACTCTTGGTCCATCCATTACCTATGTTAACACTCTAAATCACAATGAAATAACAAAAATGTAAAAGGGGTTTTGTGGAGATTTAGTGTTTATCATTGTTGGAAGCGTGAGTAAATTGAAGCTAGACCACCATGGAAAACCTGGAAACACTGGACGGCCGTTTCGTCCTATTATGGGACTCCTCAGCAGCGCGCATCCACGAACCTGCTCTCGCGAGCGAGATTCGAACCCGGGACCTACCAGTCTCGAGCCGAAGCCCTTAACGGATAGACCACTGAGCTGGCATCCAACAGAAAACTTGTCTGGGAATTAGTACTATTAGTTACTCGAATTAAAGCCGATATATGAATAAAAACAAGGCTGTTTAAAGTCTCTACTCGTTGAATCAAGTTAAAAGTTAAATTCGAAAAATAATCAAATTGTACAATAAGAACATCGTCATTCTCCATACTGATAGTGGCCCTAATGCAGTTATAAAAAAACCTGAAGTGATTGCAGATGATTCATTAACGTTCCTGACTAGTCTTTCAAAAGAAGATATAACTGAAGTCAACAGAAAGGCTTACTACTAAAATGTATGTTTCCAATCTAAAACAAACAAAAATTAAGCCGATAATCAATAAGGCAACTTTGTGGGTATTTTGATGACACGTCGCTTGCAGTAATTACAAACATGCTTCCTATATACTGAGTCTTTTGAATTAAATACCCAAATATACTATTTACAATGAATCATGAACATAAAAAATAGGATAAACAGGCTTACACGAAACGTCAGAAAATCTAATTTTTCTACTCATTGGGATATTACAAATATATTATTTAATATAACAATCTACCCAATGCTCAATTTATTCAAAATTATCAAAACTTGGTAATGATACCTAGTTGATAAAGTTGATTCCGGTCCGTGGGCTGCATTAAGAATGATTTATCCGGTCTCTGAACTGGTCTCATTGAGACATTTTTAAGTTAAAAAACACTCAACGTTACTTCCAGTTTCGCTTACTAGTTTACATGTGCGTGGAGATTCACATACATTAGATGAACACAAATTAGAGTTATCACTTTCATCTCCAGGCATGTTCTTCGGAAACTAGGACTCAAGGTGTCAATATACTTTCAAATGTGTAATTACCTGTCATCTACTTGATAGTGAACACGACGTTGAAACTGCTAACATCGTTCTGAAATGTCAGTAACCTTATGACTTCGGACTTATTACGTTTTAATCAGGCCATCATTTACAAACGGCTCAAACCAGATTTATGCTTTCAAAAAATTATTGTTTCCAGTCTTACACTGTCCTGATAAATTCGATTCCCTATACTTAGTTGCGTAACGTCTCACTTTATGTTTGCAATTATAAATTAATTTTCTTTACCGCTTCTCGTATCTTACACCAGCTTTACTCATTTAATCCATGCTTGTAGTTATTATTACGTAACTTTGAAAATCTCAGTAGCCTGTCTGTGCGTGTTAAAATTTTCTCCTTGAATATGCACGTTACGTAACGTATTCATATTACGTAACCTATTCAACCATATGAACATCTATTGTAATTTTTTCATACTTATTGATGCTTTTACTAATTATCATTGATGAAAACTTTTCTAAAATCATGATATAAATTATGTACAGCGTTTTACTTGTAAATACTTAATACTATTATTTCTAGGCCATAGGCAACAGAAGAGAATTCACGAAATAAATTAATTCATCTTATTCCACTACGATCTTTGTCCTGGCTTTTTTCAAATTTAGAAATAGGAAACATTGTATGAAATAGGACTTTTAATAACTACTGTGCTGACATCATCGCTAAATCTAAGTTTATTCTGAATATGCCTTGAGCAGTTCCAGTCTTAGTAACAATTGTATATTTAGTCACCCTGCGATCTATTATTTGGTGTAATTATTGATGACATAAATACGATCCACGACAATTCGTCTGGGTTTTAACTAGTGGTTTAGGTACTCAGCCTTTGGCTAATAAATTTCAGGACTTCAACTCTACTTCATCTAATTGTCTTTGACCAGCTGATTAGTCCACATAAAATGCGGTTTTCAGCAAAATACGTAGACTATGTTTGTTCTCTGAGTTGTATTAAAGTCAAATTTAATCGGTAACCTCAAATTTTTTTACCATGCTACAGAATAAGGATTATGTTCAATAATTAGATCAATATCATTATGAGGGTTTGTGAAGATCGTAGTATTTTAACGGTTGAATTCAATCTAAGCCAAATCATCATTAAAAAACCTGGAGGCGCGTGGGATCAGAGGTCTTGAGTTCGAGTCCTGCGTGCGAGACCATGGTTGCTTACTTTTGATTAGTCCCATACTAGGACGAAACGGCCGTCCATTACTTCCAGGTTTTCAATGGTGTTCTAGCTTAGGTTGACTTGTTTATTCAACTGTTTAATTTAGATCGCTGTTTTTTGATGGTGGCACACACAGAATATATGATCTGACTTATGTTGAAAATTGATGTAATCACATATTTGTAATGTATTGGATTTGAAATTCCAAGTGGTTCACGCTAAACAGCATTTGGTATCATAATTCTTCAACTGTAATTCTTACAGAAATATTTAACATGGTTACTGGTTAAATTCAACCTACAAATTTCAATTCTGTTTTGTCGTATATCCATATTCAAAAAACCAACAAATAGGTCATAACATTGTAGATGAATGTTTTCTTGCTGATATCTGTTTCTGTACACTATCCTTTAAAATATTTGTTTTCGTTGAAGTACTTAATTCCAGTGTGCTTTGTATACATTGTCAAGGTTATTACAAAATAAGCTAAAGATGTAACCTTTGTATATCAGTTATAACTGTTTTATGTATATTATTTGATGAAAACGGTCAGAATTATTTTATTTTATTTATTTGGGTACATCTTTCATGTCTTATAAATTGTATGTTTTTTTCTTCTGTTAATGTTACCTACTTCTGTGTACTGGATGATTTAACTACAAAAGTTTAACTACTGTTCTACAAATCATCCACCTTAGGAAACTTTACATCATCAGAAGCATCCAACTGAACTACAAATCTTTCTCATGATTTCAGTATTTCTTTTAGTAATTTTTCCATTTATTTGATTAGCAAAAATAAATTGCGATATACTTTGAACTTTTCGAAAACTGGGGTTTCCATTTTTTCATTGATTCATTATAATTTGTCATTTGAATTGATAATAGATCGTTACATATGGTTTTACTACTTCCTTTCTGTTAATTTTTTAAAGGTTCACTCTACAATAATTCATCATTTAGGAAGTTGGTATAATTTTAGTACGACTCTTTCATTTTTGAAGCAGTCAGGAATTGTCGTATATGTATCTTATTTAACAGTTAACTTACCAGCTTATTTTTCCGTACTAGCACTATTAAAACGAACAGAAATGGTTTGATAAATGTATTCTCTCGAAACTTGTAGATCACTATTTGACATAACCTATTACTGTAGACATATAAAGCTACTCAGTTGAAACTGATATGTTTGTTAAAATCTTCTGGATGAGTGTTAGTTTTGTAATGTTATGTCTATCTCCAAATATAAAATTGTTTGTTCCACTTGTAGAAAAATTTCCCCTAATGTCTTATAGTTATGTTGCTAGTATATTTGATTGCATGGGCCACCTACTTATCTATGTTTTGTTAATCGTACAGTTTAATTTACTAATTACCTTTTCAATACGCATTTCATCATATTTTGTTCACTGTATAGGTAATATTGCTTCAAGTATTGTTACACACTCCTTGTGTAACTTCTTCGGCTTACCAGATTTAATAGGTGCCATCGAAAGAGCGAAATATCGTTGGGGTTTCTCTGGTCAAATTTTCGCTATTGGATCTCATCTTTTGGGGTTATTTTTATGGGCGTATTTGTTATATCAAATAACTGAAACAAAATGGTCCTCATCAAACAACTGTCATTGTAATTGGTATTGAGAATTTCCATATCCCTATGAATTATTATTTATAGTATCAATAGGACTGTTAAACTTTTTAACTCTTCAATTCGACTGAAAACTCTTATCTTCTATATAATTATTAAATATTTATATAATCCCGGTAAACATACCAAATTACGGTTCATCGAAGGTACAAATGTAATAGAAATTAAAACAGATTTTTTAAAAATTTCAAGGCCTCATCTCATATTCGCAATTGTATTTAAATTGTGTGCTGCTAAGTATTTACTTGTACGTCATTAGTTTATTTGTTGTTTTAGATTGTAAATGTGCACCCTTCTAAGATTTGTTATAATTATAAAGATTTTCTGATTTTTCTGTTTTCAGTATACGACCTTATACGTATATTTTAACAATACGCAGGTCAAATACTTGTATATTAATTACTGTTGGTGTCTTATAAACCACTTAACTGGATTCCTCAGGTGCAACGTAGACATATACTCAGCTGGATGAATTCCAGTAATTTTGTCTTGTCAACTGTAGGTTTTATAATTAGTTGTCCTCTTTTCTGTGGATCCAGCCTAAATATCACTAAATCCAGGTGTAAATGTTTTGGCTATTTCCTGTCACGGATAATTTTTTCATTATCGGCTAATAAATGAGATTTATATGCTTTACACAGTCACATGAACGTAGTTTGTGATGGAAATTTCTCAATTGCTGTCATACAAATACAGGGTTCTTATATTACATATATCACCAACAATATCAACCTTAATTCTTTTTCCTACTTGTACAAAGACTGGTTCGCAGTTCGCTTATGGTGAACTTTTGCTAAACTATTCTTAGTAAATTTCCATGTTACATTATTTGTCTCAATTCGTTAGCCTAATAATGACATGCACTCATAATTCATATTTGCACTTAAAACTTTTAAAGTTGTTCTTTCCTTCTCTGATACCATTGAAATACTACCTTATTAATTAAGTGCTCCGGTTTTCGACTACATGCAATGGAAAGCTGGGAAGCTAGGTCGGGAAGTCTTTGTGTCATACGATATTCATATATGTTTAAAATGAGTACTTAGGAATATCTTTGGACACAGCCAGTCCAATTTATTTTTCATAAACATCAGGCTCCCTTAGTATCTTTACACTTATTCAGGAGCTCTTTTTAGTTTGGTCTCTCTGTTTCTGGACAGAATTTGTTATTGAGAAGAGTAAGTCAGAATTTTAACAATTCCGTACACTGGACAATAGTATGAACCCACAGTTTTGTTAGTTTCGCTGTTGATTTTCAGACAATTCTAGATGTTTTCATCAAACCTAAGGCACGTGTGTATATTTCTAGAACTTTCACAACCAATCTTGATTTATACGTTATTCTTTCTGCTAAGTGATGTGTGTGCATCATGTGTCAAATATATAGGTCAGTAATAATCCACTTGATCGAAAGTGACTACAATGAATAGTTTCAGAAACCCTCTTACTGAGTTTTCCACAAGTGTAACCCAGATTAGTCAGCTTACTGACTTATAAGTTTTAGATCTTCGTCCCACAATTGCGTTTGTCTGCTTACACATGATATTGGGGGCGCGTTTACTAGGTGTGTGCTTAGGACCGTAGAAATGTGGGTTTTGACCATTCCTATTCTCCATCCTCATACAACTGACAGTATTAGGTTGAATGTATGTATCGTAGTACCTGGGTGCGTCAACATTTATGCATTTACATTCTTAATATTAGTAACCAAAACCACAGTAATCGGTCTCGTCGCATATTTTGAAGAAAATTCGAACATAAAAATAGGTAAAGTTGACATCTGGTACATTCAGGTTTCAATGCTTTGGGATTTCACACCAGATTCCTAATCAATTCTTCCGAAGCAATGTCATCACAACATCATCTGACGAGGGTCTATGTTTATGTGTAACTGCAACTGTGGCTAATCTGCATAGTTGAAATGGCGACAAGCAGGATGTTTGCTGGCAGCGGCAAGCCCATGGTGAGCTTCAAAATCACCACTTTTCAGGATTTCTGGCCGGTTTAAATTGTTGGAACACACTTGGAGTCTAGGTTCACTCACACTAATTTTTTGGAAGTGAATATATACGAAAAAGCACCACATACTGACTCATTGTACGATAGGACTTTAACGGACATAAAGTTTCAGTAGATCTCCAAACAATGGGTCCCGGATTAGTGTTTCACATTTTAAAGTTACCTTATAATGGTAGTCTGTTGGGGTTGCGGTGCGAAAGCAGGCTTTACTTTCATGTACATGTAGGGCCTTAGCATTCGTTTGACTCGCTCAAAATTACCAGCAGACTATTTCGACCACCCCTCTTGAATGTGGGAACCTAAAATCGAGGGTAAAAGTCGAGTTATTTCTATCTGCTCTGTCAGTTCCCGCTCACCAAGTTTCTAAGCTCTAACAGGTCCTGTCCCAATCCAGTGGTACTACTTGGTTGATAGCTCAGAGTGTTAACTAAATCACCAAGCTATATGTAGATGCATCTACACCTATTAGAAAATCAATCCATTTCTTGTTCAATGACATCTGCTTTTCCTTTTGGATATTCATGTATAGCTCAGGGCGACCTCATTCGGCTACTTTTAATTGGCCCACTACAATCATTTTTCTCAATATGGGGGATAATTCGACCTTCAGTTGATGCACGTGCATCACAATCGCAGTAACTAAGCAGCAGTTATCAACAAATTCACTCTTAGACAATCCTTGACTCGTGGCTTATTTTACACGTACACAAAATGACTGCCTTTTTCCGAAAATTCGCTTGAACCCTTATGGGTCATATGAATTACAGCGCATTCATTTCAGATTAGAAGACCCTGAACGAATCTCGTCAAGCATATACTCAAAAGTTTAGGATTTATTCATGCGGGTGCTGACAACCGTCTTCTAGCGATCAAATACAGACAGACTTGCCTCCAGGGTATATATTTCGTGTCCAGATTACATCAACATAGTAATATGATAGACAAAAATATCGAACTTCCTTGAGGAGTCCTCTAATATTTAAAACATTTATTCACTGGAAACATGCGTGCTACTATCCTGGATTATTCGGAAGCGACCTCGATCACTCGATTGTTATGTTTTCAATAGCATACCATATGGGAATCGTATTCCGAATAAATCAAAGTAATCACTTAAGTAGCGATATTTATTATCATAGGAAGTTTCGATCTGTGTAAATTCAACTTTTTCGATTTCACCGTCCATTTGTTTAGTGCACAGGGTATAATTAAAATTTTCATTCAACATGGGGTTTCATTGTTGTATGGACAAAACTAAACAGATGATGCCGGAAGGAATATAAACGAAGTTGATGTATGAAATCCACACAAGCTATCAGTATTTGCTAACACATTCGGAGCATTGTTTTCAATGTAGTGAGCTTTTTCCTTCGTACGACGTCTTTATGGGACGAAGCCGGTATCTCACAATTTTTAGGTCCTAATAACTCTAATGCTAACTATGCAGAACTAGTGGTTCCAACAAAATGAAGGTGGTTTTTGACCACAGCTCAACAGAAACCTATATGGTGAGTCTAAGTACTAGATGAGTATGTTAATGTGACAGATATTCGAAGCCTGAAATGCACATCTACCGAAAGGTTATTTATTAGTTGTCTCTCTTGGACTTCTGATCCTTTCATAGTGTTAACGTTATATTTGAGCTGAACGGACACCACAGTGCATATAATAGTGGTTCCTGAAATACTTGAGAATACATAACACATATAACGATTAAAAAATGCAACATAAACAGTACCCTTGAACTCAATAAAATGAACTATCTTGGTAATTAAAACACATCGCCATTCACCTTCCAATATCTTTTAAACCGGATCACGAAGTGAAGTCAGACCTCTTTGTGTAATAACAAAAATTCAAAACTCTCGGTAAGAATATAGAAACTCGTCCAACTGATCTAAAATCTCTGTGACTAGGTCAGACCACTAAGTTCTTCTGTACACGGTACGAGATCATTAGTCACTCACAATCAACAGTTAGGTCTCAACGATAGCAATACATAACCTAGTGAGGTAATTTCTATGGTATCATACAGTAGTCTTAAGTTATATTGAAAACCACGAAACCCTCATTAATAAATCTCACTAAACGGTCAAAATCGTCACTGGTACTGATTTATAAGACCATTATATAACTACATTATCATTGTATTTTGATGACAATCAAGTATATATCATTTATTCTCCTACGTAGTCACAAAACTAGTTCGTGCTTTCGAATTGCGGAATAAAATTAACCGAATATAAGGATGACTTCGATATGTATTTAATTTGGGATCTTGAACCGACTAATATTAAACCACCATTGGATAGGTAGGAACACTGTCTGGTCGTTACACCGCAGTGCAGTACTCCAAAGAAGTACACAAACACGAACCTGCACAGAGACTTGAACTCAGGACCTCACGTGAACGTTTAACCCGTGGACTACTGAGACAGATCCAACAGCGTTGATGTCTGAATTCAACCACTTCGTAATATTGCGCAACTATGTTCGGTTATCTACAGTCGATTATTACATCACAACCTATACGCCTTAGATTCGTGTGTATAACGTTTATATTATACATCTGTTAACACAGAGAGATGATTGGAAAAAAGGCGACCGAAGATGACAAATGTGTAAATCGATTTTGATAAATTGTGGCGCAGTGTTTATAATAAAAGAGAAATCACGTGCAATTTGGCGAAGAGAATAGGTGATAAACCAATATGCAAAAATTAAACTTATATAAAAACAGTATAAGCTCATAATTGACAAGTTCGAACAAAAGAGCGGATAATGGATCGAAAAATATTGATTAAACAAAAATGATACTAAATGTTACAAACTACGCAGCAGAAGAATATACTGAATAGAAATGTCTAGTACTTGAGAAGTTAGTGTAATATTCCTTGATGAATGAGTTCGAAATCCAGCCCGCATGAATCAGTCCGAGTAACAAACTTTTCCAGCGGAGAGTTGAAGAGTAACAACGAAGAAAAGAAGTACGCTGCAGCCTTTAGTATGTAGTGGCCTACTTTTATGAAAAGAACACGAGTGGTATAACGGAAACAATTATTATTATAACCAATTGTACCAGTGATTGTTTCATTCAACCTGTTTGCTTAAGCGTACCGAAAATATACTTTTCCGTTGTTTTATGACCTTGCACGCACTCTGGTACGCTCAAAAGTTTCGCTTGTAAACTTTGGCACGACCTCGGTATCGTTGCGAGATCGCCAACAAATACCTCTCACTTCAATCGCCTTCTGATAATTGTCCTTCAGAGAGATCTAACCTAGCAACTGGCACGTAGTTTCCCTGTGGTGATGACCATATTGCCAACCGTGACTCGTCGCCTACTACAAGTACATTGAAAGTCTCTATTACTGACAGCCCGCTATCATGCCACTACAAAACGAAATAACAATAGCATCACTTAAACATAGCCAAATCATAAATTTCTGAACGAAGAAGTCCGAAAGTTTTGGAATTTGGCAACATTAGTCCAGGATACGGTGTGAAAGGGCAAGTATCGGTACCGTCAGAAAAAACATCGAATAGATTGATTCTACTCTTACGGTCACGGTTATTGTTTAATCATTAAAGACCAACGGATTTTCCGCCATTAACCTGATTTTGTCCCTTATAATACATTCGAAAACACTCTTCTCTAAATGGCCTCAACACGGAATGCAGAGTATTTTAGGACTAAACAGTGATAAACACAGTTAAATGGGTGTGTTTTTCCGCCCATAATTCGCCTGAAGAAACGATGAACTTCATATTGTTCCATCCGTCATCATTAGTCTTTTACAAACAGTTTATTCAAATCCTCATAAAAGGTCACTCTATAACTGTCACATAGGATGAGTCATTATAGATATTTATGTAACTTCAACATAGTCTTATAAGTTGGGTGGTCATTTCATATCCATCACGCATTGTGACATTAGGTATATTAGTTAAGTAGCGCAATAAATTACCCTAATATACAATCCTTCAACGCGTCCATTAAGTGTTACATTTGCCCTAATAAGCTCTGCAATTCATCTCAACATAAGGAATATCTTTTGAACAATAAGAGAGACAATTTTCATATCATAAACGAAAGAAGACACAGTTCATATTGAATGTAGGAATTGTTCAGGGTTTTCAGGCATCCACAAATCATTTGAGTGTGAGACCACCTGAATAAAATGTAAGTCCCTCTTTCTTGAGATGACTGGACATTGAACACATCCGTTGTTTTCGATCTTTTATAATCATCTGTATATGTATATACACACACATAGAATGTAACAAATTTCCAGTGTGCTTCGTTAACTTTAGCTGGTTCGAAATGTCATGTCACCCCTACTATTCATAATTGTCGTACTGATTCATTCTCATGACACTAGAAAATGCTATCGATTGCTTGCATAAACAAATGTATATTCATTGTACATATTTTCTGACACCGATCTCAATGATTTTTAAACACACAATACTCGCGGTAGATTCAACTGTTTAAGGTCGTCGGTTTACGGGAGGTAAATTTGAACCAAGTCCCTAAACCTCTGCTGACACGCGCGATAACATATTAAGTCGACAGCGGTTGTACTTCAGTATGTTTTCACTTTTAGACCACGACTAACAATTGTATTGAGGTCGTTTTGTTCTGGTTGTTGTAATGGCTGTTTCCAATGGTGTAATCACTGTGAATTCTTCCATTTACTGTGATTATCTTCCGCTCATGGTTTTTTGACAATTATATGGAGAAAGAAGTTTGAGATTTGATGCATAATAAACTTTTTTTAATAGTTGAAGTCTTTAAACATGATCTTGTCCAATAGATAGTGTCTTATGGTACATAATGCCTGATTGTTAGATGTTCATGAGAATTCTCATGATTAGTTGATTAATCAACTATTGACAATAACACTTTTACAAATTGGTTTCAATGAGCAACACAGTTGATCAAGGGTATCGCGTTATTTTTCTCTAAAATCACATGTTTCAGTACAAAGTATGATACAGGAAAGCAAACATGATTGAATATCATTTCACAAATAACGGTTAGGATGATGAAAGTATTAGAGGTCACTCTCTTCAATAGAATTGTGACCTGGCTGTCGGACCAAATCTTTGCTTTGTCACTTCAGTAACGCTTAATTCATCAGTTTAAAGTTTAGTCTTGTCAATATGGCTACAAAAATTTCCTCAGAATACCATAATCTTTTTCTTCCCTACATGGGTCGTTAGCATTTTAAAAATATTATAAAAGTCACTTTGATTGTTACCTGAAAACATGGCATCTTCATTTAGTGATTAACATAGCTGTTGGTAAATTGAAAAGTAGTACACGTGTACTTCTACGTTTGAGAACAGTTATATCACCAAGATCAGCAACTCCATCTAGCACTATTCCTTACCAAAAATAGTCGAAAAGCTAGTTGCAATATCCATCATACCTTATATTTCTGTTTATCAGTAGTAATTACCTCAGTTAGATAATTTTTCGCGACATTTCTGTACTTGGTTTGTATATGCTAATTCCTGTCTAACACCTCAATTTTTCTTCTCGAACAGATAATGGGGCTATGCGATGCATTAAGAGGAAACGTGATTTACGAGACGATAAGAGTAAGATGATTTTTAATAGAATTTTATAACTGTATTGTTTTTACTTTATTACCGAATAATATGTTCATAATTCTTTTAATGAACCGTTAGTTTATCATTTATTCAGTCCCACAAAACTAAGCAGCATCTAATTTATTGTATGCATATATGAAATCCGAATTTTCTTTGCTAAAAGAGTTTATTGCCTATTAATAAGTTCTTTATTAATTAGCTGATAAAGTACTTTTCATATAATCCCTATGGTTTCGGTGCTTTTTCAAGTTAAATGACTAAAACGTCTACATTTCACTTTGAAGCCGAAATTTGCCAAAAATATAAATCTATCGAGCGATCAAAATCATTTTAAGGTTGTAAAATATTGTATGCTTCAAATACTAGTGTATGAAGAAACCTTTTTCCGGAAGTACACTCAATCATGAAAAGTTTATGGAAGATCTTAAATTATATTAGAGATACTCACCAGTTAATAACTATAACCATTAATGTCACAGAATTCACCTGAGTATATTTGCTGTTCAGCTAATCGCGATTTTGACTGAAAGTATGAAAATCCCACATGTGTCAAATACACACCTTAAATGACATATTCATTTTTCCACCAATTTATCTTAAATTTCTGTAAATCAGATGATAATACCAGGAGAAAATGTACCAATGCTTCGGTTCATCTTCCTTTTGTCATAAGTTGTACTTTGAGGATTTTACTTCCTGACTTTTCCATCTTAACTATCATTCATAGGTTTCGCAGTGGTAAGCTGATTTGCTCCTTCCGTCATCAGATTTATTTCCTTCACCTTTCATTTCTAATTTCACTACTAAACCTCATTGTAAATCGTTAAGTTAATTTGCACATTAATGTAGTAATAGTCATGGCAAAAAATCGGAAAGCAAGGGCAACATCCTTGCATTTAAAAGACATATAGAACTCAAAACAACCGTCAGCCAACATCAGAGATTGATTCTTCAACACAAACGTCAAGACAGTTTTGTTGTACGGAGCTGAAACGTGGAGAACTACTACATACATCGTCCTAAATATACGGATATTTATAAACGGTTTTTTAAGCTAGATACTCCATATCTGTTAGTCGGATACCATAAGCAACAATCTTCTGTGGCAGAGGACGAACGAGCTTCCATTTTAGGTGGAAATCAGGAAAGGACGATGGAGGTTTATAGGAAATACGTTGCGGAAATCACGAGACAAGCGGTAACTTGAATTTCTGAAAGGAAAAGGAAAAGAAGACCAAGAAGCACATTGAGTCAGGAAACGGAAGCAGACATGAAAATAATGAGTAGCAACTGGAAATGACTGTCTAGGATAGAGTTCGATGGAGAATTGTAATTGGAGGCCTATACTACTCTGCGAGGGGTAACAAGCGTAATTTCAACGTCACCAGCCATGGTTAGATATTATAAACTGCATATTATCCACTTACCTAAATGAGCTCTTTATCAAAAGTTACTTATTCATACAATATTGGTGTCTTTCCATCTTTTGATAGTCTAATTGCATTAAGGCTCATCAAATTGATAGGCGACTAACAGTTTCATCAATTCTTAACTAATACCAAGTTGCATATTTTGAGAATTCTCATCCTAACTCATAAATTCTAGTAATGTTTCTCTAAAATAATTGAATCAACAGATCAATGCACTTTGAATAATCATATGTTTTATGTTTTATTATACTTAGCCTTATGTCATGTTATGTTTGCCAAATGATTCATTGGCTTCAGAGTCGTGTATTTCTGAATTGAAGTGTGCATCTGCCTACTTGGATTGTACTTATTTTATTCTACGTGTTATTAATACTGAGTTGTTACAGATAAAGCAATCGAATAAAATGAAGGTTAGTTTGTGACTTAACTCGTGGAATCCATGAATTAGTCTTTTTAATTAACGTTCTTGTGTGTGGTTTGAGACCAATGTATCCTATACCAGTTAAACACTTCCCCACTGGCGCTTGGTCACATTGAGTTTTGCTTGATGGCTGTACTTTGGGTTTTAAGTATAATCATATCATTTCGTAAATCAGAGACTGTATTGGTAAATAATGCTTTCAAGGTGATGTGATAAGCGCTTGAACAATGGATTGTCATTCAATGATTAAAGTCATCTTACAATGTCAATGACTTAAGAATTTTGACGTACACTATCCTAGTGCTCTTATTATGCATCATTGAATCACCCTTAGACCGAGTACCAGTAGCAAATATATGATTTTTTCTTGAGATACATAATCACTATGCTTCATTATTATCTGTTTGTAAATCACAACTTTGGTCAGATGCCGAGTGTCCATACAACTTAGTAGTTTACGACACTACCAGTTCCCTCAAGATTACAAGTATACCTTGCTGGTAAGTGTCAAATAAAACGAAACAAAAATCTAGGGTTTCCTACTAACTATCTCCAATCACCTAGTATCTTAACATGTTGCAAATGATAGCTGATTACTTAGACTAGTGACCGCATTATAACTTGATATTTAGAATTTGATCAGCACCAAAGGACTAGACAAATCTAACATTGTTGACTACCCAGTAATCAGTCAATTGTAGTTTACAACACCATCAGTAATTACTCAAAGATCAGGACTAATGACTATTTCGCTGTATGTTCGTCTTACCTTACCCACGAACAGAGTACTAGGCTTATGAAGTCACTCGTGTTTGTGTTTAACGGAAATGTTACTTATAGTGTTATTGTTACTACCATTGTTATACTTTTTATGTCACTATTTTATTTATCTCATTTCATGTTGGCACATTTGCTTGTGTTCAAAAATTTTAATGCCTTTTTATTTTCCTTATAACGTAGTAAATAATAACCATGATTTGAAAATAATATCCGTTTTTCCCATCTCATTTTATTGAAACAAGTCCGATGATTTTTACAGAAATGTATTATCCATACTTGATTTACTGCTTAAACCTGAGAAAAAGCCGTCAGGATTTCTGGGAGAACTACCAAAACGTAAGTAGTCTTGTTTTTTTATCCAGAAAAATATTGTTGATATTCGAGTAAATGATTCTCTGCTGTGATTTTCATCAAATTAAATTCACCTTTTACCAATGCCAATCAGTACCATTTTAAATCATATGTACATCAAAATATCGGTCATTTACTTATGAGAAATGTTTAAACCAATCCTTATAGTTGCACTGAAATTACATCTGAGTAACTAAATGTATACGGTTGTGAACCTATTAGGTATATCTATCATACAACTAGAATAAATCGCCTGAAGTAAATTAGTTCCAACCTTTTATCTTAATCACACTGATTTCTTTTTTATCATTGTTTGGTCTATTCCTTGATGAAATTTAATAGAAATAACAAATATTACACCAGGTATTATCATCTAAAACATTTAAAAGCTGATTAATATCAGTTTAATTCTTTACAAATTAATGATATCTATTTCTTGTTATTGTAGCAAAAAGTGATTTATTTCGTCATTCAAAATATTCCCATCTACGTCATTATTTCACTCAAGTATGGATTTCGTATCTAAACAACGAAGTAAGTGTTACTTTGTTTATTTATCCATCATAACTGTTTCTGATAATATTGTAAGTGACCATTAATTTGCAAAAATGCGTAGTTAAATCGTTACATGTAAAGTTGATTTGTCTGCATGATTAACTTACAAACAACTGATTATTTTAACTTTTCCCGTCCACTACTGAATGAGAGACAAGGTAATATCAAAAGGCTCCAAACAATAAACGTGACTTGCTAAGAACTTCATCAAAACTTGTAAGGGAATACTGAGATACTTCAGTATGCTGATGTCAAATACCATAATAAATTCGACAAGCGAACTAGGCAGAAGACATATACACGTTATTCCTATTTACATTTTAATTCATAGAATATGTAAATTATTAAATGCCTTTCCTATGTCGTGACATTATTTTATCTGCTTGTATTGACAAAACAATGTATGAATTCCTCGACTTCCCACCTTATCAACACATTTAAATACACTAAGTCTCTAATACCAATGTAGCCGACTTACCGAATACAAATTTGTGTAATCTGTTCTGAACTGCACTTTTTGCTGGAGCCAGTAATATGTTCCGCGCTTAATAGGGTAAAGATTAAGCGTTATATATATATATATATATATATATATATATATATATATATATAAGCGCTATTGGTCCATTGTATCTTTTAGTATGCTATTTTGTAACGTTTCCTAAGGACAGTTTTATGCTATATATATATATATATATATATATATATATATATATATACGTTTGATTTCTTCCTGTTGTGATTGCTTGTGCTTCTGGCTGCTTACGGAATATATCTTCCCCCAATTCCAACTTGGAATTCTCACTCTAGTTAGCAGGGCCTTGGACAACGGATTAGAATAGCATATCGTGTCACTGTGTCTTGACCTTCGTTTCGTTTACCGAGTAAGGTGGACTTGTATTAACATCAAGTACATCACTTTCATTATTCTTTTTTATTCGCTCATATACTAGTTATCAGATGACATACGTATAAAATCTATACGGTATTTGGGTAATGAGGGCATGAATCGCTTAGCCGAAATTCGATTATTAGCTGATCACATTATACCAATTTTTGATCCTGATCCGGAGAATAAATTGTCTCAAACAGAATTGGCAAAATTTCCAACTAGTTGGTCTCGTGCAGTTTGTCATGCAGTACTTGGTTTGATTCAAAAAGGTGATTTCAATTATCCACGTTTATACATTCGGCTGTATCGTTTATTGGACGAAACTTTGTTTGAATGTCCAGACGTTAAACCTTTTCTGATTAATTTAGATATTTATTTAAGCTCCATGTAAGTGTTCACTCTAGTAATCTCTTAATATGAAACAATTTTAACTCGACTAAAGTAATATGTTAACTTTCCAATTGTTATTTATGACTACGTAATAAGTATCAGCAGTCTTGATAGAATTTGTTCAGATCAAGTGAGATTTCGGAATCTGTGCCGAAATTTTATTTACATACTAACCCACAAGGATCAACAAAAATTTCAAGTTAAGTGGTGTTTTCACTTAAGTTTTGTAGTATTTAGTCTACAAGCTTTGTATAATAGCCCTTGAGTATGTCATGAAGTTAAGATATATAATACTTAGCCAAGATAAATCTCAAATAATAATAATACTTATACACTCCCAAAATAGGCACTCTAAAAGTTTTAATAGACCATAAGACTATTCATTATATGTGAAAAAATTATATTTAAATTTCAATCGCTGAGACTACTTCAAATATAATTTTTTCACATATAATGAATTCTCTATACTCGGCGCCCAATTATTGTCAAACTATTCGTTCTAACCTTGACGAATATTCGCATAAGATTCTTATTAATAGTTCACCCCCAAATGCCCTGGTACGGCTGAGGGTGGGAAGGGCCCGCCCTCTCGCTCGAAATGCTCTCACACGACCATATGTATACAGCCACTGCCACGGAAATCCTACTCACTGCCTTCTCGTGGCGGGGGTGTTGTTTACGAAACTGAGCGGATGAGGTGCGAATGTCCGGCGTTGGTGGAAATGGAGAATCCACCTAGGGTAGTTGGAAAACCCTGATTAAAAACCAATGGTGCACATGAGCTCTAGGATCCTGAGGGGGGACATTTGCACATGAACCAATTGTTGATCACCTGCTACCATAGGACTGCATCTCCCAACGTTGCTCCACTGCATTGTGGATTAGATCTTTAGGTCGAAGGCTTCGGGTGTTACCCTCTAAGAAAACCACCTGCTTCGGTCTGGGCACCCGAGCGGTATCCCAGCCCACACACAAATCAAGTGACTTGTGTAGTGCACATGTATTCGGTGCCCCATTGTACCAATATTTATGTGTTCAGAGAAAATTTTAAAAAAAATATTAATAGTTCTGACTAATCTTTGCTGTAGAAACATTCAAAAATGAATTCAATCCACCCACGTTAAAATGCTTATTACTGATTCACATTAGTTGTTTATCATTTTATAATTATTCACTGTAAAACATCAAACACAATAAAGGTTTACTTTTTTGTTGAAAATAGTGTAAAATGTCGTATTCCAACAGTCATTATTCCATTTTTTCTACGTAATCAATTTACTGTTTTTTCTTCTTTAAATTGCAACTACTTATTCGGTTTTTCCTTTATTTTATACTTGTGTTATATAAAGTTTCTTTTGTTAAGATTATTTTAACTTTTGTTATTCATTATGACATATATGTGTCATGTGTTTGTTAATTATCAGTGTTTTTATCTTTTAATAATTCTTAAAATATCATTCATCAAACCTTTTATTGTTTTCTGGAATTCTCCATCATTGTTTATGAAGATGGATAGTGGCTAGCATCCATCTTTGCTTATAATGCTTGTGAATTAAGGCTATATCTAGGCAATACGCACAGTGTGCACATATTGCCAATTAGAGACTGACTGGTTGCAGTCCTAAACATTCATGGGAAGATTCGAACCAACAATATTAAGTGAATTTATTGTTTCTGATGTTTTTAAAACGATTAATCTTAATTTTTACTTTTGTTTTATTTTTCCTTAGACATTTAGCTACATCAGTTGTTGCATCATTCTTAAAACGACTATCTCAATTATCCTTATTCAGTCCAATTTCACTTATACCTGCAATACTTTTAATTATTTCCAATGGTTTAAAAAATCATCCTCATTGTCGTGTTTTAATTAACTATAAACAGAAAAAGTCACCAAAATTAAATAACATTCAATCAGATGATGCATTACATGTAAGTTTTTTATTTATTCCCTTTTTTACAACTAAACAATATCACTATCCTGTTAAGAGAATGAAGATTTTTTCAACCCATAATAGTTATATGTTTCATTTTTTGCTTTGTAAAACAAAAATAATTCATATTATGAGATGTTATAAATTCGCTACATTCTACAATATTTGTTGCTTTTATTGTAAAACAAATTTCGTGGACCGGTTGAAGTTAGACATTAACACCGTTGGATGCCGGATCAGTGATCTAGAAGTTAAGTGTTCGCGTGCGAGACTGATAGGTCCTGGGTTCGAATCTCTCGAGGCGGGATCGTGGATGCGCACTGCTGAAAAGTCCCATACTAGGACGAAACGGCCATCTAGTGCTTTCAGGCTTTTCATGGTGGTCTAGCTTCAATTGATTCATGATCTCAACTATCAAAATAATATTTGTCAAATACAAATAATTGCATATTGTGTCCTAATTTTTTTCTAGGCACAATCAATTGGTGATCCTTATAATTGGGAAGCAGATACTTTTGATTTATCTAGAGCATTAGAAAGTAGTCTATGGGAAGTTTATGCCCTAATTGGTCATTATTCACCAGATATCTCATCATTAGCATATAAAATTTGTAATCCTGATCCAACGGATACGTTTAATTCTTCTGTAGCTGACATACTTGATAAACAAAAAAAGGTGGGTAGTAATTCTTTTTTTTTCATTTTTTTAAACAATATCCGATCATTTGTATAAAGTCCGAATACTCCACCTTGGCTGCTTCATTAACGTTTATCGAATTCCATTTCACTGAAATCCAAGGTTTGATCGTTCAAACTAGTAATTGACTTTTGGTACAATTATATGTGAACGAGCGTTCGAAATTTTTAATCTTAGCATGATGAAATAGATTTCTATTTGAAGCGATTGCTTGTGTTGTCTGAGTTAGAGGGTTTAATCGTGATGTGTTCATTGTATTTCTGTATAAAATCATCAACTCCTACTTCATGTAGAATGAGGCCCCCAAATGCCCTGGTACGGCCGAGAGTGGGGAAAGTCCGCTCTCCCTCTCGAAATGCTCTCACATGGCCAGCGAATATATAGCCTCTGCCAGGGAAGTCCTACTCACTGTCTTCTCTTGGCGTTACTGTTGTTTACGAAATTGAAAGGACGAAAAGCGAATGTCCGGCGCTTTAACCGGGTTGGTGGATGTGGAGAATCCACCTAGGGGAGTTGGAAAACCCTGATTCCAGACCAATGGTGCACATGGGCTCCAGTATCCTGAGGAAACAAATGGCGTACGAATCAATCGTTGATCACCGGCTACCATGGGACTGCATCTCCTCACGATGCTCCACTGCCTTGTGGATCAGATCTTTCGGTCAAAGGCTCCGGGTGTGGTCCGCTAAGAAAACCAACTACTTTAGTTTAGGCACCTGGGCAGTATCACAGTCCTCACACAAATCGAATGAGATTTGTGCGGCGCATGTGTATCTGGTGCCTCCTTGTACCAATATTTATGCGTTTAAATAAATAATAAATAAATAAAAAGAATGAGTGGTTTTAATCAAGATGGAAATATAGAATATCAAATTCCGGCTCAGTGGTGTATATGTAAAATCACTCTACATTTAAAGCTCCGTTTGATTTTGAATAAGATTATAAGTGAGCAATACTGGAGAGTCCCAAACTAGGTGAAACCGCTATTTAATAGGTCCTTGTTCACAGTAGTTATTCAATTGGTTCGAATGTGTGATGAAACACTATCTTCACGTTAACCTAATCTCCCTGAACCTTTCAACCATAAAAATGGAGAACGTCGAAGTGTAATGCAGTCAGTTATGGACAACTCATAAACCTTGACATCACAGTGAATAATCTAAATCGTCAGTTAGTTTTAAATAACCTCTCTAAACCGGTTTATAAAAATAGTAACACCAATCAGAGCACCCAAGTAGCAAGCAACCTTTCTCAATATGTACAGAAGTATGAAAAACGGATGTATCTGCAGTTTTTAATTTGTCTTTAATTATTAAATTCCGGTTGTCTAACTTTCGATTTTAGCTGTCTGTGTATCCGATGTAAGAAGCCTGTATACATTCACATATTAGATTATGAACCTCTGTAACATTTGATATCTCTATTATGGAACTTTTTGGTCATGCTATTCTAACTGTTATCACAAAATAGAGGAAACGATTACCTAATCATTAAAAAATTTTATAGTTGCTTCATTCAGTGTAATTTCTATATATTACTAACCTTTACGTCATTCACTAAATTGTTTCATTCTATTGGAAAACTGTTTAGCGATCAGTCATTACCGAACACGTATTATCCTTCTATTTTATCCTGTAACAGTTGTTTAGTACAGTAGATACAGATGTCATATGTGTCTACACTGTCCATTATCGAATTCTGTGTAATTCATCGGAAAATATACAAAGAAACTCATGCTAAACCTTATCTTGTTATCACCAGTGATTTTCTGTAAATTATATCAAAATGCTCTGAAATAAACTATCATGTTATCTGATTCTCACTAAAGATCCCGCTTTAAGTGCTTATTTGCCATCAGGGAATTCAGTGGCAAACAAACTATTAAGCTATCATTATAAAATCAGAGATTTTAGCAGAGAATCATAATAAATGTTAACATGTGTAGTGAACATCTTTCACAAAACGTTTTTCGAATGGAAAACTTGAGAAAAAACGGCATGTTTATAACTCCTTACGACATATATATTTTAAACAGACTTCGTGGTTAGTTTCTGGGTTAAAATGGAAACGCTCATTGTCTAGACTGTTTTTTAATACGACGTTTCCTGGTGTAGTTGAAAGCCTGTGATGTCAATCACTAGAAAGATTACAAGTTGCTTTGTTCAAATAACCTACTTCCAACTCTTAATGCGAAAGCCTGCTCAGAAAATTAACTTCAAGGGTGTGACCAACGGAAAACATTCCATTATACTAAAATAAGGCAATTAGGGCAACTCTTCAGGAAAAAAACCCTATACGATGTATCGTCTTACATCACCTACTTCTTGTTTTAAAGTGTTGGCGCCATTACATTGCATAACTCGGGAGAGTCTATAGCGGATCGATTGGCAAGAAGCAAACTAGGTTCCATTCTAGTCATAGATGCTGTAAATATACGTTCATTCACTTTCGCATATATCTTAAAGCAACTGTCATTATCGCTTGACATCAAAAACATCTGTTGCCGAAGTACCTCTAAACAATGCATGAATATTTCAATAATTACTTAAAAATATTGGATGACATGCGAGCTTTTCAGGTCATATACACGAATCTTGATGATCAGAAGACAGTTATGCTAATTTGAAATACATTCAGCGTTATCGAGACATTATGTCCCTTAAAACAAACCTATGATGCCCGCAATTCTACCTGATCCGATCATGACTTTGACGTATGCTTCACATGTTGCCTCGATGGCTTCCATACCACAAACAATAGAATTGAGTGGAAAATGCGTAAGGATGGTCAGTTTATGATATTGACTTATGACATAAGGGTTAGTTGAACTGAATTCACTTTCATTATTTTACGGCAGCTATCTGAATTTAATTTTATACATCCCACGAATGTATGGTGTGGAACTTTTTCATGTACTACCTAGACTACAAACTAGTAATTACTCCGTTATAGTTCCTGATTAGATTGTTCGCAAAGCGTCCAGGGCATCTAACTAAAAAATATATTTTATAAGCAGAGTTGGATGGTGGCTTGCAGTGAAATCCAGGACGCACGTTCTGTCCCATCTGAGACTCGTCAGCTGGACCTACTTACAACCGATCGAAGAAATTCGCACAGTGTGCACATATGCCGAGAAAGACTGATTGATTGCAGTCCTAAACATCAACGAGGAGATTCGAACAACCAACACAAATGAATTAAATATATCTTAGTCATGTTATCATCTATAATATTCCTCTTCAGTAATTTATTTTCTTTGTATCCTTAGAATACTGTTTTATTTCATGTTTTACTTCCTGGTAACTTACTGTACCTGACTTTTTAAGTTAGGCGATACGGTAATACGTTTTGGTTAAATAAAAGAACATTACTTCAAAATAACTTAGCTCTAAACCCAATCATAACTTATCTTTTTTTTCTTTCAGAGTATTAAAGAAGCAACCCGTTCTGTGAAGGAAGCATTGTACCTGTTATCTCAAACTAATATTACGATGCCAGAATTACCTCCACTTGATGGTTGGGCGTAATTAATTTTCCTTTTCTTAATTAATTCCTTTTTGGTGCAGAAACGTTTGAATTTTTATACAGCTTACTATGTGTGCAAGAAACATTTTTAAGTATAAATATCTGGTTCTTTTGTAATAATACTGAACGTTTTGATTCTGTTCATATTTTCACCTTTCTACTGTTATATCCAGTAGTTTAATTTTGTGTAAATAACGTACACATTCTATGAGTTGCATTTACATGTTACGGTAATTAGTAAAATGTTTTTGTAATTAAGAAACCGTGTTTTTTGTATTTATTTACTTCTATGGTGTTCTCATTTCTTGTTACGATAAATTCTCGTATAGTACAAATAATTCACTGGAAAATCAAGTTAACAAGGCAAACTTTGCGTTTTTGCCGGATTTATTCAAAATTAGGATATTCAACCATAGGGTTTTGCAAATGTTATTCAGTGAGAGTGTCATTAATTGAAATTATCTTGACAATTTTCAGCCTCTCACTTTACTTGGTTGACCTATTAAATCAACTGTCAAGTAGCTCTTAGTTGAACTGCTTTCTATAAAATGGTAATGAAAAATAATGGTTAAGTTTATCTGTCATGTGAGCTTTGTATGTTCAGTGATGGCAAGTAGTTGGCCAGAATATCGAAAGAAGTCAGGTTTTTTAGTGTTACGGGCTATCAATAACATTCAACCTAAAGATCTAAGTGTTATACTGACCTGAAACAGTATCATATTAACCCTGCACTTTTTCAGTTTTCATCATGCCGGAGTTTAGTTCGGAGATATCTGTCCTGTGTACTTAAGCTTGTTGCATTGTATGAACTACACGGTGATGTATCCATGTTAATAGATACCAGAGAGTTATTATAATGAACAGAAGTTATAGAGTAATTTTGAATGCAACCATGTAAAAATAATAACTTGTGGATCAGTATATTACCTATCTTAGGATGTTTAATGTGCTTCATGTTCCTCAAGTGATTTCTTTCTGAAGTCGAGCGCGGTCAGGAAATATTCTTATTCACTCTACGTAGGCGTTAATCAAATTCCTTCAGTGGATTATCAGGTTCTCTAGTTTTGTAACTAATCTCTTATGGCAATGAGAAGCTGAGTATGATGTGTTTCGCGACAACTGAGACGCAGTCAATGTATTTTTTGACAATAATAAGGGGTCGTCTTAAAAAGGGTTCATGATATATTCTGTGAATAACCCATTGGTGCAATAAGTAATCACATGTAATATTCTGTTTTCCAAGCCTCACTAAATATCCCTCAATGTCAAAAAGCTCATTTTGCGCAATAGATGTTAACGAGCTTTATGAATGCCTTTACAAAATCAAATCTAAAAGAAGTTTTGATTTATAAGGCAAGCCCACACACGTCCACTTTCCTGTACTATATATAGTACTATAGGGTCATATAACGACTGGATGTATCACTGTCATTCTGTTGATCGCTTTGTGTTTATTCGCGTGACTAGTTATGAACTTTCATGTTTATCTGCAGTATACACACGAATTGGATTACTTATTCATTAGTTTTAACGAAATTGCAATATTTCCTGGTTGCTCGCTTGAATTGTTACTGGCTGAAATACAGTTCAGGTAGTACTGATCCTCCCGTTCTCACCGTGTTATTGCGCCACTATTTGCTGTTTACGTTAGTGTCATTAGAAATTCAAATTTATTAATCCAAACAGTTGAGAGAGCTTAAGAGCCAACAACTACTTTCATTATGTGATAAAAATCCACAATGATCTGCTACTTATTATCATATGGAGACTAGGCGATTTAGGGTTGAATCTTTAGGATTGCTGGTCTTAGTGCAATATTGTAGAAACCACTACATTTAAAGAATTGAGCCCTCACCGAAAAACGGGGATGAAACTCAGTTTCAGGCTTTCTCATCCTGAAATTTAGAAGTTACAGTCTCCCTCAACCTTAGAAAATCCTTTTTTGATTATAAACGTAATCTTCATTTTCTACATAACTAGAGTCGGGATAAAATTAATGTACAAACATCTCAGATCTTTATGAGTTGATGTATTGCATATGTTTCAATTTCAGGATAGATAATATTTGTAGATCACGAGTTCCTGATTGGAATGTTGGATAGAACATGAACGACGCTCCAAGTGACATTTGAGAAAAAGAACTACGGAATATTACTTGCCGCTGAGCGCTTGGATATATTTGATGTTTCCGCAGTATACTTTATGTTGCTCACTCTTTAATAAAGTTAGTTATAAGGATTCTTCAAGAGTTGACAGATTTTTTGTAGAAGTATTTACTTTAAAACCATTTTGTTCAAAACACCTTCCTTATTTAAGCGTTTTATGTGACGCCAACTCTCTGTCTCACCTAGGGTAAAAAAGTTAGCATTTATGATAACCTTTACATTTCACTACAGTTTTTGGTTGGTTTGCGCTTAGCATATCTAATTTTGCCCACCGTTTTCGGCTTATGGTCCTTTCTTTGTTATTATGGAATTACTTACCAAATATTTTGATAGCGTTTACTGAATTACTGTCCTTTGGTGGCTGATGTATAGAGTTACTTTGTTCATAGTCGTTAAGTGAAACGCACTGATGTCGAAAATGTTGATTGCTCGTCTTCTAAATGAATTGAATAAGTTCATCCACTTGTAACAGAGATACTCACTTTGATTAGTAGGAACACTTTCCCTATTGACAAGTAACTAGTTTTACAACTCTCTCGAAGTACAGTATAGCGTTATTTCTCCAGCGTGAAACTCTTATTTTAAGATCACTTGATTGTACCACTTCTATCAGATATGAATAGGTCCGTATGACTTTTCTCTCGTAACGATTCACGCACATGCGCTATCTGTACTATACATGCATATTTACATTGGCACATGGGCACATTCATATCCAAATTGCCGTCTGTTAAAAAGATGGTGTTTAATTTGCACTTAACGGATCAGTTAAAGATGTTATCCAGGACATCCCAGAATTACAGTGACTCTGGACATATTTTTTACATCTATGAGAAGAACATGTTAAGTGCAATTAAATGTGGTTATTACGTAATACTTCCTCAACATTAAAACTACATTACCAATAATAAGTGTCGCAAAAGTAAAAGGTCCCCGAAGTCACCTTGTTTTTATTTTTTTCTCTTGCGAAACACCATTGATTCACACAAACATAGTGCTGGTCGGCTGAAAAGTAGCTTCGAGTCGTACCAAAATCGTTCAAATACTATTAACTTGCGTAGTTGATCGGTAGAAAAAAGTCTTGTCTTGCCGACTTTGAACAGGTAGATTCATTCTGGGTGCTGTGCGTTTGAGGCGCATGGAATTAGTGAGGTGTTTGTAGTTTGGTAGGTCCTTCCGGTAATGTATTGTTTATGTTAATTTACTCAGATTCGAAAGCAACGGTGCGTCTTCTAGATCTTAGGAGTATAACATCAAAGTTACAATATGGATCGTTTGACTTCGCGTATCCCAACAATATATCTAGGCTATCCTGTTTGCTTAACACGATTCGAAAACGGATGGAGTCCTACGGGTAATAAGACTTACTGGGGGGAAGTAGGCAGAGGTCGTTATTGTGTTCAGACAGTGATGCCATTGTCACACGTGAGAAAATCACGATACTCATCAGTCACTGAGCGTCAGCCTCCACTGTTTAGTATCGTGAAATAGAGATGTAGTCGTATTGAATCCTAACCACACAATCCTCAATGCTGTACATGAGTTAACAGTGGAAACAGATATTCAACATTTAACACGGAGAAAAGGCCAACAATGGGAGACACAGTAAGAACCATTCCATTGGCACGGCGTGGCTGGTCCTTACTGTGTAACGAATACCTTTCCATAATAAATATATCGTTTCCTCCCTAGGCGAAATGTGTTCTTCCAAAGCGCTAAGTATCATGTTGTTGATTGCCACGACACAATGAGTCAGTGTAGACGATGCTGAAACTCCCACGCAAGATCTTATATATTATGCGGTCAAATCATGGTATATCTACAGTTATGGGGTTAGGTCTATTATTGTAGTAGTACTATTAACAATTTAGACGATAATCTTACAGACACATGCTAAGCTAGTTTAAAACCAAATGATGTTTCACTAACAATTCAGCACATTCATGCAGTCTGTTAGTATTTAAAATTCTCTGGAAATAACATAAACTGTGCTTTCTTTTTAGCTTCACCTTCGTCTTACTTGTCCCATCATGACTTTTCGCCTGAAAGCACACGGTACACTAGTTTCACCGAAAATTATCTGATCCAGGAAAGAACATAATGTCAAGAAAAGTGACCACACAACACTGGAAACTATTAGTCCGAGACCATAATTTATGTTCGAGCTAATAAAATTAATAGTAGAGAGTCCTGAATTTTATCCATTTATATAGTTAAATGGAATTTTGGCATTATAGCTGGTGTCACTTTGCGACGCAAACATTCACCCTAGTTCCCAACCTTGGATTGTAACCCTTTATTTTTAGTTCTGATTCCTATTACTATTTTATAACCCTCTTTTGAACCGAGAAGTTAGGTGGATTTAATTAAGGTCACTTAGTCTTTGCTAGGAAGTCGTCCATAAATTATAGCCTCACCAAAGTTAACGCGAGTTAAAATAGTTTGGTAGAAACAATGAAGGATATTTTTAATACAACCAAAATCACAGTAGTTCTGAACATGTCGATACCAAATCCAGCCTTATGATTGATACCTATGGAATAAATATTGTTTTCTAGAGCCTCTGTATGGAGTTGTATATATGTGGGGTTGTAACAACCTAAAAAATGTGACCACGCACCGAGAGAATAAAAATACTAAAATAGTAACATTTAGTTCCTTCATACTTTCAACTTTCAGCTCAATGAATCGGTTGACCCGGTTTTCGCGTCATGGAATGAACTAAATGGTTAACCAAAGACCTGGCCAGGCTGTTTTAATGTGGCTAGATCTCAGCCAATTTTCGACCGATTACTACTTGCTTAATTTAAACTCATTCAAGCTCATTGAGCATGTCGCTATCACCTTTGCTTGGTGCCAACATATATTTGGTTCCTCGTTGTTATATCCTAGCGAGGACGATAAGTATGGGTAATTTCCAGGACCTATTAATGGATGATTATTCTATATATATTCTTATTGTTTAACTATTAAGTAACTAAATTGTGTATATCTATATTTATCTTATTATAAGCTTCATTTTGACCTTTCAATTATTATTATACGATTTACTATCCCTAAATTATATTCAGTTTATTGATTATTGTATCCCACGTTCACAGCCACATTTGGCTTGGTGTTGTACAAACATTATTTTCTATTTTATGGTGTGCTGCGGTCTGTCTGTCTGGTATATAAACAGAGTATGCTTGAAATAAATGATTCGCATAGATTCGTATAGCAGAAGCTGCAGTTCATGCAGAAAAAAGTATTAACAGCAGTTCCCTCAATGGTCCTGTGTATTTTAATGTTCCACACTTAAACAAATTTGATGACTGCAAAGTGAAATAATTCCTTCAAGCACAATTAATCGTCACTCTTCGTTATAAATGCACTAACATATACTGAGAATATGCTCAAACAGCTGCCAAATTGACTAAAGCTGGTGGTTTCGATTGACTGAACTACCCACATGGGATATTACCAAGTAATTGGACACTTACTCCATCAACAAATGTACAAGAGAGAAACGATCCACTTGTTTGTGTAGCTCGTCACAGATGATATCAAAGTTGAAAATTAAGGACTGTTTCAATTCAACAATACGTGGAAACATTAGACAACATCTAGAGACGGATAACGAAATCAGCCCCAACAGCGTATTGTCAAACTCGTAAAGATCTATGGCTACATTTAAATATGACTTTATGATGAAATGTTCAAACCCTATACAATCGTTTAAAACACTGATTAATGACTTCAAAACCAATAATAATGAGATCATCTTCGGCCAAAGACCTGCAGAGCTATTCATTTTGGGGATCTGACATCACGGTCAAAGGCCGTGAACACGACTTTTAAGGCAGTTAAACAGGTGCCCAGTGTAATCATCTGGAACTTGGCAGAAACGAAAGACACCGATCCCGCTAAGAGATATGCCCACGACCTGCAGTTAGTCGGATCTCTCATCAGAAATATACTGCCAGAGGAGGTCCCAGGGGTATATATCTCGAAAGTCATCAGACTTGGTAAGTATGTTGGAGGCGAAACCCAACAGAGAAGGATCCTCAAATTAGTACTCGGTAATTTTGAGGAAAGGGACGTATTACTAAATAACTCACGCAAAACTCGTGACTCAAACATTCGTATTCCACCTGACTGGCCACTTGAGGATCCGATCAAGTGGAAGAATGCCCTAACAGAGTTAAAAACTCGAAGGCTAAACGGTGAAGCGAACCTTACGATTAAGGGTTTTCGGGTAGTCAGGTCTTGGAAGCCAATGCTTCCGAGACCTGTGTGGGTAGAACGCATGTCTCCAAAAACACCCTAAATGTGTGTTATACGAATGCTCGCAGTCTTCGGAATAAGATGTCTGAACTAAGTTTGATGGTAGACGACTTAAATCCGGATATAATTGTTATCACCGAAACTTGGCTCACTGTAGATATAGACTGTTCTCCAGTCATTTCAGGCTACATCTGTGTCAGAAGTGATAGAGTTAGAAGTCGCAAGGAAGGAGACATAATATTATATATTAGGGACCACTTCCGCATTAACTCGATCATATCGGAGGCGCATGTAAGTGGTACGTGTGAGGTAGTATGTTGTACAATTAGGTCTAGAAACGGGTTAGTGACGATAGGAGGAATATATCGTAGTCCGTGTTGTCTCGCTGACGACTTTATCCTAAAACACGTCTGTTCTTGGAGTAAAGCAGAATGTTGTCTCATCGTTGGAGACTTCAATGCACCCCATATAAACTGGATAGAGCTCACAGCTCCAGGTGGGGGTTTCGATAACGTCCTTCTGTCATCAATTATTCAATGTGCACTTGTACAATGTATCGTTAAGCCGACGCATATAGACTTGGAACATAATCCGTCATTGATAGACCTTGTCCTCACACACCACTGTGAAGATATCGTTGACATTCAACATCTTCCCCAACTGGTGAATAGTGACCATGTCGTACTTTCCTTTAAGTTCCGGATACATGGTATAGAATTTGCATCAGCTCCACCCCGTCCTAATATCTGGAGAGCTAATATTCCGGCAATCAGGGACTATGCTATCTCAATTGACTGGTCGGTCGATGCTGATGGATCGATTGATGGTGCATGGAATAGGTTTAAGTCTACGTTTGAATCTGTAACTCAACCGTTTATCCCATGGTCAACACGTAAGTTATCATATTGCCCTCCATGGATTAATAAGGAAACCCGGAAGCTGTTGAAGCGTAGGAAACACTTCTGGGACTTATTCTTGTCAACAGGTCAGGCATCATATAAGTGCGAATATAAAAAAATCCGGAATATATGTAAAAAGACCATAGCTAAATCCCGCACGGCTTACGAACGACAGTTGGCATACGATAGTCGTACCTGTCCGAAGCGACTGTTTTCGTACGTTAAAAGGCGGACGAAACGTAGTGATGGTATCCCCTCATTACTGTTAAGCGAAAATTCAGCTTTATTGGCTGAATCTGATCTGGCGAAAGCGGAGTTATTTGCTAACTATTTCAGTGAAGTCTACTCTACGTGTAGTGTTACAACTACTTGTCCCGCTGACAATGAGATACCAGCCATAGGACCTTTACACGTGACAGAGGATATAGTTCTTCCTTTGATAACTAACCTAAAACCTTGTAAGATACCGGGCCCCGATGGGTTACACCCACGTTTGCTGTCGTCGCTTGCGGACATTATCTCAAGACCGCTCACGATGCTCTTCAACATGTCCCTTTCACAGGCTCAACTACCTAGAGACTGGAAAGACGCCATAGTTAGTCCCATATTTAAGGATGGTCAGAGACGGATAGTATCTAACTACTGGCCTGTTAGCCTGACCAGTATAGTAGTTAAGTTACTTGAAAAATTAATTCGGGCTAAGCTACTGAGCCACATAGATTCGTACAATCTGTTAACTCCCGAGCAACATGGGTTTCGTAACAAGCATTCATGCTTGACTAACTTACTCATTGCGAGAAAGGATTGGACAGCTGCCCTAGACAACGGCCAGTCTGTCGACGTGATATTTATAGATTTTAGCAAAGCGTTTGATAAGGTTTCACACTTAGGTCTTATGCAAAAGCTCTCGAGCTTTGGTATAACAGGTGCTATACAGGAATGGATAGGAAGCTTCTTATGTGACCGCAGACAGAGAGTGAGAGTCAATGGAACTCTATCCGAATGGAAACCGGTCAGAAGTGGTGTACCCCAAGGCACCATCTTGGGCCCTTCACTTTTCCTTCTGTATATTAATGAACTACCTTTATTACTTAAGTCATCGACGTTATTGTTTGCGGATGATGTTAAAATCTGGAGAACAATAAGAAATGAGACTGATCGTTGTTATCTACAAGCAGATTTAGACGAATTAGTTAGGTGGGCTCATGATTGGGGCCTGGAAGTTAATTCCAGAGCACGATATTAGTTACCACTATACCATTAATGGTACATCTCTGCCACGCGTTCATGCGCATAAAGACTTAGGAGTAATTATAAGTCACGACTTAAAAACTACTACGCACTGCAATGCGGTTGCTTTCAAAGGCTATCGAGCGCTATGGTCGCTTCGCAGAGCATTTAAATGCTTTGACGAGGATATGTTTCGAATTTTATATCCCACCTATGTAAGGCCACACTTAGAATACTGTATCCAAGCAACTAGCCCTTGTCTGATAAAGGATACTAAATCGCTTGAGCGTGTCCAGCGTGTAGGGACAAAATTAGTAAAGGGTCTTTCTAAACTCCCTTACGATGAGCGTTTAAAACGTCTAAATCTTTTCCCCTTATCTTATCGTAGGACGCGAGGTGATCTTATACTGGCATTTCGCATCTTTAATTATGATCTGGGTGTTAATATGTCTTATCTTTTTGCTCCCTCCAGCACTAATAATCTACGGGGTCATAGCAAGAAGGTTCTGAAACCGCGATCTAATAAACTAAAGGTGGGGTCCCGTTTTTCTCATCGAGTGGTCAATGACTGGAACGCTTTACCAGAACAAGTGGTATCAGCATCCTCAGTGAACATTTTCAAAAAGAAGCTGGACCTTCACTGGAAGGAAATCTGTCAGGATTAACACAGGTTCATCAACCTACTATCCTTATTACTGAAGACTGAAGATTAAAACTACAGTCTTTGTTTCACTTTTTGTTTTCTTATAGGTTAGTCTCTGAATTAAAATAGACACTTCTACATTTTTAATGAACGTAAAAGCTGTTAAACCAGACGTCACGTCTATTATGTTTTCTGTTTTTCAAAACCATTATGTTCGACATATATTGAAATTGAAGAAAGGTTATAGCCATTGCGCCCAGTTCGTATAGTTGCGGAATATAATATTTATTCAAACTTCCAAACTATGTCTTTGAAACAGGCTGTTGCTAAAAGTAAGTCTCCTACTACGTACTTTCTATAAATCTAGAATTAATGGATGAAATAATTATCCCGTTAAGAAAGCCTAAAGATTGGAAAGTTCTGGTTCTGGATCGATTAGCCACCAGAATTGTTTCTTCGTGCTGTAAAATGCATGAGATAATGAATAATGGCATAACATGTAGTGAATTTTTTTCGATAAATATTTATTTCATAGTGGTTGAAGACATATTTAAGAAGAGAGAAGTACTGCCGATTGAGGCAATATACTTGATCACTCCTACAGATGAGGTAACGAATATTACTATACTTCTCACTCTATAGTCCTTAAAACTTTTGATGGAGGATTTTCAAGGGTCCCAGAGTCAATATCGTTACGCCCACGTCTTTTTTACTGAAGGTAGGTTAACTTTGAAATGATCTATTACTGTATCATATATGCTCTCATCTCGAGATGTTTTTTTTTGATGATAAGCTCAATACCTCGGGAAACCTGGTGATATCCACGTGCAGATCCCTAATAGTTTTAGGCATTGGTTGTGACGCCCGCCACGTATATGCGTTAACCTAGGTTACTGTACCGCAATAACGCAATCAAATGGAATTCCCGAGAAGTGATGGAGTCGAGTCGGTATAGAAGCGATGAGAAAAAAACATGATTGGGTACAAAAGACACATTAAGTGTCATGCATTATGAAATACTGTGAGTCGATGCTCCCGCGAAATCGTGACTGGTACTAGGCTATATCGCGCATATGCAACGGCTGATCGTCGTTGTGCGTACTCCAAGTAGATAGTATGCATCTATCGAGATATCAGTAAGCGACTTCATGAACGGATACTGTCTTGATTTAGCTTCTCCTAGCTCTCTTCAAACCCACTACTACCCAAGCTAACATTGCTCGTCAAGGTAGGCGTGTTTAACCCGTCTTAACTACCTCAGTCAATAGTGGTTCATAACCATTCAACCCACTTTCCTCTTTTGCTTAGTACCCTATGTCTAAGATCAAAATTGCTCACTTGGTCGTTATATGAAACGTGAGCAACGGTTCGAAGACATCTCTGTTCCAAAACTCGTAGCTAATGCATATTTTCTACTTCGAAAGGGCATATTTCGTGGTCATAAAGTAATACAAAATGGAATGCTGTACCGTCCGCTCGCCCTTTTGTTGGCAGAAGGACATATCATTTAAGCCACAATTGACTAAATTTCGCAAATGTTAACCGACCTTCTTGAATCCATGCTGAGATTCCATCAGACATCAACCCTTGGGTTGTGATAGGGCTTCCAAGGAGTGTTTGATGCACTCAACTGCTTCATCCCCTACGGACAATGTAGCAACAATTCAAATTCCAGGAGAGTCAGACGCACCTCAAACGTACTTGCATTGTTACTCAAGATTACCATAAAATCCTCACCGAGTAGGACTACTTCATCTGCATATTGTAAGTCAATAAGTGAGCCATATTGTAGGAGTAAAATCCCTGTACAGTTAGATGAAGAAAGTGTGATTGCTAGGACATTCAGATCTAAATTAAGTGAAACGAGAAGTAGTAAACAATCCCGGCGAGCATCACTTGGGGTTGACGATTGAGATGACCATTCACCATAAGCTCTGATTCTACCAATAGTCTTCATGTCGAGAGGATTCAGAAGGTATATCCACTTATTTGGAACAACTTTTAAGACAGATGTTGCAGTCAAATTCTGTCTTAAAGTCAAGAAGTACATCCATATTATGACGTCTTTAAGTTTGCTTGTCCTAAATTCTGCGTAGTTGGTACATAGTTAATACATCCATATTTAGGTCTGAAACGAGCCTAGTTTTGTCATGTATGGTCCTCATGAGTCCTCTAATCGTCAGACGATTATACAGGCCATTATTTTAGACAACATTTTAGTCAAATTGATCCCTCTGTGGTTATCGCAGGAGGATTTCTGCCCTTTAAACCTGAATAAGTAAGCTATTGAGACCAGTCAGATATGATTGCATCTAGCTTTTAAACTGTATCTGGTATTGGATTAATTTTAGCAGCTAAAACTTAACTACGTCCTTAGAAATCTCTGGGCTTAATCCATCAAGCCTTGATTCTCTCCATCGCTTTAGATTATCCATAGCTTTTTCAACCCGTTTTCCATCCACTTCTAGTTTGATGTTGTCCTAATTCTTTCGCCTACATTACATTCAGTATTTGGATTTTTTTTCAAATAGTCCCACGTACTTTTCATGTTACTTGTGATTTGATAATTACCTTTGTTTAATAAAAAAACTCTCCAGAGCATGTGATTTGTGTTATGACATCGATGATCTCATTTTGTGCTTCTGGCAATATACTACCCTGAATGGGCTAGGTATTAGTTTCTCAGGTAGTTATTTTCAAATCTAAACGGTTTTCTTTCACTTGTATAATGGGCGCTTGTAAATTTGGTGGATGACAACTTACATGCACCATTCAGTATTTAACTTAATATGTTAAACACCTTTTGTTGTTTCGTTGCTTCTATTGCTTTGTGAACTGCTAACCAACGCTAATTCGACTGGGTATAATTTCATTTCAAATTTGTTGTCACCGGACTATATTTAATGTAGGCTAAACAGCTTTACTTCTCTACAATTTCCTTTCTGTGCTTTGGGTATATTCCTAAAGTTGAAGATATATGAAATAAATACTTCACTTTACATACACCTATGATATTTCAGGTCTTATCATAAACCTGATTGCTTTTAGCTTGCCCGGATGAGTTGTTCAACCGGCTTTGCCAGTCGAATTCCGCCATATTTTTAAAAACGCTCAAAGAAATCAACATAGCTTTTCTACCAGTTGAATCTCGAGTCTTTTCGTTGGATTCACCCATGAGCTTTCAATATTATTTCAATCCAGTAGCCAGACAACAAGGTTCGGGACAACAACTTGAGCGAATCGCTGAACAGATTGCAACGTTGTGTGCCACATTAGGTGAATATCCCGTTATTCGTTACCGCACGTAAGTCATTTTAAATAATTTATCTTTCTAATCTCTGTATTGACTTTACCTGCATGCCATCCGTAAGTTTATTAACTTTGTTTTAACATCGACTAAGTCGTTAGTGTATTCAGCGTTGGCACATTTTAAAAATTGCTTACTTTAATATAGCTGCTTTTGTGTAATTGGTACTCGAAAAATGATGCTTTTTGTTTCTATGGAAGTTATTAATCTGCATCATATTCTGGTAAGGTCACTAATACTCTGAATTTAAGTACTCCTTAGAATAGAGTTTTCTTTTATCTCACTCTTTCACTGTTTTGTTATCTACAGTACCATGAATTTTTCGTCTGCAGTTCAGGGATTTTATTACTCAATTTCCCTGATCAATCTTCCTTTGATAGCATGTTATTCCGATTTAAACGTTTGTAAATCCCACTGATGTTTTAGTTGAGGTTACGGACGTAGCTATTTAAATAATCATTGAATTATGTTAGTCTCTCCTGGCTAATATGATATGTTTCTACGATGTTATCTCATTTTAACATCCATGTAGTGTGTCTATATAAGTATATTCCATTCATTAGTAATAAGATATATGAACTTTTATAGATTGATTCAAATAAACAAATGGGGAATTAATTAAGATATTGTTGTTCACTGAGGTATTGATCTCCTTTTCTGAGTTCATCGAATATATTTAATCCGTACATAAATGTATGTATCATAAATAAGAATTTCTATAGCTTATAGACGTTTGATGCACGGATCACATAATTTCCAGTAATCCGGCTTTAGTTATTCAGTATTCAGCGTAAAAACAGTTGTTTCAATAGTTTCATTCTTTTTTTTTGGGGATCATTTTAGTCAGTTTGAAAGGAACGCCGAGTTCGCACAGTTAGTTCAACAAAAATTGGATGCATACAAAGCGGATGATCCTCAAATGGGCGAGGTTAGTTAAATAAAACTTCAGTACTTAAAGTAAAATATTATCATAAACCTATTTAAATATCTACTCTATCAAGTTTTTAATATTCTAAATAGTGTTTTCAAAATAAGTCCAACCCATCGATAATGCGATTTGTTTTTTATTAGAAGCGTGTTTTTTGTTCCAGGGTCCACAAAAAGAAAGAAGTCAGTTGATTTTACTTGACCGAGGATTCGATCCTATCTCACCTATTTTACATGAACTCACATTCCAAGCTATGGCTTACGACTTACTGGCAATTGAAAATGATGTTTACCGGTAATCTGGGTTACTTTTGTTCACTAGTTATTTTTTGAGTGCATGATAGTAATTTTTATGGTAATAATAATAATAATGCATTGTACCCCAAATTAATGGCTGTGTAATTTGTTTTTGTGGCCTGATTCTTCTGTCTTAAATAATTATTAAATCTGTTACGTAATCACCGTCAACACTGATTAACCAAATAATCAAGTTAATTTCCTAATTTATTAGTACCAATACAAAAGTGGCATAAAAGCATATGACAATTCACTAAATCAGTCATTTGTTTAAACATTTTGCGCAGTGATCAGTTTTAATCAAATAGTTTATCCAGGGTCACTGCTTAAAATGTAATGATGAAACAGTATAATTTTGTAGCTAATCTATGATTTTTTATACTGAAAGAATGTTTTCTATTTAATGGGATACATTTAATTTACCATTAACAGTAGTGAAGTTCTAGTAAAGCATGCTTATTGCGGGTAATATGCAATGAGTAATTTGTTACATAAAAGAGGTACTGTGAAGGATATAAGTCAATTTTTATTCTTAGTGTTCTCTGTAGATAAAAAAATTGCGTTACATCATTTGTTAACATACTCAAATTAGCAATCTGATAAGACGTACAAGTTGTACTTTAGAAATATTTACATCGATTTCATTTTCGTAATTTGTCCTAATGTATGCGTTGGTCCATCAACGCGACTGTTAAATGTATATTAGTGATTTTATAAAAACGTCAGATACATCTTTGTAGAGTCAATAAGTGCTGGTTAGCTTTATTATTCTTTTCCATTATTATTCAAATAAAGAGCAAATACAAAGTCACTGGAACACACTTTCTACTGTTTCTAGTACAACATAGTCTAACACATTAAATATGGTTATGTTTTTGTATTCATAAACCTATCTGTTAATATAATTATTGGTTTCATATGGATAGTGATAAGTAGTGAAATCCATAGTCAGTATGCTGTCATTAGTCGGAAAACAGTAGCTTAGTAGTTAAAGCATCTGAATTTCGACTGCTGAATTGTAGGTACCAATTCTCGATCGGAACAACCGGTTAGCTTCACTGGCCTACATACAGTCGAATATATAAATCCAGTACTGACTATTCGTGCAAAAGCAGTAAGTTGCATTAGGATGAAAATGGAACAAATTATGAAGTTTTTTCTCAAATAAATAACTTTTCTTCATTTTGAAATAACGGATATTTCAGTTACATCAACACATCAGGTCCTGAGGAACGTGTTAAAGAAATTATCTTGGATGAAACTGATGAGCTTTGGTGTGAACTTCGTCATCAACACATAGCAGTCGTCTCACAGCAGGTTAATATTTTTGGTATTTAATGAATATCTGAGCGTTTTTAAAATACAAACGGCTTAATGAATAAGAAATGCCATTCAGTAACTATTGTTTAGGCTTCACGTATGAGGGTTACCAATACGTTGTTTTCTATAAGCTTCATATCTGCGACTAAAATCAATTAGTCCAATAGCTTTTTAGCATTCAAATTGTTTATACTGAATATCTCAATGTCTAAATAACAGGGAGACCATAAACCACACTTGTTTCAGGGCTATAAATACTAACCTGTTACTCTAATTTCATTAGGTAAAGTAGAGTTCAAGTAGATACCTAACTGGTTATAAGATGGCTACTGTAATTAAAAATAACCCAAAGATTCCGTTGTTCAATATTATCGTGTTTAGGGAGTGCTCATATTTTCTATTATTATTAGGAGCGTTACGGAGAATTTATTGATGAGAGAGCAGCGTAAATGCTGTAATTACAGTGAATATGTCATGCGGAAACCTCGGTAATACCGGAACTTCCAGTTTAGTAGAAATGCAACTACACAATTACAGTCAGGCGGATAAAGTATACATAATTAGTTGTAACTGGTTGAATTCAATAGCATGCGTAATTAAAATTATTGTTAGTGAATACAACTGAACCCGTAACATTAATCTTTGTGTGGTTATGTAACGTTCGATGTGATTTTTATGTAACTTCTATTGAAAATTTTAAGTTCTGTAGTAGTGTGGTGTGGTCTACTTATATCCATATAAGTAGTATATGGTGTTGGTCAGACATAGAATGTATTTTGGCAGAAGACCGATGAGGAAAGAACTGAAACGAAGCGCAATCGGTAGGAAATTGCATGAACAATGAAATTAAAGAAGAAACGGTGAAGATTGAGACAATTGCTTGTTAATTTGCAAATTGACTGTACATTGTATGGTTGTCAGAGTTTACTGAGATAGTCTGTAATATTTGCTTAAATACATTCGATTGTCCCCAGTCGTGTTCTGTTCACTACAGTAGAAGTTCTCTAGACGTTGAAAATCAGTGGTTCGATACTCATAAATATCAAGGGATTTTTTATTGTTATATGATTATGGACTCCAAACTTAGAGGAAAGATTTGTATTTGGTTTTCGTTTGTATCGATTGATCTCTAACACACAATGAGAACTAAGACAAAAAACTTTAGATAACCAGAAATTAAAAAGTAGGTTTTTAAAGCATTGGTCAAGCAGCCATTTGTCTAAGTTTTATGTTTCCTGTTTTCGAAGCAACAGAGAAAAAGTCTCCGGATAAACCCCCTGAGAGATGACATTAGTTCACAAATTTACCATCAATTTCGGTTTTGTCGAGATATATAAGGTTGGAACATTTAGTTCATGAGTTAATCAAAGCCATTAAAGTAGTCTCTTCATCTTTTTGTAAATCTTAAACATGATTTTGTCATTTATTTCCTGTCCTTGGATAATAATCTTGTTTTTTCCTAATAGGTTACTAGCAAATTGAAAAAGTTCGCTGAAGATAAACGTATGGTTAACGCAGGCGATAAGACTACAATGCGTGATTTAAGTCAAATGTTAAAAAAAATGCCTCAATATCAAAAAGAGTTATCCATGTACTCAACACATTTTCATTTAGCTGAAGATTGTATGCAAACTTATCAAAATCATGCTAATAAATTATGCAAAGTCGAACAAGTAAGTTATTATTAATAACTTTATGAATCAATAAATAAGTATTTTACGACTAATTTTGTACAGATCAGACTAAATAACTTCATTTATTCGAAGTTTAATTATTTACTAACTGGCATTTTGATTATATAAGTTTACCAATCTATCATTTGGACTATTAAAAATGACCGCATCGATGTATATGAAAGAGATTATTTGCGTTACTTCGTTCTCGTTTTGTTTTTTAGGTGCAAATAAAAACTTGAGTAAACTTTTCAAAATCCAGTCTTTATCATTGAAGTTGTCATAACGTTGTTCAACTTCTAAAGTAGTAGGTCAGAAAAATGACCTAAATCAGTTATTAATGATTGATCTGAGTCGTTGATGCAAACCTCTTGACAAAGGTTCACAAGATAGATAGTCTGGTTCTATTGTTGGCGGTTTTGTTTGTTTGTTTACTCATTCCTTTTGCCCATCTTTATCTTAAACAGTATCATCATATAATGCTCTCCCCACGTTGCTGATAGGAGATGTAGTGCCATGAGCTAATATACAATTTTCAGTCTGTCCCAGAGACTTCCACGTCGTGCATTATTTGCCGACCCTGGGACTGGTTGGAAAAAGCGGAGAGGAGGTCAGTGTATGACATTGTGTCGTGGCATGAAAGAGAGCTGCAAAGGGCTAGCTTCCGTTGGTCCTTCACGACTCCCTGGTTGGGGTCCGAGAGATAGTGCAACACAGTGGCTAGAGACGTTATCAGATATGGCTCAGAATAGAAGCCAGTGGCGATCCTGCTGCAACCTTCTTTTACTTTCTACATAAAGAATGGTTCTAACTTTCCTAACTGAAAGAGTCTTCTGGTTGTACATTTCAGCCCGCCTTATCTTTTCATCCCTTCTCTTCCTACTTTCATTATTTTGTGTGGCGCATATGTACCTGGTGCCCTTTTGTACCAATATATATGTGTTTAAATAAATAAATAAAAATAAAGTCTGTCTATAATAAGGCGATTTAAATTTTCGAGCATTACTTTCAAAAGGTATGGTTTAACCAAAGTCATCGTAATCATTTTAAACTACTTTTCAGGATTTAGCCATGGGGACTGATGCTGAAGGTGAACGAGTCAAAGATCATATGCGCACAATGGTTCCTATTTTAATTGATCAGTCCGTTTCAGCCTATGATAAACTTCGCGTGATTCTTTTGTATGTTATACAACGCGGTGGTATAAATGAGGAAAATCTAGCTAAATTAGTTCAACATGCTCAAATCCCCTCATCACAGGCGTGTATTGTACGAAATTTAATGCATTTAGGAGTTCCTGCTATTCAAGATGCTTCGGGAGCTGTAAGTATTTTTTCTCTCTAAAAATAAAGCTTCCACTAAATTTCCCAGTTACTACCTATAAATAGTGTGTTAACATTTTTGTCTATGCACTTTTTTAATTACTTATTTAAGGGATAGATTGATTTTAATTCTTAACCTGATAGATCGGGAAATGTAGAAATTCCTAGTAAACTTTGTTCAAAACCAGAAAATGAATGTCAGTTACGAATACTCTTAACCTCTCTGAATAATCATTTCTATCCTGTTTGGATTTCAGTCGGTTCTGCACACTGAAGTACAAGAAATTAATTACTTTCTATGCGATGAGTGCTCACCGTATTATGTCCAGTATCATACACATTTCTAAATGTTTAGTACAACCTGTCTGACGGATTTATAAACTATCATGAAACAACCTTGGTTATAGTGTTAGTGTAGGCGTTGGTATGTTTGGTGTTGCAAATATTATTAGGTTATTATTATTATTATTATTATTATTATTAATGGCTTTATTCAATATTATAATATAGGTAACAACTAGAAAATTTACACTCTCGTCATATCATTTATATGTTCTCCATCTTTCATGCTAAAGATGGTGTGAAAAGTCACCATTTTTTAAAACCGTACTTATACTCTTTCCTGTCTCCAGCTCTTATTATTTATTTATGTAGTTGACCTCTATTCACTCTCACATTAAATGACGTGATAAACAAACATGTATTCAGATTAAGCAGAGATGGATAGTGGCTAGCAGTGGAATCCAGGACGCGCGTTTCGTCCTATTTGGGACTCGACAGCCGGATGTACCTGCATCTCAGAGTTGATGTTCACTCTGGGACTCGAACCCAGTACCCTCACTTCAAACGCCATCGCGTTATCCACTCGGCCACTGAGTCCTGATAGCCACTTGCTTGCGCGTCCTGGATTCCACTGCTAGCCACTATCCATCTCTGCTTACCATGCTTGTGAATTAAGGCTATATTGAGGCAATACGCACAGTATGCACATATGCCAATTAGAGACTGACCAGTTGCAGTCCTAACAAATCGATGGGAAGATTCAAACAAACAATACTGAATGAATTTATGTATTCAGATTGTTCAAAATGTATTGCTTTATTAAACCATATTTTTGGATCAACCTTACCTTTTCATTACATCATGAGAATTTATTTAAAATAGGACTAACTAATATCAAGGTCCCCTGGATAAACGATTATCATTAAAAGTGACATGGAAACAGATTTTTTTTGTAGCTCGATAACTGAGTTATTCATTTGTAAAAGTACATTTTGTCCAAAAAAAATATCAGATATACCTTCTCTGTTTTTGGGGTAAACTTTTCAGGTTGCTTATGTCAAGGTAAGGTTACGTACCGTCTCTTAAAACACAAATGACTAAACCTTCTTGAAATTATGTAGCATTTTAACCGTTTAATTCCTGCGTTTCTCATTATGTTTCCATTAGAAACCAATCATTTATTCAATATTATGTCTTAACGAAGAAAAAGAACTGTTAAATGTGCAAACGAAATATAGTAAAAATTAAATGACTATTTGAATGACTATGAAATGATTATTTGCGTTACTTCGTTCTCGTTTTGTATTTTAGGTGCAAATAGAAAGTTGAATAAACTTTTTACAATCCAATCTTTATCTTTAAAATTGTCATAACGTTGTTCAACTTCTAAAGTAGTAGGTCAGAAAAATGACCTGAATCAGTTATTAATGATTGATCTGAGTCATTGATGCAAACCTCCTTATGTATATAAATTTTTACTTGATTAATAATTTATTTAACTGTTCTATGGATTATGGTTTCTCAAAATTTTTGAATAATCTCTAGGACGTAGTTGCTATTCTTCTTAATTCTAGTTTAATTACTCCTTTCAATAGAAAATTGTAGTATCTATACACAATGTACATTTTAGAATATAACTCAATTTATTAATGTTAATTCATATAACTATAAATAGATGATTATATTTAAGACGAAATTGTAAATAATAAAGATTAGATGCATTTTAACGATTAAATTGATAATGTTTATAAAATGATACAATATGTATAATATATGTAGTATTCTAAGGAAGGATAGATAGCGGCTAGCAGTGGAATCCAGGACGCGCGTTTCGTCCTATTTGGGACTCGTCGGCTGGATGTACTTGCATTTGAAAGTTGATCTTCACTCTAGGGCTCGAACCCAGTACCTTTCGCTTCAAATGCCATCGCGTTATCCACTCAGCTACTGAGTCCTGATAGCCACCAGTTGCAGTCCTAAACATCAATGGGAAGATTCAAACAAACAATACTAAGTGAATTTAAACTCCACCCCATTGCACAAGCAAGTGACTATCATGACTCAGTAGGTGAGTGGATAACGCGATTGTGTTCGAAGCGAAAGGTACTGGGTTCGAGTCCCGGAGTGAACATCAACTCTGTGATGCAAGTACACCCAGCTGACGAGTCTCAAATAGGACGAAACGCGCATCCTGGATTCCACTGCTAGCCACTATCCATCTTTGCTTATATTTAGTATTCTGTTTATTTTTTTATTGATTATCCAAATGATAATACTTGCTTCTATTAATTATGTAATATGATTAATGAAGTGAATACTATTCCTGTTAACAGCTATTGTGTTCTATTCATCTATATTTTTATAAGCTTAGGTCAGTGATAAATAATGTAGATAAAAAAGCAATCAATATCCTTTGTATTGTTTTTCTTTGTTTTTTACCAGTGATAACCATTAAACTCTTTCTAAAGTAAATCTATCTATATGTTACTGATGTGTAAACTCTGAATATCTTTAACATGAAAATCTCAATCATTGAACTGAAACACTAATATCCTTATAAATGTTTTTTCCTCCTTGAAGTGTTTTAGAATATTTATCACTCCTTCAAAATACATAATGGCGTGTGTTTATACGTCGTGTTAACATTTCAAGTTAATTATCTTGTTAAAAGTTTCTTACTTCATATCATGTGCAAAAGTGGAGTATTTAGTCAATAATATATTTGAATCACCACTATTATGCATTACAACTCCTGGGTGGGTAATGTTAGGATTCGGCTGAATGATTTGGAGTTGAAGTAATAGATCAACTGATGAAATTATAAGTGAATCTAGTCTAACATAAGTAACACACTGTAGTTGTTGTTATCATTGACTTTGATTTAATGGTTTGTCAAATAACCCAAAATCGATCGCTATTTCACAAAAATGATATTAATATCCATCCATTCAAATATTATGCTCAATTATCAATGATTCTATTGATTTGTATTGAAATAATAAGGAGAAGGCTCAAGTGTTAATAAAAGCTAAAACAGTATTTTATTCTTTCAAGCTACAACTAACGTTTCGGTGTAACTTTCTGCTTCATTTGTACTTAAATGTTATCTTTTTTTCTTCAAATCGGAGCAGCTATGATTCCACTTTTCCCCTTTCCAATTGTTCATTAGCTTTCACTGTGAACCTTAAGTTTTCTTTACTTCATGTTATTAAAAAAGATATATAACAATGTAATGAAATGTTCATGGCATCAATTATCAAAAGCATTTATAACTATTGTTGTCTAAGTTTGTCAGTCTTCTTTTTTTGTTAAAATAGGGTATAGGTAGGCGTAAACTTCCTCAGCCTTATTTGCCTGCCAATCGACGTCAGCGGGAGGATGGTCCAAGATATCAAATGTCTCGATGGACACCTTATATCAAAGATCTTATGGAGGTAGGTATTTTGACTAATAATTTAAATGCTATTTTGCTTCGTTAACGACTAATGTGATGTGCTAAGACGATTCGTTGTCGAGCAAAGATTGAACACACACTACTGATAATGTTGATATGGAAAAAAGCTAAGCGGAATCATGAAAATGTTAGTTAAGGAAAATGAATTGTAATGAATATCATAGGTGAATGTTTTACTTTGCCCAATGTACTTAGAATAGTAGCATCATGTGGTGATTTTGTCGAGTTAATATTTTCGATGTGGCAAAAATAGTTCAATAGTGATTAAATTACCTGAATGAATAATAAAATTACTACCCTTAAGATTAACACAATGTACAACACTATTAGGAAACAATTACAAAAATTACTTACAGCTGTACAACTGTAAACAACTATATATATACATCTTTAAGTAAATCTATTACTAACCTAATAATGATTAGTGAGATGGATTACTACAAAGTTCAGTTGTATCAGATATTCTAAGTATAAATTAAATCGTCTCTTTAACATTTTTAAGTTACTATCTAGTATTAGATTCTAATAATAATGACGATATTAGGACTACTATAAAATGGTGATGAAGTGATATCAATACAGCTACATTTCAACTGTTATACTCCTGTCGTATTATCGTTTGTCTAACATCTGACAGTTTGATCCAAAGAAAAATGTTTTACAATTTGACTGTTGCTTTAACTCTAGATTGTTTGTTCTATTTTGCAATGAGAATTGTTTAGGACGAGTGTGTCATAAATAAAAGTCAGTTATATATTACTTGTTCAAATCTGATTGGAGGCTGGTCAGCTTTTATATCTCAGCTGAATAACTAAGTATCAATGCAATAACTCAAAGACTATTCGTTAACGCAGAAATCGATTGGTTCTTTTTCATTCTATTCATAGATCAAAAGCTTTGCTAACATTTAGTCAGGAGAGAAGTTCTGGAAACTGAGATGTATTTTCGAATTTCCTATTAATTTTATTCTATTCTTTTTCAGGTAAAAATTATGAACATGGTAGTAATGTAAATTATTTTCTGCATTTTACATTTCATCTTCTACCTCTTATTTTGTTGTGATTTCTCAGTGACATAATCTAAGCATACTAATCACTTCGACGTTTTTTTTAACTTAAGGATGCTGCTGAAGACAAATTGGATCCGAAATTATTTCAGTACTTTGGTGGTGGCCCTGTTCGTGGTCCTGGGACGCGTACAGGAAATGCGCCAATGTCTGCAAGATATGGAATGTGGCATCGGGATAAAAGTCAACAACCACGTTCTGGACCTAGATTAATATTCTTTGTAATCGGTGGAATATCGTATTCAGAAATCCGTTGTGCATATGAATTAACGAATACTGCACTAGGTAAACAATGGGATATTATCGTCGGTGGTACCCATATACTCGTGCCGGAAGCATTCTTAAAGGATTTGGAGAAACTTTCTTATCCACCAGGAACAGTGCCTCCATCGGCTAGCAGCGGGACATCAGTTATTGTAGGTGCTGGTGGGGAACCAGTGTGAAATCAGTATACTCCATGAATAATTTATATTTCAATGTGTAATTCACAAGAGATTACAAGAGATTTCTTTATGATTTCCACTGAATAACAACTTTATTTACTCATATTGATTTATCTTTCGTTGCACACTTCTTCGTCAGTCAATACCATTTCACCGATGCTGATTATTATTATTATTATCATTAATATTAATATTACTGCCAACAAGAACTTCACATGTGTTTGGCACTTATCTAATCACTCACAACATTCCTCATCATTGAAGCTTTCGTTTTTTTCCAACGACAGACGTACTGTGTTACAGATTACATGCTCAATGCATATATCTGATACAGAACTATCTGTTTATTTACATTTTTTTGGAATGGTGCATTACCTTTTATAATATTTCCAATAAGTCTTTATTCAATTACTATTTGTGTTCAATATTTGTTGTTGTATTCTGTGCATTTCTTTCATTGATAATGTCTGATTCATTAATTATTTTAATTTCATACTTTCATTATATTTAATAGTTGTTGTGTTGTGAAATATCTCAATCTCATCTATCTTACTTCTTTGTTCACTAAAATCTTTGTTATCTCTTTGTGTTTTTGTTTGTCGATCTTCTGTAAACTCATTATTAGAATTGTTTCTGTTGGCTTGTTCTATCAGGGAATTATTGTATTACCTTATTATTTCACTATAAAGTTTCATTGTCTTTATTCAGTTCATCTTTATAATTGAATGTGAGCATTGACAATATTTCAATATGATATGCATAATTAATATTCTCATGAATACCATTTCTCCAAATGATAAAAGACATTTAACTAACATTTAATTAAAATAATGAATTAAAGTTAGTTTATGTTCTAATTCAGATAAAGTGTATTTTGTATGGTTGTGTGTATGTGTTTGCGTATAGTCTGTTCGCTTACCTATCTAGTCGTTGTTGTATTTCACTTCTCTCCCTTGTTCTACAATCTTTTTCTTTTTTTCAGTCATCAGTGTTTGTCTTAATTTACTCTTTTGTGCTTAGCGTATTTCTTCTTCCAGTTACAATATTCATTATTATTATTATTATTATTATTATTATTATTATTATTATTACTAATGGTCATCACATTAGTTACTTTCAACTTTTTATTTTGGCTATACCAGGAATTTATTTCGTTCTAAATCTTTTTTGAATTTTCATTAATTATTATAATCGGTTAAGTCTTGTTGCAACGTCATTACCTTGCCTTTCTACAACTATATTCATTCGAGCATAGTTGTGTGTGAGTGTGTGTGTGTGGTTGTTTGTAACTTTTGAGTATATTTTCTTGTTGCCGATCAACTTGTTTTCTCATCTCCTTTCTCATACATATACACATATGTAACGCCCTACAGATCATTGAATTAATATTATCAGAAAACATGACCAGCTTTGTTTATCTATGTTTATTTAGTTATTTATTGGTTTGTTCATGTTCTTTTTGATATTTGCTTATTTATTACTTCCTCCAATTTTCATATATATATACAGTTATTAAATTAGTATTGATCATAGAATTTTTGTGTCAATACTACGTGCATTTGTCGATAATTATGCCTTTTCTCTTTCCCTCCTCAATCATACTGTTTCTGAGGCTTACGTGACATTCGATGATTAATGTGAATCACATCCGATGCGTTGTATATATATATATATATATATATATATATATATATATATCCAGTAGTGAAAAACGTTAATTTTAGAAATGTTTCTCTTGGCAATCACATGTAACATTACCAATCACATCAGTCGATGAAAACTTAACCTAGTCAACACACTTTCTATCTTCTCTGTTGTACCTTAGCATTTCTTACTGGGTAAACTCAACATACACCATCAAGGCTTGGGAGGCATCTGTAGTCGAATATTAGTAATTTACCAATGTTCTCTATCTTCGAAGGCTGTTTCACAGTCGTCAAGTAGAGCAAACCGAACTGCTGTGTAGTGTACTCCTATCTTTGCTTACAGATAAACCTCTCACCTTAGTCACAAAAGACGTAAGTTGTTAAAACCCTGGAGAACTCTAATTTCGGCACCGAGATTCAAATATCAGTCCTGATGAATCTCCAAAGATTAGCTGATTGGTCAACTTACTCAACTACTTCACTCACTAATAATCAATGTAGGCAATAATGTGGATCAGTCTGAAGCATTTTGGATTTAGAGGAAGAGAGACACTCCAGACATGCTTGCATTGTTACTCAAGTCTAGAAAAAGACTCCTTGTTCAATGTCTTCACTGAATATAACTATGTCATCTGCGTTCATAAGTGAACCACTCGGTAAGAGATCAATCCCTGAAAGTTAGATGAAGAAAGTGTGATTTCTAGGAAGAAATGTTTGAACTGAAAGGGAAGATAGTGAATAATTCTGATGAAGGTTACTTGGGGTTGAAAATTCTGATTAAAGTTCACCATGGTTAGACCTGACAAATCTTGTTCGAGTGGAAGGTCTCGATTTTTTGTGTACTTAGTGAGTCCTTTATAGTCCCAAACTTCAACATAATCTCTTGGATAACGGAGTTGAATCTCACTTTAAGGCCAAGAAATATAGCTACATTCGGTCATCGGTGTGTCTATATCCTAAAACCTGACTAAGAATAGATAATGTAGTTAATACATCTGCGTGTAGGTCTGAAGCCAGCCTGATTTTCTTAGTTTCGCTCTTTACAAGTCCTCTTAAGCGTTAGATGATGATAGAAGCTAATATTTTAAACATATAGTCCTCTCCTATGATGCGGGACAACCAGTGATTGAGACTAGCTTTCGAACTCTATCTATTATCTCAATCAAATTCACCGCTAAGACCGTATCACTATCTGTAAAGATCTCCGAGGTTAACCTACCAAGTTTTGCAGCTGAACGAAGTGATTAGAATAACCAATTTGATATTTGTAAAAAGTAGGTTATCATTTACTAATTAAAAAATCCAGTAGACTTTTGTATATTTAGCCAGTTCGGCAGCTATTAGACTAGCATACGTTTTTAAACAAAAATAAAATTATGCTCTTTATCGTTCTTGTAGTTTTGAATGGTTATTTGATCATTCTCTAGAAGGAACTGTCATCAGAAATTGATTAGTTGCAGAAAAAAACTAAATCCATATGGTGTCTAAATAATTAGTCAGCTACAACGTAGGACCAGGCACATATATGCATCGGTTTAAGTTGTCGTACCTCAATAGCACAACAGGATGAACACCGGATTCATAGAAGTTGTTAATTTAGTGGTGGTAGTATATAAAAGATAGGTTGTATATAAGGATATAGTATAGGAAGGAAGAAAGTTATGAAGCAATTTTAATTTCAAGATTTAAGAGAGGATAAAGAGTGTATACACCTGCCCCATTGTGATCAATTCTGAGCCATGACACACAGAGTCTCCAACCATTGGTTACGATAGTCACGCGGACCCCAACCAGGTAGTCTGCATCTACCAACATGGCTCAGACTAGAAGTTAGTGACTTCAAGCACTGATGCTACGTTTTGGTCTGACCGCCCCTAACTTTCTTCCAACCATCGCCAATACTAGTCAGCATAGCGCGTCGTGGTAATCGGTGTTCAAACATGCGTAACACGTGGTCTAACCATCTCAGTCGATGAAGATTCATCACCTCATCAACTGATTTACCATCATTCCCTAATAACCTGTTTCAATAATTAACAGACGAAATGATAGCTCAATGATTATCAACATACTTTTGAATTTATCCACTTTCATAATAGTGTGTAAAGTACTTTTTCTATACATATGATTGTAAAATATAACTTAGATAGTTAAAAGATTCAAAGTGAAGCAACTATCTCTATCTCCCTATTTAATAAAGCATAGATTGCCATAACATTAAGCAGGAAATTTACAATCATCATTTAGCACTTATAAACGTGACATTTTTTTGAAATATTCTAAGTTTCCTAACTAGTAATTAAACCTCATTTATACCCAAATAAAAAAAGGATTGTTACTGTTTATTTTAATTAATAGTAAATGAAAATCACTATGTCAATTGAACAGTAAAATGTTGAACTTATGATGAAAACAATCCACCATTAGTCAATAGTACTGTATCCGATTCTAGTATATTATGGCTTATTACTTTAAAGAGATTCCTGAGTATTTTTTTACTACCAATTGATGATGAAATGTAAAATAATAAGACTACCTGACCAGTGTGGTCAGTATCCAGTGTCATCTGTGAGTTTTTTAATTCTAACTTTTTCAACTATACATAACATAGCTTCCCACTGTATGTTCGTATAATCTACTTCGAAGTTAGTCATTGATGAGAATGGGACTAGAATTCCATGAAGTTTTTCAATACTTTGAAGATTATTTTCATCATCAAAATTACATTAGGAAGGATTGTTGAAGTGTAAGCAGTACCAAACTATGACAAAAACACTATTTACTGCTCTTTGGATTTTATTAGTTTTCTATATGATCTCCATTCACAATGAAACGTACCAGCACAGCGTACACAAATTTCCATCAATAATCTATACATACATCCCCATAATTCTATACACAAGAGATATTAAAGTGTAATAATATGATCTAATGTAATACATAGTATACTGTATAACTTATGGGAATATATCAATGATGAGTACTGAATTTAGTTACTTATTATGCAATATATGTATTTACAGATGTTACCATCGAAACTGTTTTTTCTAGAATGACATTTATTCGAGATGAAATAATGCGCTAATCTTTTGATATATTATAACATTGGAATTGGTTCCATTTGACATTCTTCTTTTATTTGTGGTCCTGTAATCCACTCATTCAACTAGAAATAACAAAAGTGTAAAATATTTACCATATGTGTATTTTCAACAGAGTAATAACATTATAATATAGTATAATTATTATTTATATAAAATTCGAAATCTAACTGGTTTCGTAACAGTTTGAATCACTTTTACATTGACATTTTTAGGCAAATCTTATAATTAACTACTTTTAATATCAGAAGCGGTTTTAGGGATATTATAGTTTTTTTAATAGTTGAGATCATGAATCAATTGAAGCTAGACCACCATGGAAAACCTGGAAACACTGGACGGTCATTTCGTCATTTCGCCGACATCCAACGGTGTTAATGTTTAACTACAATCAATCCACAAAATTGAGCGACGCATCCACCATTGTCTTCATAGAGTTACTATCTCACAACAGACCTGGCTGAACTCCACTGCTTCTCACTAGAACTCCAGGAAATACCTCTTGAAGCCAGTCACTAGTAAGCGCGAGACTGATAGGACCTGGGTTCGAATCTCACGAGACGGGATCGTAGATGTGCACCGCTGAGGAGTCCCATAATAGGACGAAACGACCGTCCAGTGTTTCCAGGTTTTCCATGATGGTCTAACTTGAATTGATTCATGATCTCAACTATTATAATTACTTTTATTTTACATAAATCTAACTGAAGATTAATTTATGAAATAGATAAATTTGATGAACAAGAATCAATGTATTAGATCAACTTTTGATATCGTATCAAAATGAATGTTTAATTGTTAAAATAATTCATAACTGAAAAGTAACTTTTTGTAATGAATTCAATAGTGAATTTGTGAACAGTTTACAAATGTTTAGGTAATCAATAAAATGTATAATTATTATTCATTGTCTCCATCTTTTCTAAACTAGATCAATATTCGTTGATCCAAAGTAGTGAATATAACTCTTCCATAATTTATTGACAATTTTTATTGTAAAAAATGTACAATCCTAACCAATAGGTCACAGTGATGATTATTAGTGTAGAGGTAAAGAGTTTAGTAATAGGTTAGTTCATAAGTTTACTATACCTAAGAATGGAATCTAGAATCCACGTCTTTTTTTCTATTCTTGTTTATTAGTATTCCTGACGTCAATAAAAGAACCAAAGTCAGCCATAAATATCAGTAAAAATAAAAAATATCATCCCTTAGGGCTGCTTAAACAAATTATATCAGCTAGACAAGTTGGCGATTACAATAATCCCAATAGTTTAGTCTATAACTCTTTGACATTTAAGGTGATGAGTACTTGGTCAAGTCCGACTATGAGACTATATTGATGGATAAAAATGTCTATACGGAATAAAAACTAACTTATTAGAATCATTCCTTAAGTAAAAAATCGACCTGTCTTTATTAACTTGTCTGTGATTGGAAATCATTAATATACTTTTTTCAGCTTATTCCTATTCTAATTCAACGATCCTACTGCTATGCAGAAGGATAATGAGTTTTAAAATCAAATAATCCACTTCACTGAACATACGACATACTTAGAGCTTGTCAAGAATAATCCTAATAGATAAAATCGTTTACTACTAACAAAAGTTAAAGTAAGCCTTTTGATCAACAAATAAAAATAAATCAGAGGGGGTTTTGTGGAGAATTTAGTATTTTCACAGTTGAAATCATGAGTCAATTGAAGCTAGACCACCATCGAAAACCTGGTAGCACTGGACGGCCGTTTCGTCCTATTATGGGACTCCTCAGCAGTGCGCATCCACGAACCCGCTCTCGCGAGCGAGATTCGAACCCAGGACCTACCAGTCTCGAGCCGAAGCCCTTAACCGATAGACCACTGAGCTGGCATCCAACGGTGTTAATGTCTAACTTCAACCAATCCACGATATTGAGCGACCGTTCACCAATTGTCTTCAGTGAGATGATATCTCTACAACAGACCTGGCAGAACTCCACTGGCCACTGCTTCCCACTAGAACTCAAGGAAATATCTCTTGAAGTCAGTCACTAGTGAGCATATGATTATAGATCAGAGGGGGTTTTGTGGAGAATTTAGTTTTTTCACAGTTGAAATCATGAGTCAATTGAAGCTAGACCACCATCGAAAACCTGGAAGCACTGGACGGCCGTTTCGTCCTATTATGGGACTCCTCAGCAGTGCGCACCCACAATTCCGAACTAAAGGGACTCGAACCCAGGATATTGGATCTCGAGTGAGAAAGATTCAGCTGTACACCACTGAGCTGGCATCCATTAGTGTTACATCTTGAATCTAGTCACTAGTGAGAACAAGATTATTATCATTATGGGGATTTGTATAGGTTGTAGTATTTTAACATCTGAATTCATGAATCGAGTGGAGACAGCTATTCACATTAGACAATGGATGAAACGTTGAGTAATATCGTGAATTGATTGAAGTAAGACACCAACACCTTGATATGGTCTAGAGGTGAAGCGTTCTCACTCGAGACCAAATGTCCTGTGCTCGAGCCCCTATGGTACGGGATCGTCCATGAAAACTGGCAAAGATTCCCATACTAGGACGAAACGGCTATCCGATGCTCCTAGGTTCTCAATAGTTAGCCTGCTTAGACTGACTCGTGAATTCAACTGTTAAAATGCTGCGATCTTCACAAATCCCCGTAATGGTAATAAAAATAACCTGATAAGAGCTGACTTAACTTGAAATGTTCTTATTTTAATAGGATTTACACTTGGCATTCGGTAGTACTAACCGCCTTGCTTGACATAAAATCTTCCTCAGTTCTATCCTATGTGTGGATTGACAGGTGCGAAGTTAAGGAAAAGCAGCTGTCAAGTTTCATTTGGATTTAAGTGACTTTCTAAATGATGTTAGTTTATTAGAAATACCATCTCCCTCAAATAAATATCGACAGACAATAAACGTTAAAAAAAAACGCTCATCATTAATAATGGTTCTTTACTATGACAATAAGGCTTTCTGTATAAATGAATATACTCTCAGTTCGTTCAGTTTCCGGAGTTTTCAAGAATTAATCGTTTTCTTCTGATGATTAAATATAACCATAAAGACATCATTAGGTTATCAAAAACATAACACAAGAAAACTTGATTATCCCATGTCAGTAAGATATCTAAGAATCATTAGATGCTGTAATTCAATACAATGTGCAGTTTCAACAAAGTATTTAGCGCTCAACCAATTTAATTATTACTTGCGGGTGTACTGCTTCAATGTTAACTGGTTGTCAATCTACTAATAAACTATGCATAATGGTAAACTAACAACCGAGATTGCGCATATTTCTAGTTTTCTATTCTGATGAGATTCAGTTGGCGGTCTAAAATAACCGATCAAAATTTGACGTTCTCAGTTTTGGTACGATGTAATACAGTAATAAACTATCCGAGAAACCATTGACTTTTTTTGGAAACCACAGAGGATATCCTCCTATTATGATTAAATAAGTATGTAATTGTTCAACTACATCTAACTATAAAAAGGGGAAAGTTATTAAAGACAAAGAAGATCTTTATCCAATTTATTGCTGATGTTTTCTGGATACAAAAGAAAAGAAGCATCGTTATTTTTAAATTAGATTAATTAATTAATAACTTACCGATTCAGTATAAAATCGATTACAACCGTAAGCATCCGGACTATAAGTGAATAAATTGTGTGGCATTATAAATATGGATAATGGACCACCACTAGTAGCTGTATTTGGTAGATCTTCATGTCTTGGCAAATGATAATTACCAACAGTTATCCACAAAACAAGATCCTGTCAATACAAATATGAATGAATACGAATAAATCTATATTTAGTTGTAAAAATGGAATGGCTATCAGGACTCATTGGCCGAGTGGATAACGCGATGGCGTTTGAAGTGAGGGTACTGGGTTCGAGTCCCAGAGTGAACATCAACTCTGAGATGCAGGTACATCCAGCTGACGAGTCCCAAATAGGACGAAACGCGCATCCTGGATTCCACTGCTAGCCACTATCCATCTCTGCCAACTATATTTAGTTGTGCCTAACTAGATATACTACTGATATCAATGGTAAGTAAGGTAAGTGGTGTGCTAAAATATTTTCAATGGTAAATGTAAACAGAATATGTTACTTCTGTTGTAATGATTTGTTACCCAAACACATATATGAGTAAGGTATAGATTGGTCATACACTTTAAACAAAAAAATCAGAGGGTTTGATATTAGATATAAAACATTATGGAAATCAAACGTCATTGTATTATCAGTATTGCTGGAATCATGGGTAATTTGTTTCAGTATGTTGATTACTGAGTCAACCTTTACTTCAAAGATATTTTAAAGGCTTAACATCCAAATCATTCACGGATGCTAAATTGAAAGATATGCTTCTGAGTGTCATGTATAATCGAAAAATTTTATGAAACCTGTAAATATTTACTGCATTTTCCATAATCACACATTTACCCAAGTATCTTGTTTATGGAATAATTCAAATTTTGAAAATAAATCAATCTCTGTGTACCACTAATGATTTTAGATTCAAATAAACAAACCCTATTTCTAACTCATCAAAACTTTCTATCAGTATGTATGACTTCAGTCATTTATATCGTTCAGTTATGCTCATTAGATTTCATCCTTGAAAATACACTGTTAGCTAAAAAGATTCGTTTAGTGTAGTTAACTATTGAACAAGAGTCCTGGATTCCACTGTTAGCCACTATCCATCTCTGCTTATAATGCTTGTGAATAAGGTCTATATCGAGGCAATACGCACAGTATGCGCATATGCCAGTTAGAGACTGACCAGTTGCAGTCCTAAATATCAATGGGAAGATTCAAATAAGTAATACTAAGTGAATTTAAACTTCACCCCATTGCACAGACAAGTGGCTATCAGGACTCAGTAGGTGAGTGGATAACGCGATGGTGTTTGAAGTGAAAGGTACTGGGTTCGAGTCCCAGAGTGAACAACAACTCTGAGATGCAGGTACATCCGGCTGTCGAGTCCCAAATAGGACAAAACGCGCATCCTGGATTCCACTACTAGCCACTACCCATCTTTGCTTATTAGAGTTAGTGTTGTTTGTAAATAAGTAAGCTTGATCACAACTTATTCTTTTAGGAAAGATCCCTACATCCTACTTTTTCCACTAACTTTTCGACTAGTTTTATTATTCAAATGAAAATCAAACAGCCTAAAATTTCATTATCCAGAAATAAAAATCTGAATCACAAGAAAATTATTTCAGAATATTATCTGTTCACTTTTACTGCCAGTGTTTAATACATTTAAGTTAGTCTGGTCTTTACTATGAGAGAGAGACAGAGAGGGAAGGAGAGTTTAACTTATTTTGGTATCTCTTTAGAGTTTATTTGTTTATGTTATAAATTATAATTTTTATCAAAAAAATTTATTGCCATATGGATCGATGTTGTTGTCTACTGAAATTAACAGTCATAATAAATTACAAATGGTCACCTCTATGCACTTCTACCAGCTCATCTGCTGTTATGGGGCAAGGTATATAGACCGTAGCCAGTGCCTGTTTGCAACTTGGATATGAGAACATGTTTCAATATGGTTCTATGAGGGTGAGAGGGACACGGATAAGGTTTAAATCCCTAAACAGCTGAACGATTCTAATAACTCCACTGATCCATAAATTTATTTTAAGGCTTTTTATGCAATTCATCCTAATCTGCCTAGCTTTCTTTGTATCCAACTCTATAAATCAGTAGAAGCTCTTGCTATTCATAAGTTGAAGCCAGAATTATGCGTACAAAAGAAGTACGTCTTATTGTTATCATTAGCTTGGCCTTAAACTTATTATTATCGTTATTATTATTACTATTATTAGTAATATATATAAAATATCGCCCACTCTCTTCAATTATTTCCCATCTCCTCATGATTTTATTCATAATTGTTTCTGATATTAATTCATTTAATTTTATCATAAAATTACCTTTGATTATTGTAACGAAAAACATTTTAATCATCTTACTCCATTCACATTATAACCCGTTAAAAACCTATTCATTTTCCAAGGCTTTCTATTTGGAGCTTGACACTGAATTCGTTAAAAAGAGATCTTTTCGCAGAACTTTCTATTTTTATATTTCTATAATATAACTTAACCATTGTTGATATTTTCATATTTTGAGTATTCCTCTTATTATATTTTAAACAATTCTGTTAATTTTATTGGAAACTAAGAGTGGCTAAGCCAAAAATTGGTCTCGTTTCATAAAGACATTCATTAATGATTTCAACAATGTCGTTGTGGGTCTTGAGTGCTGTTAGAGGTATGGGGGCAGTTATCACTTCCCGCTTGCCCACACCGTGGAAGGGTTCTTCTAGAGGTACATGAAAGGAAATTGGGTTAGAAGTGGTCTTAATGAGCTGAGAGCGTGACCACGATGCCCAAGGGCCAACTGCTTGAGGTCGTTCACAAACGACCTTTTTGTGGGTAGTTTTTGTGTTAGCTCCGTTCTTCAAAGGACCTTACCGCAGGAGACAGAAATCTGTGGGATAAGGCGAGGTGTGACATTTTTAGGGTCGTCCTTTTCTAACCCCACCCTTCCTTGTGGGAAGGCAGCATCGCTGTTATGCTGGTTGTTTGAAGGAAGCACCTTACTGTCGTCACACGTCTGTACAGTCAGCAGTACGACTTCGCCTTCGGACCTTAGTTTGCTGCTTTTAGTCTCACCGATCTTCAACCGACCTGTCTGGCATGGTAGGACCTTGAGGAATGATTTTTTCAGCCAGTATAGCTCGATTGGTTCATCACGATAGGCAAGCTTGACCACCACGTCAAGGTAGCAGCAACGGTCGGGGTAGACTACATTATTGTAGTCTGCATCATAATCCTGAACAGTAATGAGAAAGGTTGGATGGTATTGATGCAAAATATATCAAAATGACGCTGAGACACTCAATTTAGCATTATCATTCCTTCATGCATATATTAAATATGTTTTTTAAAATTTCAAGTGTTTAGTCTTTCTCAAGATTGTTACTAAGTGATTTCGACTCGTTTTCTATTCATCTTATCTTGCTGTCATGGTATGACACTATGCTATTATTTATAACTGAGTGTAAATTTTTATCAAACACCTCCGGCTACTACACAAAGAATTTTTAGAGAATAAACTTCGGTTTTTTAAAGTGTGAATGATACATTGTCAATACATTTAATAAACTATTCATGTAGTAATTTAAACTAACCTCATTGAATATTGATTCATTATTTGAACTGAATTTTGTAAAATCAACAACTGGTGAATTCAAATCAACTCCATTGAAAATTGATGATGCAAATGATTCATTATCATGTTGCTGAGTAACATAAAGTTGATGTCTAGGGATTTAAAAAAGGATCAGAAATTTGTTTCATTACAAATAAGTAACACCAGTTGATAATAAAATACTCTAAAAGTATGAATACTTTAAAATTCTAACTAATTTCACCACAAGTATAACAAAATATGTGATCAAGTGACTTTAAAAAGTTGAAGTTAGACATTAACACCGTTGGATATCGGCTTAATGGTCTGGAGACCAAACATTCGCGTGCGAGATCAAAGATTTTGTGTTCGAATCCCGCGAGCGAGATCGTGGACGCTGAGGAGTCTCATACTGGGACGAAACGACCGTCCAGGGATTCCAGGTTTTCAGTGATAGACTAGCTTAGATCAACTCATGAATTAAACTGTTAAATTACTACAACCTCCACGAAACCCCTTTGCGATATTACTTTAAAGAAATAGACCAAACATAATTTACAACACTGAGTGGCTTTTAATAGACGATTAATAAAACGTATTTCTCACTTGACAGTTTTTTGTTTTAGTTTGAGACCCCACAGCAATATGTACACATGTCCCCATTAGGAATGGAATCCAAGAACTTATGGCCTCGCTACAAATTTGTTACTTTAGTACATCTGAGTTAGGACTTAATGATGCAATCGGCTTGAAACAACATTTAAAAGTTCTATGGTTGTCGAATTGAGGTCAGTCGATGATACATAGTATCTTTAAATTTAACAAACTTGAAAAGTATCTTATCTTAATAATCAATAACAGTTAAACAAAGAATGTATCAACACCTAGGAGCAGTGTTAAATAATATAAAGAACAATAAGAAAAGAACTTTGAAGGAACTTTTGCGTTGTAAATATGTGCACGGATTTAAGGTGAGATTTTAAATCACACTATCATGATATGACTATGCAATGAAGTCTGTCTAGTATAATTAATCTTTTTCAAATAACTAGAAAATGGTTTTTAGCCATTTTGAATTTACACAAATAAAATTATTAGAATATAGAATTATATTTCTCTGAAGACGCCCCAAACAACCCAGTCAAATAGCCGGAAGCATATGACATGCTGAAAACGACGTCAGAGAGTATAGTAGGAAAATAGTCAGGATTGTTTGTTTGTTTCGGGGTTCCAGAGATCTTCGTAAGTGACAACGGTACTCAGTTTATGTCATCTGCTTTTAAACGGTTTTGCAGCGAAAATAGTATGACGCATCTACAGTCTCCTCCATACCATCGTCAGTCAGATAGCCAGGCGGAAAGATTTGTGGATACGATAAAAAGAGCTCTGGTCAAAGGGGGAGGAGAGAGTATTGCAGAACAAGCGGTCAGTAAATTCTTAATGTCTTATAGAGTTACCCTCAATCCGGTAGTTCCAGAAGGAAAGTCACCAGCTGAGTGTATGCTCGGAAGGAAAATTCGGACAGTCTTTTACTGTACTTGTCACCCAGCAAGACAAATACACCTAAGAGCGAGTATCCGATGATAACTCGCAGCTTCCAGGTGGGCGAAAGGGTACCTGTCAAGTCTTATCAAGGTAACAAGAATTGGGAACTAGGGATTATAGAACGTCCGATTAAAAATGTTTTTTACTTAGTCCGGAGAAATGTCGGGACGTGTATAAGACATACAAATTAAATTCAAAGGGATGACAGAACATTGGTCACACAAAGCCAACTCCTTTTTCGAATGCTCGTGGATCCATCTCAAAAAAGCCCTAAAGAGAACGAATATAGAAGATATAAAAGGCGAAAGGGCAAAACAGCACAACCTTCAAGAATGATGAACCTCAAAAGGAATGACGTAACCAAGTTTCAAGTGGACCCGAGGAAAAGGTCTTGCACAAGGGACTTTGAAGAGGGGAGGTGGGAGGGCGGCCCGGATAGCCCGGTGGTGACGTCTCTGACTGTGAAGCTGGGTGACACGGTATCGATCCGTCAGGGATCATCAGTTCCGTCAAACTCAACCAATTTTTTTATACCCAAGAATATGTTCGAATTACATACACACTTTATAAGTAGGTCACTGTTTGCATTTATTTGAAGTTTTGTATCATCAATGTTGCTGATTATGTTGAATGCTAACAAAAATTCTTTGAGGAATAAGTCCAATTTATCAATAATTTCTTTCGATTTCTTATTTCTGTCTTCATCATTCATTTTCGTAAGTTTTATTTATAACATATTTAATTACTTATAAATTTGCCTTCTTCATTAAAAGTATGAAGATAAAAAAAGGTGAAGAACTGATTTGGGTAAGTAGTGTAGTATGGTCTACTTATATCCATATAAGTAGTATATAGCGATGGTCAGACATAGAATGTATTTTGGCAAAAGACCGATAAGGAAAGTGCTGAAATGAAGCGCAATCGGTAGGAAAATGCATGAACAATGGAGTTAGAAAAGATGAACTAATATTTACAGAAGGAACAGTGAAGATTGAGACAATTGGTTGTTAATTTGCAAATTAACTGTTCATTGTATGGTTATCAGAATTTAGTGAGAGAGTCTGTAATTTGTGCTTAAATACATTAGATTGTCCCCACCCGTGTTCTGTTCACTACAGTAATAATGTGAAAGGTGTGTTTATAAATAAAAAAATTTTTTATGGTTTGCAGTTAAGACGTAGGAAGGAATGTAATAATTTCGAGATATTGTTAAACTAATACATGATGATAAATTCTTGATGTTTATACGTTACCTGGTCCAATAATTCATCTTATTTATGACATAAAGCATTCCATTCACACATCCTATAAACTTCTATGTTTATGTGACGACTCACAATTTGTTTCTTAATCAAGTTGGTTCTTGAGGTACTAGTTTTTTTTTATAAAAAAAATTAATAGGTCGAAATCTATGAACATCAATTCTTAGTCAACTGAAATACCTTGTCAATTATTTTATACTACCTCCGATATGTTAGAGTATTACTTCAATCATGATAACAGTGAAGTATTATGCCCCTGACACATTCAAAGATTCATTCGCCAACTGTATACATGAGTTATAGGAATAAAACGTTTGTAAATAATAATGTTAATTTACAAATAAAAGAAATAATCACCTGGACCAAGCAAAAGATTTTGTATATTGATCACTGAAAATTGTTTTAACTTGACCTTTATTAACAATAACTAAACATTTATCATTTCTATAATATTGATTTGTTTTATTAAACAAACCATTCTTATTCGAATTTGTTGAACAAATTAAATATTGTTTAGGAAATTCAAATTTTGTTGAAAATCTTGATTCCATTTCAGTTTTAGGAATATCTATAGATAACCATAATAGTTCTGATTCATTTAATCCATTTGATCGATTAGTTATTTGTTGTAATGGATCAAATTTCATTTGATCTTCTGTTAATGATCCATGAATTTTAACTATTTTAATAAAATTCTCTTTATTTACAATGTCTATATCAATTTTAAAATGAAATAAATGATGATGAATAACCATATAGATTGGATTGATTACAGCTGGGAAACCATATTTGAAATTATATTGAAAAGGATCTAATTCTACATCAACATGAATGTAACCAGTTGGTGTTACTGAAAATTCAATCACACCAGATGAATAGAAAATGATATCAAATATATAATCATAATTAAATAATGTTGATATAGTGCGTACAATTAATGAATTACTTGTTATACCATGACCAAAATTTGTGTATTTTACATCATTCTTTTCATCAAAATAATCATTAATATGAAATTCAAAATGTCGTCTAATTGGACCATGATAAGGATTAGTTTTCCATTCAAATAAACAAATACCATTTTTTATTAATTTAGGACCAGTTTCACCTGAATCAATTAATCTTACTGGTAAGTAGATAGCATTTTTAGGACAATCTAAACCTGGACTTAATTCTGAAGTCATACCACCTATTCCAAACATTGATTCCAATGATGTCATTGCTTGCATAAATGGAGATTTACCCCAATATGAAGTGACTGTTTCCTCTAAACCAGCTTCAGATATCAAGCTAACATTTGCAAAATATACATTAAATACTCTAAGTCCTGTATCTCTTCTAACAGTTACATGAAAATCCCATCTGTCATATTGAATTCGACGTCTGTTTACATGAATTAAATTGCTTTTACGATTAGCTGTTTCAGAATTACTTTTCATGAATTCATTTATATGTGTTGTGGATTGTTGATTGGGTCCCGGCTTTAACTGGTTATGATACATATTTATAAACGGATGCTTGATCACTTTAAATTCACCAGAATGATATTTACTTAAAAGTTCTTCAATTGATGTGAACATCTGACCTTGAAACCAAATACCCAATAATTCCCACTCATCTGGATCCAATGATGTTTGATCGATCTGTAAATAGAAATATTTAAATGGAAAAATATGCTCATGTTTGTTATACAGATTACAGAATTCTAAATTATATATATATAACCTGTATATGTATTCGAAACCATATTCCTAAGAAGAGTTGTTGTTCAACAAATTGTATTTCAGGCCATTCAGTCCAAAAAGTTATTGACCCTCGAATAATTTAATTATATGTCCTTAAAAAATCCAGTTTTCCGGCGTTTTGTATCTGCTGCTTATATACGAGTTACCGTCTAATTAGAGTAGAATTCTATCACTAAAGATTATGTTCATTTATTAATTGTATTCACCGTTAGTTCAGAAAATGACCAGGAAATTTCCGCCAATACATTAATCTGTTTATAGAGGTTTTAGAATTGATATCAGTTAAAACTACATCCGTATCAAATTAGGCGATAAACCAATTGCATTAATATGAACTAGAGGATTCGTTAAACATGGAATACTTTGTCTGGGATAAATAAATCAAGACTTCATGTCTGTAGTAAAAGCGTAGAAATATTATTAGTTATCGGTTTTGGAGATTGTTAGACTTCCTTAAAATTATAAACCGATCTAGGCCAGACCACCATTGCAATCCTGGAAGCATTGAACGGCCGTCTTGTCCTAGTGTGGAACTTTCCAGCAGTGTGTACCTAAGGCTGAGGACTTTGGAATCGAACTCAAGGCCTAACGTCTTGTGCGCAATCTCCTAAACTCACCAGAACTCAGAAATGTTTTTTGCGAACCTACTCTCCGTCATTATAGTTTTGTAGAGAATGTTCAATTTTGTTGAAAGTTGTGACAAGTAGAGTTAAACTGTATTGGATGTGAGGCAGTTACTCAACGAAGGCAACGAAAAATGGTCACTTAATGCCATGGATTGGTTGATATTAAACATTAACACAGATGAATATCGATTCAGTGGTCTAGAAGTTAGGTGTTTGCATGTATGAGTTCGATTTTCGAGCGCTGAGCTTTGAGTGTGCACAAGTTAAAAGTCTCGCACTAGGACGAAAAGACCATCCAGTTCTCCCAGGATTTAGATTATGATCTAACTTAGTTTAATTCATGATCTCAATGTAGTTGTTTATTTTCTTCGGGTTGGCTCGCTTATTCAAACGATTTGAATCAAATAAATGTACTACTAAAAAGCCATACTGTGAATGAGGTTTAAAGTTTTGAAAATGATGGTAGTTCATCCTAACAGAATTTTATTGGCAATTATGTATTATTAAATAACTCCTTGTACAATTTTACTGCCGAACCAAAACATCGGCAAAAATTGATTTTTTCAACTAAAAGGTAATGGGGCGAATTAATTTCTTTGATACCTTTTTTTTGTGCAATACAGTTATTATTCGATGTCTGTTGAAAAGCAATCATCAAAATGACCTAAGCCTATGCTTTTTGTTAAATGGTACTCATCAGAAAAGTGTGTCTTCAAATGTGAGGTAAATGATGCAAACTCGTCATGTTTAGACCCACATCTCTCAGTCTCGTATTAAGGCAAGTTATCCCTGAGGATTTTACGTCTCGATCAATTAAGTAATTTTTATTTTACATATAAGCAAAGGCGAATTTCATTTGGCCTTTGTGAGAAAAGGCTTATTTTTATCATTTAGATATAACAAACTGTTTTGAAATGTTTAATATACTCTGATGATTATTTTCTTCATTATTTGCCCTATTTTGAAACTCTTCTTTAGCGCACACAAATAAAATAGGAGAATAGAATTAACAACAGTAATAGATTAATATCAAAGTGAAGACAAATATTTCTTCTGTAAATAAAGTCCAAACTTCATCACATAAGTAGGTAAAATGCCAAAGATATTGTAAACGAAGGGATATAACATTATTGATATGAAACACTAAGGTTTTTTAATAACGAATACTGGTTGCTGTCAACATAATTTGTTCTGCATGAACAGGTGAAGTGATAATTATCCATTGTTATCATCGAAATTACATACTATAGTACCATAATCCCGTATATTGCTTTATTATGATTAGTCACTGTCTACGTTTCTGAATAAAGCTTAGACCTTAGGTTGTATATGTATTAGAAGAATGTTACCGAACAGGTTAGATTAAATAATATATTCATCAAGATATGGAGTTCATTTGATGACTCATTGACTGATGAAGTGTGTCTGAATGAACATATCTGCTAATTTAGATCTATACGATAACTGCATAAAGCTTTAAAATGTGAATTGCTCGAAAGTATTTTCTAACTATACTATTACTTCATAAGCTGAAGAATTTAAAGTCAAGATACATTGGTCAGCTGTTCTTCTCTTTTTTGAAACATTTAACCATAATAACAAAATTGTCATCTAAATACTGAAAACTACTGTCTAGTATTTGCAAACCAAACTGAAAGTGAGATACGTTGAACTATTATGACCACTACTAAGATGTACGAAAAACATGGTGGTTAGGTTTTTAAGAAACTTACACATTCTCCCTTTACATTCTGCTGACTTGATTTTTTTGTTGATCGTTAACAAGTTTACACGACACTGTTTAATCATGAGATAAACACTAGTAACCATGAGAAAAGGGGTTTTTAATAACTGGACATTATTCCATTTATATGTGTAGACTTGCAAAAAAATTTGACGAAAAAAACAAAATTATTTTCCAAAAATGATTTATTCTTTCAAATGATTGAATCATCGAAAATCTGAAAGTTCTGAACAGTTGTTTTCTATTAGTTTGGAACTACTCAGTAAACTTTTTGCATAAACATATTAAAGTCGAAGTCAAAACCTTTTGTTTTAGTGCTGATCAACTTACTTTTAGACCATTTAATCGGGATCCGATGGCTAGCATTTCAAACTTCTCATAAAAATATCTATAACTCATATTGAAGTTAGTTATCAATAAGCACATAATTTGTTTTACTTTATTGGTTAACTTGCATGCTACAAAAAATAAAGGTCTTTTGGCGTTCGCATACTGATTATAATCTGAAATCTGAGGGGCAATTCGCAACTTCTGTTGCTAACATTATATATATATATATATATATATATATATATATACAAAGAAAAAAGCAAGATTCTCAAATACAACAAGGAGAACGCCAGCTGAAACGTGGAGAACTACTACATCCGTCGTCAAGAAGGTACAAGTATTTATAGACAGTTTTTTGCGCAAAATACTCAACATCCATTGGCCGGATACTATCAGAAACAGCGTTTTATGGGAGAAGACAAAACAGCTTCCAGTTGAAGAGGAAATTAGGAAAAGACGTTGGAAGTGGATCGGATATATATATAATAAGGATATCACCAAAGTGCATCACGAGGCAAGCTCTAACTTTGAATACTGAAGGGAAGAGAAAAAGAGGAGGGTCAAAGAACACATTACTTCGGGAAATAGAAACAGGTATGAAAAGAATGAATGTTAAGTGGAGAGAACTGAAAAAGATTGCCTCAGGACAGAGTTAGATGGAGATTGTTGGTGGGCGGCCTATGCTCCTCAACGAGGGGTAACAGGCGTAAATAAGTAATATATATATTTATATACGAGTAGTATAAATATAACTTACATGAAATTGAATATCTACAGGATATTGTATAAATGGAGTTACTTGTCTACATAATCTTATCCAAATACGACGTCTTTCAGGTGCTTCTGTTGTAATCATTGGTGAAGCAAATATAGGAATTAAACAATTTGGTCTTCCTTTATTAATATTATCATTATTATTATGAATTGACTTTTGACATAATGAATTCCTTTCATTAAATTGATCAAACCATGTATTATTATATTTATATAACCAATAATTATGTAATGGTTTATACATAAAATAACTTGCTGAATATGTTTCTTTTATAATATGATTCATACGATTAGTTTGTATAGTTAAATAATCTAATACCATTTTATATTCAATATTTGTTAATGGTCTTTTCTGATATGGATAAATATTTAAAAGTTTTATTAATTTTGGTTGTTTTAATGGACCAATTAAATATTCTTTAATTTTAGGTATTTTATATGAACCAAATAATATAATTGCTATACCATATCGTTCGAATGGACCAGATCCATTATTATTATTATTACCATTACTATTATTATTACTATGATTACTATTACTATTATTATTATTACGTAATAATGAATTGAAATAATTTGATCGTTCTTTTTTATTGGGTATATATAAATTTAAGCTCCATAAGTAATTCATTTTAAGTGGTTCAAATAATGTTCCATTATTATCATTATTATCATTACTACCATTATTATTATTATTATTATTACTATTACTATTATTATTATTATTATTCAATGATTTATTTGTTTTAATGAATGAATTAAATGCATAAATTGAATTAAATTTGAATTTTAAAAAATTTATAACATTTTGATATTCTTCATTATTTGGTTCATCAAAAATGCCAAAATCTAAATTATTATTATTATTATTATTATCATTATTATTGTTATTTTGTTTAATTGAATTATATTCATTCTCATTTATTGTTTGAATTGATGGATTTAAATATGAATGATCATTATTATTATTATTATTAATGAATGGTAATATAGAAGCATGGTCATGATTTGATTCTGATGTAATTATACTACTCTTTATATAAGTAATATTATTATTATTCATTAGATTATTTGTATGACAATTAATGAAAGTGTAACATAGAAAATAAATTGTTGGAAATATAATGCAAATAGAAATTAATAGTAGTATGATTAGCCTGTAAGCAAAAAGAAGGAATATGTATATATCAATGAAACATGTTCTTTTTTATTTAAAGAAATATATCATCATTAGAAGTATTAAATTCAATTAAAAATAGTATGGAAATTAATAGTTTAAGCAGTTTAAAAAAAAACGATATAAACTAAATGAAGAAATCAAAAATGGATAGTGGCTAGCAGTGGAATCCAGGACACGCGTTTCGTCCTATTTGGCATGTACCTGCACCTCAGAGTTGATGTTCACTCTGGGACTCAAACCCAGTGCCTTTCGGTTCAAACGCTACCGCGTTATCCACTCAGCTATTGAATCCTGATAGTCACTTGATTGTGCAATTGGGTTAAGTTTAAATTCACATAGTATTGTTTGTTTGAATCTTCCCATCGATGTTTAGGACTGCAACTGGTCAGAAACTATAAACAAAGACGGATAATGGCTAATAATAGAATTGTATTGTCGGTTAATATGTCAAGCTCCATATACTTTATTCTAGCTTCTGCACAAGCCAATTTACCTATCCATTTTGAGTTATGTTTTGACCTTGTTAATTATTCACTTACTAAACCTGGCTATTTTTTATATGAGCGTATGTTTATGTACACTTTTTATCTTATCCATTACATGTCTGTAACTTATTTTTTATTTGACTACAAAGATTGATTAACTCTTGATCAAAGAGAGTTGGCTTACCCGCCATCTCCAATGAGTGTCATTTTTGCTTCACTCTCTTCTATTTGCTTCATTCCTCTGATTTCCTGTCCAGATTAATGAGTGTACAAAATATATGTATTCGAAATTGATTCTCGTATTTGACTTATTTAATTCCGTTATTCACCAACGCGGATTAAGTCATGTGTTACATATGAGGATAGACAGGATGTATATTTTAATAACAATCATTCATATGATCTAAATGAATTCAGATCTGGCCTCTACAAAAATGGTGAACCGCATTTGGAAGATGCACCATTTTTCAACTAAGGAATCCAGGATATGCGTTTCATCCTATTTGCGACTTGTCATCAGCTGGATATACCTGCATTTCGGATTTAATATTCACTCTGCAACTCGAATACAGTACCGTTCGCTTCAAACACCATCGCGTTATCTACTTAGCTACTGAGTCCTGATATCCACTTGCTTGTGTAATGACGTAAATTAAGACAATATCGAGGCGATATATACACTATGTATATATGCCAATAAGAGACTGATCAATCGCAGCCCTATACATCAAATGAAAGTTTCAAGTAAAGAATACCAAGTGAATTAAAATGCATATTTCAATTCCAGTCATCTTTAATCATTGAGTTTACGCATGAATAACTGAATAGTCATATTGGTATATGAAACTAATAAATTGGAATAGATTACTAAAAAGTAGCCGTCTGACCGTGTCTCAATAAACATAGTAAATAATGTACATCAGAATTTAAAACTAGAAATATTGTTTCCATGGTATTAGCTTAAAATAGGATTAAAAGATTATTGATACACCTTACTGATGAATGCTAACTAGGAAGAAATATAGGTTTCTTACCACTTACCTTCAACTGAATAACATGAAAACCTAGTACATAATAATTAAAAGTAACTTAGACTAGTGACCATATTAATTGAAACATGGTCAACTGAATTTAGTTCGCGCTAACTACCAGACTACATGATATTTCTAACTATTATGTGATCAGTTACCTTGAATTCTTCAGTCCTACAATAGATCAATATCGACTGTGCGGTTATAATATTAACATAGCCTATTATATACATAGATGTTTTTCAAATAAATCGTTAGTGTTATGAATCGTTGATGAATAAAAACTTTAAAACACGGTTATTTGTTTCAAGCTGTCTTTGGAATTTTAGTACATAACAACAGAATAAATTTGTAGATAGTCCAAAAGAAACCAATGAAAATCAAGTGAATATTTATTTGGTGAACTATGTCGAATTGAGAGGTCTCTCATAAAGAGAATATTCTAATAAGCTAAAACAAAACAATTTTCAAGAATTTTCTTTCCATACACTTTTTACACTAGACATACTCAACTGTTATTTGATAAACACACCCTTAATTGAAGAAGTATCGTACACTAGCTACACTTAATATTGCTAACAAATATAAACTGATTCAGATAATTTCTTATGTAATTTCCTAACCTACTAATAATAATCTAAACAATATAATTAATTAGATAAATAAACTTATTCTCAGGATTATCCTGTCTTCCATTACAAGTTGAAGTGTTTATTTTAAGTAACTGAAATCATGAGTTAATTAAAGCTAGACCGCCAAGAAAAACCTGGAAGCACTGGACGGCCGTTTCATCCTATTGTGGGACTTCTCAACTATGAACATATTGGAATCTCCACAAAACCCCTTCTAATTAATAACTTTATCAAAATGCAAATATTTGATCTTGATATATCAAAAAAATATTTTAATCGTTTATTCTTTATAATGAAAAAATGTACGTGTCACTAGTTTTTTCACATCGTATAAATCAACGCAGTTCATTTCTGATATGTCTATCGAAGTCAGTATTCCATTATTTAAAATATACAAAATTGTACTGATGTTATGATTGATTGGTAGTAATTCAGATACGTAGACTATGAGAGAGACTAAAATATATGTATGACGTTTGTACGGGATCTAAGTGTTTATTCTAAACAGATATTTGATGCAAAATTATTAAAGTATAATGACAATTAATTAAAATTCAAAGGTACGTTTTTTTAGAAAATTTCTCGGTTATCTTAATTACTGTAACTGAATTAGTTGCATTTTGTCCTAGGTAGGAATTTCTAACTAGGTATGCTTACAATTTAGAGTTGTTGGTTATACCGAGACTCATACATTTCAAAAGATCCACTTAGCTATCAAATCCAGACAGCCACTGCTTTGTGCAGTGGCGATAAAATTTATTGTGTTTGTACATGGGAAAAAGATCAAATATGATTATTGAAGAGCAAGTAGCAGAATAACATCCGGACGGCCTTCTTGAATATCTGGGCTACATGTTCTTGCCATCTAGATATTTCAACAAGTTATCTGTTTCCTTGTTTGTTTTAATAGATCATTATGTCAATTAATTGCATAACCTATTCAGGTGAAAAGTTTACGACATTTCGCTGTAGAAGTTACAAAGATTTCAAATCGGAGACATTGTGATGACTGACAATGTACATTGAAAAAAATGAATGTTATTGATATATCAACTTCTGAAACGCTAATATGTAACTGACGTTCACTCTATATCTATCGCCAATATCTATCAAGAAATAAGAAACAGGAACTTGCTGAAATAATTTAAGCTGAAAATTCTGTTTCGTACTAAAGACATAATTTTGAATAAAGCTAATAATAATAATAATATTTATCTGACTCCACCCCTAATATACAGCAATACGTATGTATTTTCATATAGAAATAAGTAAAAATATTAATCCAATCAGGATAATTTACAACTTGATGATAACAATGAAAACGAATTACGTAACTAATTATAATTACATGAAAAGTACAAATTCATAATTAGGTGATGGGTATATAGTAGTAAATATATCAATAATAAACACCATGATAACATGAACAAATATACTGATGTAGGTTAAAGCTTTAAAAAAAATAAACTTATTAATAAAATAATCACTATAATTACGCAATTACAATTGTATATGATTAGTCAAATTAAACAACATAACGAGTGAACAAGCGACACGGAAAGTTGCCGGGGGGGGGTAACTATAAATATATACATCAATGATCGACTCGTGAATCCAATTGTGAAAATATCTGTGAAAACTTAATAGAATCATTTATCAAGCCTTATTCAGTCAAGGAAGAGTTCACGGGATGTTTCTAATTTGACCTACTTTCTATGTCAGTACGTTTGTTTATATTATCATGTTGTTTATTATTCATTTATTTGCTATTATATATGTCACCTCATTATTTATTTGTACTTTTCATTTATTATAATTAGCTATAGAATCCATTTGACATTGTTTGATGAAATCTTCCATTTATTGTTTAGGACTCCAATTGATCAATCTCTTATTGGAATATGTGTATTCTCTGAGGATTGCCTCAGTATTGCCTTAAGTCACGAGTATTACAAGCCAGATGATTGATTGCTAGTAGTGGAATCCAGGACGTGCGTTTCGTCCTATTTGGGACTCGTTAGCTGGAAGCACTGGAGTGAACATCAACTCTGGGATGCAGGTACATCCAGCTGAGGAGTTCCAAGTAGAACGAAACGCGTGTCCCATATCCCATTACAAGCCACCATCCACCATAACCATATAATCCGTTGTCATTTAGAGCTGTAAATTATCCTCATAGGTTTATTATTCTCCATACATGTGTATACATTTATATTGCCGTATATTATGGTAAGGTTTAATCACTAACTATTTGTAAAAAAAATATTGTTCATTTGTATATATTACTCTGATTTACACCATGGGAATTTCTTTCATTCTATTCATATATCAGCACACTATTAGGTGAAGAAACTCTTAACGATTCCTGATATTCCAATTCATTTTATTCTGTATCTTCATTGATCTTATTGCCATATTTTATGAACCATAATTTAAACTATTTTGTTAATTTACTACTTGATAATAATCAGCGTTATACTTCACGATCGGTATCGACTCATCTCTCATTAGAGACTTCATTGTAATTTCTATCGATAAATCGCAACTACTATAGAAAGGATATGTTAAATATAAATTTATGTTTTCAAAATATTCACATATTTACAGTCCCTAACGGTTTTATAATAAACTTGAAATAAATAAGGAAATAGAAAAAATAACAATAAATGAATGGAAAAATCTTAAGATTGACATTTACATTCTATGTCCTCATGGTATTTACGAAATAAAATTTTTACCTAGATATTCTTTACTTTAAGAACAACCAACAGAAAAATAATCAATAAAATAGTCCTTCGCTTTCAAACATCTTCATAAGAATTAAGATTTTTTTAAATTTTAAAGATTTTTGAAGCTTCAATCATTTCACTGAGCCCTAATGATCATTTAAGAATATCAATGAAATTAGTTTACAATATTATTTATTATTTGTATACGATTAAAACTAAGATATTTTATTTGTAATGTGGAAACCTTTACATAACTGGGCAGCATAATTGATCAACACAAACGCAACAACAAATGCAGGAGAAGACAACCAGTATAGCAGCAGCCTCAGCAGCAGTAGGTCTCAATATAAACAAAGGGAAAAGTAAGACTCTCCGATACAATACAATATGCACCAATCAAATTACACTTGACGGAGAAGCTTTGGAGAATGTGGAAACCTTTACATATCTGGGCAGCATCATTGATGAACACGATGGATCAAATGCAGATGTGAGGGCGAGGATCGGCAAAGCAAGAGCAGCATATTTACAACTGAAGAACATCTGGAACTCAAAACAATCGTTAACCAACATCAAGGTTAGAATTTTCAATACAAATGTCAAGACAGTTCTACTGTGTGGGGCAGAGACGTGGACAACTACGAAAGCCATTATCCAGAAGATACAAGTGTTTATTAACAGTTGTCTACGCAAGATACTTCGGATCAGATGGCCAGACACTATTAGCAACAAGTTACTGTGGGAGACAACAAATCAGATTCCAGCGGAGGAAAAAATCAGGAAGAAGCGCTGGAACTGGATAGGACACACTTTGGGGAAATCACCCAACTGTGTCACAAGACAAGCCCTCACATGGAATCCTGAATGCCAAGAGAGAGGAGGAAGACCAAAGAACACATTACGCTGAGAAATAGGGACAGACATGAGAAGAATGAACAAGAACTGGATAGAACTAGAAAAGAAGGCCCAGAACAGAGTGGGTTGGAGAATGCTGATCGGAGACCTATGCTTCATTGGGAGTAACAGGCGTAAGTAAGTAAGTAAGTAATTCTATTTGTAATAGAATGTATATATATATGTGCATAGATACTAAATTTCCTGTTGTGTTTACCTTTTATTTGAGTTTTTGATCTACAACTTTAATCTCTGATTATGTTAACTAGTAAATAACAAGTATAAATTTCTAAATAGTTATAAAAGATCTTCATAAGTGATCACCTTAGAAATCATAACGAAATTATTTATTTACTTGTCAACTAATACTTTAAGTTTATCTGTTTTTAAATAATAATAACTACCAATGTTTATTTTATAGTTGAAATCATTAGTCAATTGAAGCTAGACCACGATGGAAGACCTGGAAGTACTGGACGGCCGTTTCATCCTATGATCATATACTCACTAGTGTCTGAATTCAAGAGATATTTCCTGGAGTTCTAGTGAGAAGCAGTGACTAGTGGAGTTCAAACAGGTATGTTGTGAGATATCAACTCACTGAAGACAATGGTAAACGGTTGCTCAACTTTGTGGAGTGGTTGAAGTTAGACATTAACACCGTTGGATGCCAGCTCACTGGTCTAATAGCTAAGCGCCCGCGCGCGAGACTGATAAGTCCTGAGTTCGAATCCCGCGAGGCGGGATTGTGGATGCGCACTGCTGAGGAGTTCCACAATAGGACGGTATGGCCGTCCAGTGTTTCCAGGTTTTCCATGGTAGTCTAACTTCAATTGACTGATGATTTCAACTATAAAATTACTGAAATCTCCACAAAAGCCCCTTGTGATAATAACATACTTGAAAATAAATAACTGTTGCTACATTATACGAAAATATACATACACACATACAAGGCTTTTCTTGCATTCTATGATTTGGTAACCTTTTTAATATATATATGCGATATTTTCAAGGCTAAGCATCATTATCATACAATAAATATCTTTCATATTCAATTTATTTCACTCGGACTATAATGCATAGTTTTGAATAGAGAGTAAGAACAAAGATTTTAGTATAATAGCACGAATCGTTTTCATTTTGTTTAGTACTCATCAGGTACTGTTATGTAACTATGTCAATATTCAATTAAACACTTTCATGTGAATAATATGAAACCATTTTGTAATTATAGTTTTTTTTAAATTTTACCGTCTATAAGCAGTGAACGGGAACTAAACAAAATAAAATGAATTTATGCTATACTACTAAAATCGTTATCCTTTCCTTCTTTAAGATAATAAGAAGTAGTATTGTAGTGAACAAAACACTGGTTGGGGACAATCGAATGTATTTAAGCACAAATTACAGACTATCTCACTAAATTCTGATAATCATACAATGAACAGTTAATTTGCAAAATAACAACCAATTGTCTTAATCTTCACTGTTCCTTCTGTAAATATTAGTTCATCTTCTCTAATTTCATGGTTCATGAATTTTCCTACCAATTGCGCATCATTTCATTTCTTTCCTTATCGGTCTTTTGCCAAAATACATTCTATGTCTGACCATCACTAGATACTACTTCTATGGATATAAGGAGACCACACTACAGTATGTGTACAAAATGTATAATTTGTTTATTCATCAGATTGACACCTTTTCTTTCACCTACTACATGGATCCTGTAAATGTTTGCATTTTATGTCTTAATCAAATAAGTTTTAAAATGATTAGTTTATTTACACTTCTTTTCTGAATTAGGTTTATGTATAAGTTTGTTATCAATTAAATTAAGAAAGATTTCCTATCTCGACTCATTCACTATAATCACTGATAATTATGTCAACTTTATAAATAATTTGAATTCACATATCGCCTAGAATCAGTGAATTATAAATCTGACTTTTGGAGGAAATCTTTATGACAATATGGCACCGGATTTAAATAAACTCAATAGAACTCTCAACTTCGTATCAGTAATTCTCTTTTATTAAGGTTTATTAATTATTTTATTATCATAATTAGATGTTGTTTGAATAAAGATAACAGATCGCGAAGTACTGTTAACTTGAAGTTAACTATCAGCACAAATTCGGTTACAATCGGATAGACATTAAACATAAAAGAGTTCTCAATTATTGTTATGTTACTTTATACATTTCTTAAAATATAAACAAAATTTTCATTTGAATGGATACAGTTTTACAGTCAAGTATCATCGCTTGTCGTTATATCATGGCCTACGGGGCCCTCTTTTGCAGTTTATCTGTAAGCTACATTAAATCACCTTTTCAGAAATATGGTCACGTTTACTTGCCAAATATTTTTGCAAGGCTCTATAGTATATACAAAACAACTTCAACCCTTTATTATAGCATATTGGTTAGCTCAGTGTGGATAAAAATAAACAATAGAGTATTTAACGATTAACTTTGAAATTAAAAAACCCCCTTAATTTCTTTTTTGTATATTATTAGTCAATTAATACTCGACTATTGCAAGCAAATCTGTTGGTGCAGGATTATAATATATACTTACTTCAACCAATTGTTTTGAAGAAAACGTTTACCACTATTATTGTTACCATTATTTGGCACAATATCTGTTTTGTCACTGAATATTGATAATTCTTGTGAATTTGAATTTTCTGGCAATTCTCTTTCAACATTTAACAATTGATGATATTGATCATAATGCATTTCATTACATGATTTCAATTTGAATTCTGTTCCAGGCTACAAAAAATAAAGGCAAACATATTCAATATTATCATAGTTTAAATCACGAACAGGTTTTAGTTGGACAAATATTGAAAGCCTTGAAGCATAGGACGGTCATTTTTTATGGGACTCCTCAGTAATGTGTGCCCACAATCATGAACGCGAGAATCAAACCCAAGACCTTCACTCTCGCGTGCGAATACCTAACTCCTAGATCACTGACATGGCATCCAACTGTGTTAACGTTTTATAGCAATCAATCCATTGCATGACGTGACCATATTCCACACACTCGGCACAGTTTAGCTCCACTAATCACGGCATTCTGCTAGAACTCCATGAGTTGTTTCTTATATCCATCCACTGGTAAAGTTAAAATATTACATAAAATACTATGGTGTATTAAACACATATATTTGTATCAGTATGAGGGTTGTGGAGTTTGTTGAATTCTATTTAGATCGTGAACCGACCTCTCAGTGGTTATCTAACTTAGGTTGGTTCGTGACCACAGTAACATATATATATATATATTTCTAGTAACGATAAATGCTCCCTAAGTATATAGTAAACTTGAAAATCGCTTAAACACCAATTTCACTGATTAGTGGACAATATTTATTCTTAATATATATATTCAACAATAAATGGTTAGTTCTACAATAACAGACTGAAATGATGATGATATGAAAATGTTTTAAAAAAAGCGCATTACCTTTTATTTACCCAACTGAAATGCGATTCACTTAAATAAAGAATGCATAACTTAACGATCAATTTCAATCAAAATTTGGTTGGAAATTTATTTCATAAAATAAAATTTTGATGATTAAGATAAATTTTAAAGAATGAAAATATGAAATTCACTTGGTATTGTTTACTTGAAACTTTCATTTTATGTTTAGGACTGCAATTGACCAGTCTTTTATTGGTATATGTGCATACTGTGCATATTGCCGCGACATTGCATTAATTCACAAAGATTATAAGCAAGGATAGATAATGGCTAGCAGTGGAATCCAGTACTCGTGTCTCGTCCTATTTGGGACTAGTCAGCTGGATGTACCCGGATCTAAGTGTTGAAGCTCACTCCGGGACTCAAAACCGGTATCGATCACTTCAAACACTATTGCGTTATCTACTTAGTTACTGAGTCCTTCTAGCCACTTGGTTGTACAATGGGGTGAAGTTTAATTTCACTTGATATTGTAGCTAAGTGGATAACGCAATAGTGTTTGAAGCGAACGTTACAGGTTCTGAGTCCTGGAATGCACATCAACACTTAGATGAAGGTACATCCAGCTGACGAGTCCCAAATAGGACGAAACGTACGTCCTGGATTCCATTGCTAGCCACTATCTATCTCTGTTTACAATACATGGATTTTCTTTTTATCTAATAATCAGTAAAATGTTATTACGATAATGCAATGAGAAGACAAAGTTTATCAGAATTATGTGATATATTTACGCAATACATTTCGAACAATCTGAGCACACATAACATACTTGTTAAGACATTTTTATATGAAAATTTAAAAGGTCAACTAAACAGATTGAAGGTAAGCCGTAACAAAGAAAGAAAATAAATAAAGTACACAAAAGCAATGTGATAACCACTCTGAGTAATAAATCGGCATTACCATGTTAGGTTAAGGGTAAGAATAAATTGTTCTCGAACACATAAAGAGGGTTTCAGTTTCCGTATACTAAAGGCTTCAATAAACCTTAGTATACGTTCTTGAAGGCTTTTGTACAACACTACCAATGCTGACTTGATGTCAACCTGATGACCAGTTTCAGTTATTAACTTTGAATATATACATCGGAAATGCACTCTCTTATTAACTATTCATATTCAGTAACTTAACTAGATAATTACTGTAATATAAAATGCACTATATATATGTTCCCTTTTCCAGGGTCCTGCCCTCTTTCATCTCTTATTAGGTCTTAACAGTAATAATGATTAACTTGATAAATGATATTTCTTAATCGTAATATAAAATAATAGATGTATGTTGACCGAAAGAAAAATTATGAAATACAATAAACAAAAGTCACATTATAGATTCCCTAGACAACTATTCACAGAAAGAAAACTTTTCTTATTTTGTATGCTACAATTAAATAGTTGAATAGATAGATACATGACTTTAAGTAATCAAACTTTCTAGATCAAATGCTTAAATATGAATTATGAAATGAAGTTGAAATGTATAATTCAATGGTTGAAATCGAGTAATGTAACAATCAAATTAATGAATGGATTAAATGTGATGATGAACAGAGAACGCAGTACTTGAACGACGTACTGATCAAAACCATAGTCAAATAAAAATATCAAACCAACACTTGGTACTGATACCTACTGATGTACAGACTGTTTTTCATAAAAATATGTGTTCTTGTATATGTTAAATGAAGATAAGATTACCATGATTAAACCAGCTAAATATCAGTATAATTATAAGTATCAGTATACTTTATTTATCTAAAAATGAAATGAGTTATTTTTCATTGTATGATATAATACTGTATATTACAAATAAATTTAATTGATTGATTAAAGAAAACCAACTAAACATCATCTAGTGTAGGATATAGTAACATTAAATTCTTAATAGTGATTTTGTCACAAATTAACATAGTGAGGACGATCAGATACCTCTAAACAATTGTTTTATATTAACACAATCTAAGCTAGATAACCATTAAAAACCTAGGAGCACTGCATGTCCTTTTCGTCCTAGTGTGGGAGTCCTCAGCAGTGCACATCCACGACCCCACATCAGAGGGACTCTAACCCAGGACATTTGGTTTCGAGTGAGAACTCTTCACCTCTAGACCAATGGTTCGGCATACAAAGGTGTTAATGTCTAACTTCAATTTATTTATGATCTTACTCAATCTTTCATCCATTGTCTAATGAAGGGTTGCGCAAGATCGTGGATTGATTGAAATTAGACATTAACACTGCTGGATACCGGATCAGTGATCTAGGGGGTTGAAGCGTTCTCACTCGAGAACAAATGTCTTGGACTCGAGTCTTTTTTGGTGTGGAATTGTGAGTGCGCTCTTCTGAGGAGTCTCAGACTGGGATATAACAGCCGTCCAGTACTTCCAAGTATTCAATGGTCGTGAATTCAACTGTCAAAATTCTACAATTTCGACAAATCCCCATACTGTTTTATATGAGCATACAGTTTAATAACGATGCACGACTGTAGCTTCGCACACAAAATCAAACCTTATGAGCACTTTAAATGGATTACATGTCTCTGCGTTCAATATAGCCAACAAAAAGAAGTCAAAATTCAAAGGTAACGAGTTCTTATATGCAAAATAACAATTGTAGTAATTCCTGGAAAATTAGTACTAGCCAGTAAAAAATCGTTTACAGATTTTTGATATTCATTAACGGATATTTCATGGTCATCATCGTTGTTAGGGGGAAAATTATTCTGGAAAATGCTTAAATATTTAAACCACATATTATTCTATTTTACATACTACTTCATGTTATGCAACGTCTCCTTACCCAACTTTAAAGTCAGGTTCGTTCTACTAAAAACTCATTGATGGAATCTATTTGAATTCATTTTAAATTTTCTATGTATATTGATAATTCATTGTTTAAATTCATCGACTTCGAAATATCTATCATTTAGTTCGTGAACTAAAATTTGGAATATAGATACTTGAATTGTAATTCATTTGGTCTAGAGAAAAAAACTGTAGCTCTGTAGATCCTGCATTTATGAAGTCACCTTTTCATTTGTTTCTTAACTAACAGAAGGGGTTTTTTGTGGAGATTTTAATAATTTTATGGTTGAAATCATGAGTTATTTGAAGCTAGACCACCATGGAAAACCTGGAAGCACTGAACGTCCGTTTCGTCTTATTATGGGACTCCTCAGCAGTGCGCATCCACGACCTCGCCTCGCGAAATTCGAACCCAGGACTTACCAGTCTCGTTAACAAGTAAATCATGAAAAAAAATCATCCTTAAAAAGATATACTGATATCTCTATAGAATTAATTAACTTTGTAAATTAATATATTAAGTAGGAAGAATATGCTTGTAAAACCTTAACGAATAGATTTGAAATAAATCCAACGTTACACCTGACAATCTGGTCCAAGCTTTTTTCCTTAGATTTACTTAAAAAATTCATTCAACTGAGATTTTACAAATATATATTCTTCCTATTTAATATTTTACATCAAATTGGTGCCCAAATACTATAAAACAATTAACTCTAATTAAGACAAAAGTTCTTATATATTTATTAAATGAATAGTTATAATAAATAATTGAACGTTTGCTTACCATATTTCATGAATTACATTAGTAACAATCAAAGTTCAATTTTCATTATTTAATATTCAATTTGAAATGCTTATCTACTAGTTATCTATTTATTTATTTATTTATTTATTTGTCTGTCCAATTGGAGAAAAACAAAAATAGATTTTTTTCATTATTATTATTATTATTATAAATTGTGTTGATTTTACTTCTCCTTTCCAATGTTTCACATTTTTATTGAATCCATTGAACATGTTCAATGAATGAAGAATTCTATTCATTGGCTTAATATATAAATTATTGTATCGAACCAATCATCCCATCATAAACTTTTTTTTAGCTATTGTTTATTAACAAGTTAAAAGTAATATATATAGATCTATTTCAATAGTATAAACCAGACAAAGAGAATATTATCTAGATATATATTAAGAAATCTATAAGTAACTATGGGTATACAATGTAGTTTATGAAGATTATATATCTATATGATTTGCAAATCTAACTGATGTGTAAATGACATGCTAAAACGTCTTAGATACACGTACACACACACATACATACAAAATGATGTTTGTCCAATGATGTGTGTAAATTTCTTTCAAATTATTTCACTTCTGAAAAAAAAAGAAAATTATTTTTTTCTGTTTACTTATAACTAAACATCAATGATTATCTCAGTAACATATTTATGATGTAAAGTTTTAGAGAAAAAAGGAAGAAAAATATGACTCAGATTATCCTTTCTCAGTTTAGTGGTAGACAATAAAATGGATGAACTAGACTATGTAAGTAGATATTCATTAACATTTAAGTATATATATATATGTTTGTGTATAATCAGAACGGTTGAAGAAGGTAAATTATATTTAAAATTCTTCCCCCCCTTTTTTAAAAAAACAAAAAAACTGTTAGTAAATTATCTCAGTGTCTTGACAACAATAATGAAATCAAAATAAAAAAAGCTGGAATGAATAAATATGACAGGGAATTTTTTCTCCTTTATTTAAATAGATGATATTGAAATTGTTTTAAATTCTATAACGAATAAATAGATATTAATAAAGATGAGTATACCTTCTCTAATATGATAAGGTAACTTAGATAAAACTACTACATCCATCGTCAAGATGGTACAAGTATTTATAAACAGTTGTTTACGCAAAACACTCAACATTCACTGGCCGGATACTATCAGCAACAGCGTTTTATGGGAGAAGACAAACCACCTTCCATCTGAAGAGGAAACTAGGAAGAGACGTTAGACATGGATAGAACATACATTAAGGAAATCACCAAACTCCATCACGTGGCAAGCCCTAACTTGGAATCCGGAAGGGAAGCGGAAAAGAGGAAGGCCAAAGAATACATTACGCCGGGAATTAGAAGCAGATATGAAAAGGATGAAAAACGACTGGAAAGGACTGCCCAGAACAGGGTTGGATGGAGAATACTGTTGTGCGGCCTATGTTCCTCCACGAGTGGTAACAGGCGTAAGTAAGTAAGTAAGTAAGTAACTTAGGCACAATTGTTTCTATATAATCGTACAGATTGAAGTTTGTTTCTCACCTTTTTTCAATTAATTATGTAACTACACACTTAAGGTGTGAAGTAGGTATATATTCCTTTTGTCAATCGATCAATAGTTGGATAAACCTTCATTAGGAATTACAGCGAAATTAAAATATGATTCTTGGAAGTAAACTAGTCTTAAAAGTATGGAACTGTTTTTAGTGTTAATCTCCTTAATTGTAATGGGAATGATCTGTTAGGAGAACAACATAACGATGATGTACAGTTGTACGATCAAATAAAATGAAGCTTACATTAAATAAATTTATTACTGAATAGTAAATATATCAGTTTAAATATTATTTAGATCTACACGATCTATCCAACAAATAAGTAAATTTAAACATTGAAAAAACTTAGGGAACTCATGGAATATTCCAGGTTATCCATAAATATAAGGTGATAAAGAAAAAATAAAGCTTTATGAACGAGATTGAGCTTCTCAGTAAACTCTAAAAAGATTATACAGCACAAGAATTATGAACTACCTTCATAATTGATAAAAAAAGCAATCTCGTGTGATCTCTCGCTTTTCCTGATCATTGATTCACAGTCCAGACGACTGCTGATGAAATCTAATTTGCTAAAAATTATCTGCTTTTGCTGTTGTCGGAAAATATTTTTGGTTGAGAAAATTGTTAAGTGATGAAGTATCTAAAATCTCTGCTCTCTAAAGATCTTGATGAATGTTAGAATTATGGATGTAACAAATGTTTTGAAACGAATAGAGAGTATTTTCAAGGGGATAAGATTAATATACCCCACATCTTGTTAAAGTTTTTATGACCACAGTTCTTGAATTTACTGGACAGACTACTTATTTGTGATGATCAGTAGTCAAATGATAGGTCTTGCTCTTTTAAGGGGGTTTGTAGTTTAAATGTAACGTTCATTCTTAGAGCATCTCAACGGATATTTTAAAGTTTACTAACAATCTGTTTATTGTTTCCCAGAACCCCGTAATCATTTATTTTCAAAAACTGACAACTTGAATTTAAAATTTTTCACTAGATATTTGAACTTTAGTGCTTCAGTATTTTTGATTGAGATTATCAATCGATCAACGTCTGACCACTAATGAAAACCTGGGAGCGCTGAGCGGCCACTTCTTCTCGGTATGGGACCCTCAGCAGTGAGCATCCACGATCCCACACGCTTAGTTCAAACTCAGGACCTTCGATCTTGCGCGAATGCTTGACCTCTAAACCATTGAGCCGGCATCCTACAGTGTTAATGTCTAAATTCAACCAACCTAATTCAATATTCGTTTATCAAAATCTGTCTGGGGGTAGATTTTGCCAAAACAACTAGTTACAGATTCGAAATAGCGACACATTATTATAAATACTTAATCATAAGATCTGATAGTTAGTCAGGATTTGTTTTAATATAGTTAAGTTGTATTTTTCTCTGGCTGTCCTCCAATCAATAACTCCGTTATTTTTCTGTAAATCTAACTCGTCATTTCCAATTAATCATACAGTCACTTAATTCTAGATAATATAGTTACAAATCAATCGATCTTCCACTCAAACACTCTTTGATGCATCTCAGGATACCAAACTGTAGTGAAACACTTGATATCACAGCGATTTTGATGTTATCTGCCCTATAAACAAAATAGTAATTAGTCATTAAAACTTGTTTACTATAATAATAGACATTCTTATACGCAGTTGCGAATATTTTAGCGTAATAATTACTCTTCCGAATTACACTTTTACGTAAGTACAGTTTCCAAGTCTCATCATAATTTAGAACTGTCTTTTAATTCATGAAAGTTTGTTAGTATTGAGTAGACACTTTTATAGATAGTATCTATTTGTCTTTATTTGACTGTAAACCAAGTAGAATGAGACAGTTCTTCTGCGTTTTTTTACAATAAGTCTGTTTACCAGGGTTTGGTCATTGAATCATTTTATTCTAATGAAAAAATCAGGTCTTAAAGGAAAGGGAATCTGAATGTATCAAACAATTTAATAATTCTTATTTATTTATTTATTTAAACACATAAATATTAGTACAAGGAAGCACCAGATAAATATGCGCCTCACAAATCTCATTCGATTTGTGTGAGGGCTGAGATACTGCTCAGGTGCCCAAACTAAAGCAGGTGGTTTACTCAGGAGGCCACACACGGAGCCTTTGACCGAAAGATCTGATCCACAAGGCAGTGGAGCATCGTTAGGAGATACAGTCCCATGGTAGCCGGTGACCAAGTTGGTTCATACGCCATTTGTTCCTTCAGGATACTGGAGCTCATGTTCACCATTGGTTTGGAATCAGGGTTTTCAAACTCCCCTAGGTGGACCCTTCATGTCCACCAACCCGGTTGAAGAACCGGACATTCGCTTTTCGTCCTCTCAATTTCGTAAACAACAGTAATGCCACGAGAAGGCAGTGAGTAGGACTTCCCTGACAGAGGCTAGATACGCGTGGCCATGTGAGAGCATTTCGAGACGGAGAGTGGACTCTCATCACTAACGGCCGTACCAGGGCATTTAGGGGCATTTAATAACTCTATTATACCAAAGTACATCAAAACGGTATCAAAAAGCTTCAATATGAAATCATTTCTCACATTACATTCTGTGAAGTGCAAATTCCTAGTGTATCAAACATTTTTGCGTAAAATAACTCACTCAAATCAAATAATGACTAGATTTCAACATTACCTTTAAGTCTATTGAAAATAAGTTCATTAAACATCTTGTAACTTCTGAATTTATTCGACAAAAGGTTACAAAATCCTTTAGGAAGCAGAATAAATAAAATTTTTACAAACAGTAATCATTTTCACTATCATAAAATGCAGATAATTTATGCCATTTGAAAAAGACAACAGGAAGTTTCATCCATAGAGTTAGTGGCGTAAATTGAAATGTCTAATATTTGACATTCAAAAGTTATACGAATAATAAATACAAATAGACAGAAAAAATAGAATAATAAAGTGGTTTTTCATGAAGAACCCAAAAATTGATTCTAAGAAGAAGAAGACTAGTTAACGTTTTAAGCCTTAAGAACAGAATTAACATACATAGTTTCTCCAAAATGTTCCTTAGATGATGGTTGCGCAGCCATTCATGGATCGATGGAAGTTAGAAACTAATACCGTCGGATGTCAACTCAGTGGTCTAGAAGTCAAGCATTCGCGCGCGAGACAGAGAATCCTGAGTTCGAACCAAGTGTGCAGGATCATGGATGCACATTGCTGAGGAGTACCATACTAGAACAAAACGGCCATCCAGTGCCTTCAGTCTTTTCAATGGTGGTCTAGCTCACATCAACTCCTGAATCTAACTATTAAAAAGAACAATAAATGTAACTAAATAAGCATCACTATGATTCAAATATATACACTTGATAACTGCATCATACGATGATTAAATAAACTTCTGAATTTCATTAAGAGGTAAGTTTTTCGTCACTGTATTAAACTCAATAATATTAGTGATTGTCATAATAAAATGCTATTATCATTAAATTGAAACTGCAAGTAACACTGAATATGACATGTGGTTTAATTTATTAACTGATATCTGCACTCAATTGTC